TGTATTGTCATTCCTGATGATGATAGGAGATACCTATCGAAAGCTCGAATAAATAAATGTGATTTTTGTTAAAAATCAAGTAATGTTCTTCGTAGCAGTCTTATACTCATTATTTTCTTATAAAAGGAATAGTTTACGAACGATACCTAGATTTTTTAAAGTAAACAAGCTAATGATTTAGCTGCCACACTATTTTCAGTAACGTTAAATAGTTCACACATAACTACTTTAATTACAGCAGAATTTCCTCTCATACATTCAGCCGATATCACCTTATATGGACAACATTTTTACGAACTATTCCAAGGAGTTTCTCCCACAAAACCCATAAATGTCTTGATATCGTCGGTAAGTTGTTTTATCTTGTAGGCCGCGTTCAGTTATATAATATAGTAAAAACAATTACCTTCAAATCCATTGTCTTACGGAGACATACAAATTGAGAAAAACAAAGCTTACAAATTTTATGCAGAATGGTTCAAATATTTTTTTTATAGAGTTCGGTCTTTCTTATTTATTTATTTATCCACTGAATTCAACATTGAATTTTTATACTCGATGATGTCTGTTGTCGGCGACATAGAGATTACCGTGTCGATCGAATGATCAACCGGCGGACCAATTGGGTTGGTTCGATTGTTCTCCTTCACCGTTTCCACCAGCAATCACACTTCCTTGTGTGGCTCCTTTGGGCCAACGCATGATTCGAGCATTCCCTCCATCAGTCACATCGACAGTGCCCAATTGATCGGCAACGACTCCTCGAGGATGTGACAACTGTGTAAGGCCATTTCATTACACGATAGTTTCCATATTCAGATATGTACACTGAATGATCTCGATCGACGAGTATGTATCGTGGGTTAGAGAGTTGATCGAGACGATTTCCACTTCCATTGCCACCTGCAATCACTGTTCTTTGAGATTCTCCTCTTTGATATCATCTCACTTCATCTTTTACATTGTCAACGACATAGAGAGATCCATTCTCGTCCATTGTCAAACCGATACAATTGACGTCCGAGATGATCGTTTCTCCACTTGTTCCATTTCGAACAGGCCATCGAACCACTCTTGCATTTGAATAATCGCAGAGGATGTGACTATCTTTCTCTTTGTCGACAATCCCATTACATGGTTGAGACAATTGATGAGGCCAACTTCCTTGTCCATTTCCACCGGCAACCACTTGACCATTCGTCGCACCTGATTTCCATTCGATAATACGGTAATTGAATAGATCAGCGACATAGACAGTTTGATCATCATCCACATACAAACCACATGGGACGGCGAGTTTATTGTCGTCTTCACTTCGGTCAGCTACAGTGAGACCATTTTGTTTTCATCGAGCATTTGGATGATTATCTATTGAAGTGCCACGTAGTGGAATGACTAAAAATAGGATCATTATACAGGAGAGGAGAAAGTATTGTATACAGGGATTAGAAGTACACTAAAAAAAAAGCTCTTTCCAAAACCTCCGAAAAAAGTTCCGCAGATTTGGAAAAGCTTGCAAATGCATTCAAATGCTCAAAGAACGATGTTTCAGTTCTACGAACCCTTTTTCTACAAAACCTTTTTTCACTGTACGGAACAAGGGGGGAAAAGCGGATCCTTTTGGATCCTAGGATCCATGAGGATCCAAAAAGTCTGATCGGGAAGAGGAGGAATTGGTCGTAGGATTTTCGAGTAAGAAGCATGAATGAACTGATAAGATTGACATATTAGTCAATTCCGATGAATTCTTCCAGGCTCCGATGAATTTTTCGATACTTAAAAATCAAGTAGAACGCAGCATAGGAGTGTACAGCTTACGCTCATGAGCGTGAGCGGTATATTCCTAATTATTATTACTTTTATTATTTATTACGAGTAATGAAGTTTAAAAAATTGAAACTAATAAAAGCAACAACTGATAATTGATAAGGTGTAATAATTATTACCGTAATAAATATCGACCAAAAGATATTACTTAGAATTTTTTAGTATCTATTCAGGAGGATTTCTTATAGCTACTTGCGACCTAACGTGAGACCGTATTAGAAGCTTCCAGGATCAGACCAGAACTGGTCCATATAGCTATTAGGAGCCTACCTATAGGTGATACTCAGAATGTTTTAAGAATCATATAAGGGTAATACTTAGAAGTGTTTTGAGTCTGACCAAGGGTGGTACTTAGAAATTCTAAGGACTTAGTCAGAGGGAGTAGTCAGAAGTTTTAGGGCCTACCCATGGATGGTCAACTATTTGAGATCTGCTTATAGATGATACCTAAAACTTTTAAGAAGCTACCAAGGGGTGGCCCTGTACCTTTCTGGACCTACCCTATGATGGTAACTAGAACTATGTGAAAACTTCCCAGCGCTGATCTGTGAAACATTTTAGTACATATAGAGGGGCATCTCTTGTATTCTTCTGCGCAGTGTGGGAAGGGGTTTTTATAACTTATTAAGTCGTAACTAGGGATGAATCGAGACCAACACTCATCAATACTGGAATCGAGGCTAACCGCGAACGAGAAAGAGACCGAAGTCTCGACCGCAACAACTGAGACGGAGATGGAAAGTTTCGATCTCGGCACAATCCTATTCGTAACTATTGGCAGTTTCTATAACTTTTTCAGTCCTATATAAGCATCATCATTTTAACATGTTACTTTGTTCAGCAGTGATATCTTCAAATTTGAAGTACTATCCTTAGCGGTCCCGAAAAATTCATAAGGACAACCTTTCAATAGATCCCAAATGGCTAAGGGAACCACTCCAGTGTAAATCCACAAAATTTGCGGGGACCACCTCCAGATAGGATGCAAAAGTCACAGGGATCACACCTAGATAGGACCTAAGGGATCGAAGGGGTTACCCTTAATTACGGCCCAAATAGTACTAGCGATTGTGGGCAAATTAGTGAATAGATCTGTTTCAGCAGTTCTTTCTTTCATTTGATCTGAATTATGATCTGAGAGCTGTTGTAGTCCTAGTGGTGAGAAAGTGGAAATATATCGATAAATAGAAGTAATTCCAAGATCAAGTTCTTTACTGCTTTATTTCTTCCTTATTACTTTATTAATTTTCCTGGCTATTAGTTAGTACTACTAATTCGAAAGAACAGTTATTACTTATTACCGGTAATAGTAATGTGCTACCCGTACTAGACATATATAATAAGATCCTAGTTTTGTTCCTTGGTAGTTTGCGGTAGTAAGATAAGCGAGTTTACGAAACAAATATTCGGAAACTATGATTTTCCAAACTTTAATGAGCCTATTCTATCGCTTATTGCCAATTCATCGAGTAACAAGTATTTAGATACATCGATTGAATATATTAGATAAGAAACTGTATGAAATACTATAATGTATTTTTATATGAATATAGCTAAAGTGGGTTCATTATTACTGATTTCTTGTATATTCTATTTGGAGAAGAAACGCTCACGCTTATCAGCACTCATGACCGTTAGTTACACACCCCTAATCCACCAGGATCCATGTTTTTTTTACGTTGTTTGAAAATTGCTGTAAAGCGAATCAGTTTTTGGTACATTGTGGTAGACTTCGACGTATTTAGTAGATTGAAGTAGCTTCTCATAGATTTCCGTACACTTCAGTCAATCTATTGTGCAATCTAATGCCCTTTATTGGGAGCAACAGGTTCTAATAGGATCCACCAGGGTCCATCAGGATCCACCAGGATCCATCAGGATCCACCAGGATCCATCAGGACCCACCAGGATCCATCAGGATCCATCAGGATCCACCAGGATCCATCAGGATCTACCAGGATCCGCCAGGATCCACTAGGATCCACCAGGATCTACCAGGATCCACCAGGATCCACTAGGATCCAAGGATCCAGGATCCGCTTTTCCCCCTTGGTACGGAACCTTTTTCGAAGGTTCAGGAAAGAGCCTTTTTTTAGAGCGTAGAAGATGTATTCTCATTCATCTGATAAGTAAACTAATACTGAGTGAAAACAAACAATAACAACATTACTGAAAGACACATGCGTCGGGCTCATTGTGTTTTTTAATTCCTTCATATCTTAGAGGCATTAGTAATACTTTATTTTTTCGAATCTATCATACATAGTTTGCAGAAAACAGAAGACAATTGTGTTCTGATTGTTGGGATTCTGACTGATCGATCACTCATCAGTGATAAACACCCACACCCTGATTCTGCCTATCACATTTTCAAAAAAAGAATGATAGGACAACACTTCTTTGTTCTGTTTTAAGAAACTATGTATGATGAGTTTAAAAAGAACAACAGAAAGTAATACTTATATTGAATTATTGATTTTTTTATAGTGCTATATACTTAATCTACTTTATGTTAATTCTTTTTCTAACAATCCTAATTGACCAATAAAAAATGTGGGTGTTGGGCTAGGAGCATAAATATAAATCGAAGATCTACACACACACACTTACACCGGCATGAGAGGGTAGTCACAGTTGAGCATTGGATTCTATCTTAGTTCAATAGTATATATCCGATAGGAATTGATCAGTTTCTGTAGAAATTGACGTTGCAAATTCCATTAGGATTGCCAAAATGATTCTCGTGTCTAACTATATGGTAAATTTATCGTAAAAGTTTCAGCTCTTAACTACAAATCATTTACAAAGAAAAATATATTTAGAGAAAACTAAAGCATGTAACACTCATTGAGAATCGATTCACTCGGGCCTACATTATTTAACTAAAATGATGACTAAATAAAAGACAATAATAATGACAAGAAAAGCTTGTTGTTAGTTGTTTTCCAAACAAATATTCAGAGTTCGTATGAGAAACTCTTTTGACTTTTTCTAATATAAGAGGTGCACTTTCACCCATAAATCGAAAAGCTTTTTCACTGTAGCAAATCTGTCTTCCAACTATAAATTTTCGTTCTTTATGCCACAATTAAAATTGTATATGAGCAGTGATCATTCGATAAGGAAAAAAATCTCAAATACGCAAGTATCTGCCAGGGAGTAAAAAATAATACACACCCTATTGATTACCAAAACATGATGGAATAATTTTAACATATACTTCATTTCTCACTCAAACTTGATTTTGTCAATATTATGTCACTGGATTCGATTGATGATATAAAAATTCAATAAATCAAATTAAAATTTTACTCCAAATAATGTGAATCATCTGTAACTAATAGTTTGAATTACTTGTAATTTATTAGAGTTTATCTCTTTGCTTTTTCTAACAGCAGGCGTTGTCCACTCCGCTATATTTTAGCACTAGTTTCTTACCGATGACTTATTTCTCACAAACAAGAATTCGAAATAAATGACATATTTCTGTTGAAAAAACTCTTACGACTGACACTGTTTGCTTATTCTTTGAATTTTGATGGCTGACAATACTTTCTGTGTAACATGCCTCTTTTTTTAATACTTTAACAACACTTGAAAATGAGAAAGTAAAAAAGTGCTACTTCTGTAAATTCGATATGTAGATCATTCAATGTCAATAAACTAGGTTTTTTATTCGAGAGGCTTTGCATCTATTAGAAATTAAAAAGTTTTAGTCCAATATTTTGTTTGATTTAAACACATCTTTTATAATAATAAAAAATAATCAGATAGAGAAAGAGAATACATTTAAAATTAATGCATCACGAAATTTCTTTTAAATTGTAATTCCGATAGTTCGTTTTTTTTCTCGTAATTGAGCGAAATTCGAATGTCACGTAGTTCCTTTTGAATGTCTTAATGGTGAATTATCAACTTCTTCATTCCGTTGTTACGAAAAAATTTATATAGATGAATTCGCTCGTAGTGACCATTTTTTGTTTTGAACGTTAAAACCTAAATGAAAACAACATATAGAATTAAGCGACGAGATTAAACAACAGATCTACTTACAAACAAGATTTTCTTTTTCAAGCATTTGTAAATGATTACAAACATTATGACAAGCAGCATGAAATAATCCTTCTGGCAAGTCCTGAAAAAAAATAAATCAATGCTAATTTCATCAGTAATAGAAATAAAAGTATAAAAGTTACCGTGTAAACTATTTTCGTTATCTCATTTGGATCAAGACCATCGTTAGATTGCTTTAATGCATCGAGTATTTGATTGTTACGTTGTTGACGATGAGATATATAATGTTCAAGAGTTTGTTGAGGATTTTCAACAACAGGACCATGTCCAGGATAAATTATTTTCGGCGACATTTTGAGAATAAGTTGAAGAGAATTTAAATAATCATATAAATCTTCGAATTCAGTTGTTCCTTGACCGAGTATGGTATCACCAGAAAATAGAGCTTGTTCTTCTTCAAGCCAAAAACAAAGATGATCCGTAGTATGGCCAGGCGTATGAATAGCTCTTCAATAGAAAAGAAAGGAACTTATCCAATATATATATATACAAGGCGAATTACTTTAAATGTGCCCCTTCAGTTTCAATATTAAATTGATCAGTACCATTATTAATAAATGTAAAATTAGCGACTTCATCAGGATTTTCTGGCATACCATATGTTTGAAGTTTCTTCAAATCGGGCATTTCAAAAAGTTTTCGTTTATAAACAGGTAAATCAGCTAGAAAATAATATATTGTTGAATGGTAATTTATCATACGATTACTTACGTTTATCAATCAATTTTAGAACATCTTTAATACCGCAAATATGATCGGGATGCCAATGTGTAATGAGAATCGCTTGTAATCCAATATTATTTGTCTTCATAGTATCTTTAAGCTCATCAACATAAGCTGGAACACCTTGGCCAGCATCAAGTAAGAGTCGACTAAGAATTTACGAAAAATTCGTTTTTTTCCGCAGTTTAATTACATTTGAAAATTATTTACTTGCGTCCTTTACCAATCAGATACGTATTTGTACCTTGCAATGTCATCGGACTTGGATTGCAACCAAGTACACGAAGAACTAAGGGTGAAAGTTGTTCAATAGTTTGAAGTTTAACAAGATTAGTCATCATGATTAAGTGAATTTTCTAGTGATAGAAAAACAAATCATAATTGATTGTGTTCTCCGTAAATATTATTTTTGTTGAATAAATCGAAATTTTTTATTAAAAATAACCAAAAAAGCAAAAAGGAAATATCGAATCAATTATTAGTTAAATCTTTGACTTTAGATTCTGATCGTATTCTAAACTTGTAACTTGTAATGCATCATGTTTTTCTTCGATCAGTTCTTTGTGTGTTTTATCAATCATTTCTATTGACCAATCATCCAATTTAAGATTTTTAACAATTGAAATTTTACCATTTTTAATCTGTACTGGATAACTAAATACGAGTCCTTTTTCAACGTCATACGAACCATCACTAATTATACCCATTGAAACCCATTCATTCTAAAATATCTCTTCTATAGAACAAATTAAATTCACTAGTTTCTTATCGTACCTCTTTTGTTCCATACCACCAGCTTTCCAAATGATCGGCAATAGCTTTAGCTGCTGATATACTACTTGTAAGGTTACGTGCTGCAATTATATCACCACCACGTTTTCGCACAGTCTATGAAAAAACAAACCAAAATAAATATTTTTTCAAGTTTTTATTATTTTCATACAGCAATAAAATCATCTCTAAGCCAATTATCATTTTGAACAGATTCATAAACTGATGTTTCTCTATTATCGATCGAAACAGTGGCGAAATGAACATCAGGAAATACAGTCGATGAATGATTGCCCCAGATGATAATATTTTTAATTGTGTCTGGTAATACTTGAAGTCGAGATGCTATTTGAGTTCTTGCACGATTATGATCTAGAAGTGTTAAACAAGTAAAATTTTCACGTGGAATCGATGGAGCACAACAAGCCAAAATATAACAATTTGTATTCGCTGGATTACTAACAACAAGAACCTAATCAAACGTGTTCTTTATAATAAATTAAAAATAGAAATAAAGTCGATGTTTACTTTGACAGTTTTTTTCGCAAATTTATCAAGAGCTATGCCTTGTGATTGAAAAATTTTTACATTACCATTCAATAATTCTTTACGATCATTTGCAACTTTACGTGGCACGGAGCCAAGGAAGATAGCAACGTCAACATCTTGAAAAGCGATTTGTTCATTATCCGTCGATATGATATCTCAATGAATAAAACAGTATTTTCTATTTGTTCATCGAGAACTTTTTACTTTTCAGCAAAGGGTAATTCGAATCTACAATTTCCATAACAAGACCTTGAAGTGCAGTCATTCTACGCGCAGTATTAAATAAATGCAGAACGATAGTCTAAATAGAATATACAAATTTTAACTAATTATAAAAAATCGACAAAACTAACTTGATCTTTTCCAAAAATATCACCATTACAAAGAGGATGCATTAATAAATAAGCTATTTGACCTGCAGCACCAGTAACTACAATACGCATTGGATCTTTCATATTCGTATCCTGCAAACGGAATCCTTTTTCTTGTAAGTAAAGGAAATAGCCTCACGCCAATCTTACTGATGATGTTATGATTCACTGAACTTGTTTTTCGAAGAAAGAGTCTACTACTTATATAGTTCGGTCATGATTACCTTTCAATTTCTATTTAGGTTTTGTAGTATCATCATCGTTTCTAAACAGTCGTCATTGGTCTATAATATGACCAATAGTATAAGTAAAGTCAGTTGTCCCTATATTTCATGCCATTGTCATATAGCCCCATTCTAGATATTAATTCTCTCATTTCTAGTCTTCATTCTTATTTGTTTGATTAACAAAAACAACAGTAACATTTTCATCATGACAACAAATGCAACAACTCAACGAAATCATAATGAAAATAAATAAATATATATAAACTTAACATAAACACAATTACTATACTACAATTTTTTTTTCAATATAATCTTATTTCATTATAAGCAAAAAAATTCAGAAAAAGTCTTGTTCTATGCGTTAATATTCAATATCAAATGCTCGAACACAACCAGCCAAATAACATGATACATAAAATTGTGTTCCAGCACGATTTGCACATATACCCGATGGACGTTTTATACGTTCATTTAATTTAAATGTTGTTTTATATGCACCATCCGATGCGAATAACTATAAGAAAAAACGCAAACACACGATTGTTCGTTTTCAAAAACAAAACAAAATATCTATTTTACTTGAATACGATCATTTTTACTATCAGCACTAATAATATTGCCACCTGAATCAATAAATAAACCTGATGGATCTATCATTTCTCCATTTGCGCGTCCCTGACCACCAAAAACACTTGTAGCAGTTAATTCAAATTGATTTCGAAGTTTTGTTCCATAAATTAAACTACGACCTGCGAAAGAAAAATCAAGAGAACTTCTATGAGTCTCAACTAAATTAGGATCATAGCTAAGATCGTAATTGCTTCTCGTAAGAAGCTGCACATATGTTTTCCTATGAAATTTATAAAATCTTCATACCAAGATCGGCGATATAAATATCATCATTATGTACTGCAATAAATCTTGGTTTACTAGTTGTTTCCGGTAAGACTCTTCCTTGGATATTATTCATATATTGTTGACGGAGAATATTTTCCGGTTGACGATTAATTGAAATATTTTGTTCACAAACTAATTGGCCACTGCTTGGATCAAATAGAAGTACACGACAATTTTCAGCTGATTGATTATCGATTCCTTTTGAGTCAATTGTTAATATATATCGATCACGATATAAAGCAATACCTATGGAGAAAAAAAATGCAAGTTCTTTTGTCTGTTAGGAAAAAACGAACCATATAATTGTTTAATAGATCGGTGACTAAGTGTTTGTATTAAACGACCATCAGGCTCCGTTATATAAATAGAGTCTCGTTCAACAATTAAGATATTATTACGTGAATTACTCATAACAGCACCTGGACGATGAAATTTCATTTGCTAGAAAATAAAAAGTAATAATTAAATTCAGAATTTTATTGTTTTACAAATACCTGGTTACTTGAAATTGTATGTTTCAATAGTCCTGTTTGAATATCGAATAACCGAACAGTTTGAGCACTTCGGTGTACATCACATGAAAATAATGTCTGTTCATCATATGATAAGCCAACACCAATTGGTAAACAAGTTGCTTGGGGACCACTTTGTGGCTTACCATATGTCATATAGAGTTCACCACGTAAAATGGGTCGATCTAAATCGAAAGTCTTTGAATTATCTTCATTCAAAATTTTTCATTAATATACTTTGTTTATTTCCAAATTCTTGAATATATTCATCAGTGATATAAAGAGGTGTTTGTATTTTCGTTTGATCAATATGTAATCTAAATTGAGAGTATTTTTTCATTTTATTTATTGTATCATCGTTTGACTTACTTAGTATTGGAGCTCGTGGAACCTGAAAAATGAGAATTTGGATAATATTGTCCGTTGGTTGCATAATCCTGATTTTCATGACTAGATGAACTACAAAACAGAAATGATTGTTTCTTTTTGATAGAATGTTTGCTTACATAGCAGGTGTTACTAATGTTCTTGGTGATCCCAGTGTATTATTTAAAGAGGCACTACGCTCACTGAAACATATAGAAATAGGTGTATCTCGTTCTTGTTGATGATTGATAATGTCATGTTTAATGTTGATGTTGAATTTTGGTTGAAAAGACGTATGATCATTTTTTGTGGCTTTATTTAATAATGTAGATGAACCATGATCATTGGCAATATCCGGTTTTGATGTAGTAGTAGGTTTTTCATGAGTTGAGTTGATTGAAGTAAAAAGTGATGCATTTTGACGTGGTGGAAAAGAAGCTACAGCTGCTACTGGTTTTTTTATAGGCTGTTTATTTGTATCGATGATTTCATACTCATTCTGATAGGATGATGAAATTGAATTTTGTGATGATATGTATGATTCCGGTTGAGCTGTCATTTGTGGAGGTGGTAAACCTATCGTAGGTTTCTCGATTTGTTTTGGCAGCATTCCAGGTGGTGGTGTAATCATTGGTGTTCGATTTGGAAGACTATTGATATTTCTATTTGAATGCCCATTCGGAAAAAATGGATCTAACATGAAACATGAACTTAGAATACATAGAATTATACCAACAAGGAAATTTGTGTTTTCTCAGTCATCTCAAACTTTTGAATTTCTATTTATTTTTTCTTAGTCGCTCGTTGATCTATTTATAGAATGAGAAGATTAAAAATAAAGAAACCTGTTCGTTCGATGACATCGCGTTTTGGTTCTTGTTTAATTGGTTGCTGACCTGTAACCAGTTTGTCTATTGATATGGATTGCATTTCCATTGGCAACGAATTAATCTTTTCAAGATTTGTCAATACAGCTACAAATATTTTGTTCACCATTAGAAACTATCAATAAATATTGATATATGTGTGAGTGCCGTACCTGACATATTTTTATACATATCTGTATAAGTTGTGCTTTCAACATCTATTTTAATAAATGAGATGAATTAGTTGAAATGAAATTTAGCAAATTTTACGTTTTTGTTCAATGATTGCTAAAAGACTTCGATGAGCCGATTCAAGTAATTGTGATGTTTGTCGAATCGTATTGGGATCAAGCCATGTGAAACATTGATCAATTGCATCTTTGAGTTGAACTAAACAAACAAGAAGAGATGAAGATAAGCTTTACTATAGAAATATTTACTTGCAAATTGTTGAATATCATCATATATCAATTCTGATTCAGGTGCAAATCGAGTAAATGTTTGCGAAAGTGATAATAAAACGTTAAATGTATCTTGCGGATTGCTATGCATTAATACAATACACTCATCTAAGGCTGGCTGAAGGAATGTATTTACTGCATAAGCAAATGGATGAATCCTTTAGAGAGAGAAAAAACAAGTATCGATAAATTAATTAAAGCCAACAAAAAAAATCATACTGATGAGCTAGAAATTTGAAGAGTAATAATTTCGGTCGGTCGAAATTATTCGACGACGGTGGATCTGATTTTATCATTGATACGTTTTGATATTCTATAATAATATGAATTTTAATAAAAAGAAAAACGACATGGCCTATTCCTAGTCCCTCACTTTTTTTACCCATTTTTTAAATCCAATAGGATTATATACTAGCTTCGAGTCGAATTGCTATCTATCATGAATATTCTTATTCAGTGCGACATCTTGTTTTATATTCAAATCGTAATCGATTATTCCTTCCTTGCACTGATACATATCCTAGACAATGATCATTCAAAGTTTAATTAAGTCGGAGAAGCCGACGAGAGCTATATTCAAAGCATATATTCTTATGTTATAATTTCATGTATAGAAAAAAACACAAACAACAAACGAAATTTTTTTTAAATAAAATATCTGACACAACATATGTTTATATACATTAGAATCAAGTGTTATTAGTCGTTTTTGCCATACGTGGCGGAATAGGAGGTGGCGGTGATGATGAATTTGACGATGGTGCATCAGGAATTATTGAATTTGATATATCAGGTTGAAAGGCAACCACTCTTTCAGTTGTTGTTGTTGCCTAAAATATACATAGGGTAAGTGATTTGTTTTTACTAATTTAAATTTAAAATGTTACTGGTAACACATCTGTTGGATTATTGTTCAATTCAACGGGCGAATGGTTTGTAAGAATATGATTTCGTTGCAATCTATGTGGACTTTTAGCAAGACGAGACATAATACCAATTCGTGTAGGACTTCGTTTTGTTGTGATAACTGTTGTTGAAGCATCACTGTTGTTAGTATGATCGAATAAAACTTTACTGCACGATCTATTACTATTCGGTGATGTTTTATCAGTTCGACCCGGACTAGAACTTGGTGATTTTGGCGGTTTAAGAGTAATAATATTATTATCGTTAGCAGTAGGGTGAGGACTTATTTTAAATGGTGAAATTTGTTCATTGGATTTTGTCTAAAATAGAAAATTTATCTCAAGAGGAAACAGAAGTTCATTTTTATGTACCATCTTTTTTTCGGGTGTTACAGAAATAGTGTTTTCGTCTTGTTCTCTAGGTGAAATTATAAAATTTTCATTTATCTGTCTTTCATAATTATCATCAAGCGCTCGATTTGATTGCGTACGATAATTTGTCGTCAGTGAATGTTGACGACGAAATCTTGCTATAACAATATTTGAATCTGATGATTCTCCATGTTCATTATAGGTTCGAAGTTTTATTTTATATTCTCCTTCGTCACGAATATAATCGATAATAGCTTCGAAACGGCCTGGATCAATAGCTCCTTTTAATGTATCATCAATATATATTCGATAACCAAGTATGCCACGATGTTCATTCAATGGATTAGGTATCCAATGAAGATAGAAACTTTTTGTGTCGCGTTTGGATATATGAGCACGAAGTGGAGGATATAGATTAGAATTTGGTTTCATACTAGAATTCAATGATTCGTCCGTCTGAAAATGAGACTAGTTGTTAGCAAAAGGAGGTAGATAGTGAGAACGTTTCCTTACTAATTTTGTATCATTGGTATTTAAACGACCTTCAAGTTCATGTATACGTTGATGTAGTAATCGATTTTCTTGTCTTAATTTTTCAGTTTCACGTTGATGCGTTGATGTTTGTGTTTCACACTAAAAATATTCGAGAATGTATGGAATTATAATATTTCGAATTTCACTTTTTTCCATAGTGCAGCTAATGCTGATGTTTGTAATTCTGTTGTTTTTGTAAATCGTTCATGTAGATTAAGATATCTTCAATAGGATGCATTATTTTATAGAAGACGAAACAAAACAAAAAAGCATTTCTCATCAACATACGCTTGCAGAATTGATGTTCGCATTGTTTCAACGGATTCAGTCAATCGTTGTATTTCAACATTATTATTCATTGTTATACTTTGAGTTGAAAGCATACCGATAACAGGAGCTGATTTCAATTGAATCTCATCATCGTCATCGTCATTGATACGTTCTAATTTTTAAAAGAAAATAGACTTATGTTTTCAATGTGTCGCTCCATAGAATTTAAATCAACAACAATAGTGTGATGTTGCGTGTTTGTTATAACTTTTTTTTATCTCAAGTGATTCTTACGATTTTTGTTGGCATTTGAAGTACTTTTCGATGGTTGTTGCTCTTTAATTTTGACCTTGGCTATCGTTGTCAAGCAATGTACACTTTCTTCAAGTGAATGATTCAGTGCTCGTAATGCGTTGGTGTGACTTGAATTGGTTGTTTGACGTTTAACACGATTGTGACGTTCTACAAGTTATTTTAAGTTTACTATTAATGAATGAAGGCATCTAATTATTTCTTACGTCGAACAATATTTCGATTTGATGTTGTATGTAAAGCGGATGAAGCAGTTGGTCCGATTCTTGTTATTTTTGGTGAATAACGATTAGCATTGTAGACTAAATGAGGCGATATTCGCTTAGCTTGTGGAGTATTGCTGGACGTTTTCGAATGAAAACTCTTTGCATTGCTATTGGTATTACTAAAAATATTTAGAGAAAAAATGTTTTGTCTGTCGTAAGATTTGCAATAATTACTTATTAACTGGATATTCATTGAGTTTGGTTTGCAGCATATCTTTATCAAGTGGTTTTATAGGTCGATTATCATAATTAGTATAACGTTTGCTAGAACTGTTGTCAGTTATTTGCTCATCGATATAATTCGTATTGACACTGGTTGGTCTAGAAAATCCTGGACTAGGCGTTCGCATCTGTTGTTCTACATGTGGCAGACGTTTTGAAAAAGAAAAATTGAAATGCAATCGAATAATCTTACGATGAGTAGATACTAGATGTACATCAGCCGTAGAAACTGAAGAAGTCAATTTAAGAAATTCCGATTCTGATATTATTGTACTCTGTTGAGATTTTGCTTGAGCAGCTAAAATTTAGAACGCTTATTTTTAGTAACGACCAATCAACAATAAATAAATAAATATAAAACTTTTCGATAGTGTTTCATTGGCATCTCTCATCGTATCAGATGTTGCTAGCATTTGATCTACAAATAAATTGTTGAGATTTGAAAAGCATATTCTATATTGTTTTACTGTACCATCTACACTTTGCCTGTGTTGATTATATAAATCTTTTTGAAGCATAATACGTGATAGATGAAGATCGTCTCTCTTGAAATGAAATAAAAATGGATTCTAAAATTGAAACACTACATTTCTTTACTTGATCGGGATCTGTTCCACAGACTCTTGTTAAATATTGAACAAGTTCTATATGGTCACCGGGTCGAAATGATCGACCTTTGCCTTGACTTAATAACCATTCAGCTTTTAAACTATATTATGAATAAAACTCAACTGAAATATCATTGTTCAATTGAAAATCTTACCTTTCTTTTCGCGTAATAAATATTCCGTCTAAATTATGGATAGATAAACACCAATTGAGAATATATGGCCGATAATCGAATGGTTGATGGCAACCATATCTTTCATCAATGACAGATAGACACGGGTTATCAGCAATATAAAGTGTATTTAAATCGATAAACGACGTTAGATAAGAAATCTGTTATTTATTTTTATAAAAGAAAAAGTTCATATTCGTAACAAAAATAACAAGAATTAATTTACTTCAGTTAAATCTTGAATTTCATTATCGGATATAACAAGTGTATGCAGTGATTTTGGCCAATGACGTGGAATTGAAACTAATGTATCAATAAAATTTTTATGTAAATTTAAATACTACGAAAACAAAATAGAGAAAAACAATCGACAAGTTATTTTTATTGTGAATTAAAACTTAATTTACTTTAAGAGATGTCAAATGTGAAAGATCTTCAATCTGTTGAATTGCGTTTTCACTTGCATCTAATGATTGTAAAGCATGACATGTACTCAACGCAGCAATACTATGAATGTTATTATTCGAAATATTCAACATAGTAAGATTTTGTAAATTTTTAAGACCTTGCGAACAAAATAAATCAACATTTAATGATCAATTAGTTGTTTTCTTTTTGACTTACAGTCAATTGAATCAATTAAATTATATGATAAATTGAGTTTTTGTAAAGATCGTAATCGATTAAGTAAACGAATATCGACAAGACGATTATGAGATGCTGATAACTGAGACAAATATCATGAAAAAAAAACGATTACTTTTCTCTACTAATTCTTTTTCTTACTTGAATTAGTTGTGGAAAATTATCTAGATTTTCAATTTTACTTATTTCATTTTGATCAAGTAAAATAATATTAAAATTAATATTATTTGGTAATTTATCGATTCTGTGTAAATGTTTTGAACATAGGTCAAGTCGTGTTAAATTTTGTTCTAATAAACGATCATCAACTGAAAATACTAATGGCTGATGAATGCGATTTGACATTGTTGTTAACATTTGTTGACTTTCGTATGGAGGATGCGAACTAATTTGGCAATGAGTTAATGGAAATTTATGTTGTATGACTTGCATGAGAAGACGCAATTTCTTTTTTTTTTACATGAAATAATCAATCAAAAATAAAACACTACGGTTGATGTATACGTTTCGACTTAAGATGGTGTAATTGACACTCTTTTTCTTTTTCATACGCCTGCATTATTTTTCTCGTTTTAGAAAGCATTTTTTCTCGAATTTAATAGGTGTGTGCCATACTTTCGAATGTAATCATATCCATAGTAACCATTGTTAAATAGTTTATAAAAGAAATGCTTCTCATAATAAATTCTATATATCGAGATGGTTGTTAGACAGAACTCGCCAGGTAATATTAGGTTGATTATTGCTATTTGACTGACAGAGATCGCTATATGTCAGTAGAGTAAACTGCCTTCTGGTATGATTATTATTGATCAAAAATACTCTAGAATAGAAATGTACGAGATGACTTTTTAGTTCAGGAAATGAAATTCGTCATTTAAATTAATTCAAATACGAGTATGCACGGCATTTTAGATTTTATGCAAATCAATTTTGTAGATATAACGCGATCATCGGTAAGATTATTGCTAGGGAAGACTCCAAAATAAAACCTGAAAATATTTCTATTCGTTTAGTAATTGATATTTTTTAAGTTTGTATTTTGTTTTTCGGTTGTTATCGGCGACATCAGCCACGATGGTTTTGTCAATATTGATGGTGCCTACTGCAGGACGGACAGCGTAGGCATATTTCTCGAGCTATGGTCATGGAGCTTTTACTTGACATAGGATCTTAGAAACTAGAAGTGATTCTAAGTCAATTGCAATCGCTGTTAGATATTTAAATCCCGACGAGTAATCTGATATTTTATTGGCCATCATTCAGGATAGCACATTGCTATGTTGCTTGTCAGAGATACTAGTCAACCTTTTCTACGTAATCTATGTAGTATTAAAACCCCAAATATAACATGTCGTAGAGCAAGTCTAGGTGCATTGAATGATGCATATTTTATTTTTAAATGACTTCCTATAGCTCTTTTCATAAATGATGACCCGCCATATAATACAAAAATAAAACATACTATATGAAATTTGGAATATACGTGTGGTTTGCGGATACAGAAAGACCGAAACTCACATTCGCGTACCCTTTATTCTGAAGCGGTTCCTAATCCGGCAGGGCGATTGGCAAAACAAAATTTCACTTCCTGTCTTTTTTGTCGCTTTGATCTTACCATTAAAGATTGCTTTTTCTATCGCACTTTATATTCAAGACTCAGTCGTATCAGGCAGGTGCATATTTATTTAGTAATTCGCCTTGATTGCTCTTCTACTCAAATCGACATTGATCTAGCATCAATTTTTTCATGTCGGCATTCGAATTTTTAATGGAATAATAAATAAAAGATTGATTCCATAAAAGTTGTTAACGATTGCTCAATATTGTTTTCATTTATAGAAGATATATTTATTGGTAAGTCACGTTTGTAGGTTAATAATGTATCTTTATGTAATTAATCGATTGATTAATTCATCGATATTTTCGAATATATGAACTAATATTGAATGCTGTTTTCTGTCGAGTTTTAAATTTTCACCTTGTTTTCTTAAAAATGTGTCTTATAACGCGTTATATAGTCAACAAAATTGATTATAGAATTCGGAGCATCATCTAATCAAAAAGCCAAACTACGCGAAAATCCTCATGATTTTGTATTTCATCCAATTCCGTTCATGATAGATTATATTTTTCCATATCATGTTTATAATAGGATTCGTATTTCGAAGTTCTTACTATTTTCGTAGAAATCTTTGATTGCAACTAATCCGTATTTCTTGATGTGGAATCTTTTTCTAATGGTTTATGCTTCAGCTCGATGTGCTGGTGAATGTCATACTCCATTATCAGCACGGTGATGAAAACTAAACAATTTCATATATCAATAAAAACAATGTGAACCATAAGGAACAATCACTTTTTTATTAGAATTTGCACATGTTAATTTTTTCATCGGATTCTTAATTGTACTGATACCCGTCGAAACTTTATGTATGAATGATTTGAGTAAAATTCAAAAGCATATGACATTGAATCAATAGTGATTTTCTTGTTCTCTTATCTCTTGCCAATATCAATAAGCAAGTGCAGTCAAACTGCAAAACTAATAGAACAATTGGATGTCAATATGCAATTTTCTCATCGGCAGGTCTTTAAATTTCTAGAGAGCGTCAGAAATTTGAATTAAAACAATCTAATTAATTCTCAATAGATTATTCACAAGTTTGTAAATATCAGCGAGCAATTGCGTCTGTGCATAGACACCTACGTGACCGTATATGACGACTGGTGTTATAATGATAGGATTTGATATAATGGTTTTAGATTGTTTTCTTTCTTCTCCTGTGCCTGTGTGCATTATTCTTCGTTGGACGTATGTTTTTTCTCTCACAATTTTTATGATAAAAACGGATCGCTTATACTAATGCAAAGAATCTAACATAACTGGCATTGGTATCTATTGAAAAAATGAATATTTTGCTTCCTCATAATCCAATGCGTTTCTTGGTACAGAGTCTCGTAGTAATTACTTTAGATTAAGTCATACTTAATACTTCATACATATAAACAAAATATTCATTATCAACGAAAAAGCATCACAATTCTTTTCTAAGTACATAAATAAATCGTTTTAGCAGTCATTATATTGATCTCAGATTGATTAGTAGCAAATTCGTTTTTATCTGGCGAAGACGTAACATGAGGAAAGGTTTCGAAGAGAACGAAAAAAAAGATATTAACTCATGAAATGGTTATTGGTATCTGACTGAGTAAAAAAAGAAAGAGCATATCATATAGATATGAACAGTGTCTTTGGCGTTTTTTTTCTCTTACAGTAAATGTCTATAATACTATTCAAACAATTATACTTAGACTATCTTGGGCTAGGATTCACTCAAGTACAATTTGCAGTTTAAGCAAATTTTGAGGGAAGATTCTTTTACGTTTTCAGATATGGACTGGAACAAGAATTTTGTACTTTACTTGAAAACGAGTTTATCAGTTCGAAAAAATTGTTTGATGCGAATCGTGAACAAAGGTATCCTCGATTCTCAAATTATGAAATCACAAAGAAATAATTATAATATTTGTTATCTATAAGTATGTACAGACATGATAGTACAGCGACGAAGTTCTCTTATTTGAATTCGAATATTAGTGAAGTATCAAGCGTGTTTTTTGGAGCGTAAGTTAATTAAATACACCTTTAAAATACAAATTTAACTTAGTACAAACGATTTTGAAATAAAACTATGCATATTGCCAAGTGTAATCAAATGAACTATAATGAAATCGGCGCTAAAACATATCCTTCAATAATATTTCAATAAACTATGTCAATGGATCTAGTTCATCGTCAAGAAACGAGCAATACTATAGCAGCTATAATTGATGGCTATGTGAACAATGTATACAATGAACATGAAAAAGAAGATCTGCGTATTTCAACAGTCCCTATTCTGCAAAAGAAGCTTAAAAAAATTAAGTAAAAATATTTATTTTGTCTCTTCATAATGATTTCTGTTTGTATTGTTTTCAAAAGTGAACAACTAATCTTTTTGCATGCTGAAAATCGTCTTCTATTGAATTATCTAATATGGTTTGAAAAGAAAATAATTCGAAATTCAGATCATGAAAACAGAGATTCCGAAAATATTCTTCTTACAAGTAAACAGAATGAAAATTGAATTTTTAAATTAACTATTTATTGTTTAGATGAGCTCAAATCGTTTCCTCATCAAATTTTAAAGCATAAAACTAAACAAATATTACCAATTCAGAAGAAATGTGAAATTGCTGAAACAACATTTAAAGTTCTTCTTGGTTATTCACAAAAATACAGTAAGAATGCAACACAATATGTCGATGAATGCATCGTAATGAAATCAAAATAAATTAACTAAAGATAAAAGATAGATGTTTTTTGAAATGCATATATTTAGAATACAATCGAGACTGATAATGAAACAATAGTACATTTAGAATTTGAATTGATTGCACTGCAGAGATTTATTCAAAAAATGCATCAAAATCTACGTAATACTCAAAAACAATTCACAGCCGAAGAATTTTTCGCGTATGTTCATGATCGAATTCGTTATCGAGTAAGTTGTCTTGTGATTCTAGTCCCATGATAGTTCTAAGTTTCATAGAGTGTTGAAAACGTTCGCTGGACTTTTAATACAATAGCTTCGAAAGTAATGCTAAATAGACTGTAGGAAATAATTGAGATTTCAGAATTTCCATTTCATACATTTTGATTCATTAAAATAAATATTCAAACTGATCTACTCGTCTACTAGTGTGTTATATAGTTCAACACAAAAAAAAGGAAACATTTTCTATTGACTACAAACGCATTAATTACGATAGAAAGGTCAACAGGGTATTATCAACGAAACCTTGTTATCGTGTAACTTTCATATGATATTTGACATTGGAAAATTTTGAAGAATTTTCTGTCAATTCATCTCAGTTTTGTTCGTTTTCTAGGATGCGTTGAACGAAAGAGTATGTTACGAAATCATAACACGCGAGCAAGATTATGTTTTTTAATATAATACAATAGAAACGACAAAAAACAGTTCGTCTTCATTTTCATCTTAATGGTATGGAGAAATCAATTCGAAAAGTTAGATCTACAAATGTTGCTAATTTTATTTTATATTATAAGAAATTGCAGATTCGTCAAGTAGTTGACGCAGTAACAGATATTGACTTTGAACAATTAAAAATTGATATAGAAAAACAATTGAAAGAATTAAATATGAAAAATAAAATGCTTATATTTTATAAACGACAACAATCTGAAGCAAATCTGAAGCTAAATGCAAAAAAGGTTTTTACTGTGATATGAAAATTTTTCTAGTATCGATCTGTATTTCTTCTTATTTACATTTAGCCGGAGTTATTTAAAGCAATTCGTGCACTTGCATCAATCCGTAATGAAATTAATAAAGCCATTCAACAACTAAATCACTATCATGAATTGGAATGTAAAATGCAAGATGTATATATACATCAACGAAGCAACTGGCCTATGCTGATGCCAATTTGTTTTTGTTTTTTTTGCAGGAAATTCTTGAATATGAAAAAATTAATGATCCTCTACGCGAAATGACTCTTTCCTATCGTGTACCATCTATAATCAATTATGTTGATTTGAAATCAAAGCAAATAAATCTCTATCGTCAAATGCATACATGGGAGCGGAAAGTACAAATTGCTGAACGTGAATTACATTTACGTCAAATTGAATCAATGAATTATCCTGAAAAAATTATTCATCCATGGAAATATCTTCAAAATCCATCACCTACTCTATTTTATCAACGTTACAAAATATACGGTGATCGAGCAAATGAACAAAATGAAATCGATAATACTATTGAGAAAAAAAAATCGAATCGTTCTCTACCGAAATTAAATAATAAGAAATCATCGATATTTACTATTATATGACAAATAAACTCATTCCACTATTATCATATTCATTTGAAAATTTTCAGTATACAAATGTTTCGTGAAATAAAAAAGAAAATGTAAATAGATAACAATTTGCTGGCCACCTACTCCTCCTTTCCTTTTTTTTTCTTTATCAAAAACTAGAGTGTAGTAAGAAAATTCTTAGCTAGATAGATTTTTCAACAATAAAATGTTGGTGTATGATTGTAAACACTATTTTTTTTCATAGCAACGCAGCGGTAGATCTAGTATGTGTGGGTGTTTCTTTTTTAATAATCACCCACCTGCAAACACACACCCTGAATAAATATTTGATGATGTTGTGAACGAGTAATTACCATATAATTAGTAGTAAATTCTAGATCAAGACAATATTCAATTTCACAATTATCAAATAAAAACATCAGATTATATGCAATACGAGGTTAGAATAAGCTAATCAAAAGGAAAAAAACAAAGATAACTTAATGCAATCGGCGAAAATAGTCGACGTGGGTCACGGCACCAATGTTAGTCTATCTGGACTAGACGTGGAAAAACACATAAATGTTTATTTCAAACATAAACAAAGGAATATGTAGAGATGTACGCGCGAGGATACAAAGAAGAAACAAAAACTAAAGAAAAGAAGAAAGAACGAAAAAGAAAGAGAGAACGAATCATGGAGACTCGTATTTTCTCTTCAATTCGTTTGCTTTCAGTTCGATAGATTTCTCGACTTTTGCAACTGTTCGTTTGCATCATTGAACTGTTGTTGAGCAGTTTGTGCTTGTTCTTGTGCAATTTATCTTTTCATTTTCAATTCTTCTACCCAGGTGAATGAATCCGATACCAAACCCGATCGGATCTTATGAAGCTCGATGAGTCGACAACGTCCCATGGGATCCCGGGTTCAGGAACTACTAACGGATCCCTAGTGTTGGAATCCGGTGAACATCCGATCAAACCCAACAACCGAATTCGATAGGAATTTCAGGAGTCAGATCCCAAGGAGGTCCTAAAGAAACCTATCGGATTTTTACTGGTGCCTGCAAGAATCGATCGGATTCCAATACTAGGGATCGGNGGATCTTATGAAGCTCGATGAGTCGACAACGTCCCATGGGATCCCGGGTTCAGGAACTACTAACGGATCCCTAGTGTTGGAATCCGGTGAACATCCGATCAAACCCAACAACCGAATTCGATAGGAATTTCAGGAGTCAGATCCCAAGGAGGTCCTAAAGAAACCTATCGGATTTTTACTGGTGCCTGCAAGAATCGATCGGATTCCAATACTAGGGATCGGTGAGTCGGTTCACAACCCGGATTTACTTCGAATCCTGCAGAAACCTATCGTAATCCGATCGAAATCCGTTTGGATGCAGCTATCGAATTATTCATTCCAGGCAGTTCTAAAAGTTTGAAATGAAGATTTTTCTGAGGTTAACATTGAAAAATTATTTTTACCAGCATATTCTTGTTGTTTTTCCAAAGTTCAAATTTGATCAAGACCAGATTGAACATCTAATTTTTGTTTTTTGCTTGCATTAATATATAAGTTACCAATTTTAATAGCCAAAGAATCATCCGGATCAGTTGGATTAGTGACAAGGACTCTACGTAAATTGTAAAATGAAAGAGATCATTAACAGATCGAAATATTCTCGCTGTAGATGTTCGATTTCTTCTGTATCAAATTATGACACGATATATGGCCGAAAGTGAATCCTGACAGAATTAGTCACATATTACTTACGTATGTGGTGCGAAAATCGATTAAAATAGTCAATGACGATCCTTTTTACATTGAACTCAACTGATGATGATTTTCAACTCTTCTTATCTCTTTATCTCATGGGCAACCAAGTTATTGTCATATGATGTGATATCATTTTTCAAGCACTTCAATATGGAATCAAAGTATTGAAAAAAATCATTGGTCGGTATGAATTCACATGGACCGCACTGCTCTTAGTATGGGCGGCTTTCCCTGCTAATTTATTGTACATATAAATTCTTGTGAATTAAATTTCGAAAAAAGAAAATTTACAAAAGTTCAACTTTTTTAAATTTGTTTTTGATTTGATGATTCTTTGAAAATTTACATCGGTTACCCTTAGAAATGACTATGCAATACAAATAGAGTTTTTGATGAAATTCATATTTTTTGACGCAATCCAGATGAGAAGACCGCACAGAATGTTTACGCAAAAAAGAAAAGTTTGTGATAATATTTGAAACATGCAGATGCTTACTCCGTTTAAGACTTTACTTTAGAATATCATATTACTTTTTTTTATCTATATCATAGTTTTATGATCAAAAGTTATTCAATACCAGTATAAATAGACTTGACTCATCTCTCATGAACAGTGTCCTTAAAACTTCTTTTATTGGCCACTTTTTTCCTCGATATTTTTATTATGTATAGAAATGCTTAGAAAATGCTGTTGAACCATGTGAAAATGATCTAGTTGATCATGAGATAAATAGGTTCAAGCATTCGAGTATCATCAACAGTCAGATTTGACGTACATGTGATGGCCATGGCCTATCTTAATCGATCTGTTCATTGCACAAACATGTGTTATATGACTAATTCCATTTGAAATCATTTTTTTGGCACGACTTAAATGATATTGTAACATGTAAGAATCAAAATTTCCCGAAACGATCAGTTTTAAAGAGTTATTGATCTTCCTTCTTTACTGCAGATATAAAATTTAAAGTCTTCATTCGCAATTAGGTGTTTTTCTTCATCTTTCTTGGCAAAAAAATGAATAAAAAGATTGTTTCCGAAAACAAAATGGCTATCATGTCAAAAATAAAAAATCTTAGATAAAAAAAGCCTATAAAATTTAAGGAACAAAAATTGACGCTAATAAGATTTTTCATCAAAGTCAAATAGAAATATGCCATCGGGGTAAAACTACTATTTTTCTTTGAAAAATAATCTAGACTGTGCTTCTACAAATTTTCAAGACCATTATTCTCTTAAAAAATACATCAGAATGGCTAAAAATCAGCCAACAAAAGTTTCATCGAAAAACAACAAATCGTGATAGAATGTGCATGAAGTGTATCCTTTCGATTTCCTAAGTCTCTTCTCTGGTAGTCTAACAAAACGATTTGTCCACTGAACGGCAACAAAAGTTTGGCTTGTGAATATATATAAATTCAACGCATCACTTTTATTCTTCTTAAAAAAGTATGGAAAACAACTATTTGAGAAGCAAACAGGACTTGTTTTAAAATTACTTTTGTATACGATATTAATCACTAATCGAAATTAAAATACTTAAACCACCAATACCTGAACTTCTCACCAGGTTCTGGTTCACTAGGTTGCATAGCGCACTCTTCAATGAGTAATAGACCAGAGCATACGGTCGAACTATAACGAAAAGAAAAGTACAACTAGTTTTAATATTGGTAAATAGTCAATGATAGCAAGTGTCATGTTGAATAATATCGATGCATGATGAATAGTAGTAGTAATTAACCAAAGTTATATATGAAATTTTATTCAAAGTTGTTTTTTTTCTAGTGATACGAATTATCGATCAAATTCTTAGAAATTAACCAGTTTTCATTCCTTTCTCTGCTCAATAGGGTAGAGCTCAGCAAATAATGTTTTGTATGGCAACGAAAATAAAAGTTTCATCATTTTTAATTTGAAAATTCAAATAAACTTACGAAGTAAAACCCAGAAGAATGAATCCGATACCAAACCCGATTGGATCTTATGAAGCTCGATGAGTCGACAACGTCCCATGGGATCCCGGGTTCAGGAACTACTAACGGATCCCTAGTGTTGGAATCCGGTGAACATCCGATCAAACCCAACAACCGAATTCGATAGGAATTTCAGGAGTCAGATCCCAAGGAGGTCCTAAAGAAACCTATCGGATTTTTACTGGTGCCTGCAAGAATCAATCGGATTCCAATACTAGGGATCGGTGAGTCGGTTCACAACCCGGATTTACTTCGAATCCTGCAGAAACCTATCGTAATCCGATCGAAATCCGTTTGGATGCAGCTATTGGATTGTTCGTCCCGGGTATGAATACGCTCAATTGGTTGAGCTGAACAAATTATTTTCAGTTCTTCACTGGAAATCCAAGATGGAATATTCGATATTTTAATTGTTCTCTACATAAATGCAGTAATTCGTATGCAATATGAATATAGAAATAAAATAAAAGTTACTTCACATGTATTCCATTGATCAATTTCGCGTGGTTTTTCTGCAGCTTTCACAATTTTCGATGACGATGATGAACGACTATTAGATGACCTGAAATAAGAAAAACAACTACGATGTTTTTTTTTCTCTTTCCTTCTCACTTTGTATCTATCATTGTCAATAGGAATAGGGATGCACCAGTACCAGTATTATACTGGTCTTATTTTTTAGAAATAATTATTGTTTAATCAAGTAATTTTCTCTACCATCATTTTTTGGTATATTTAAATAAAAAAATTCAGTTCTAAAAAGTCGTGTACAGCATATAATCTTGTTTTTCAACTAGTTGATAACATAAAGTGAACGTTCTTCATTCCTTTCTATCATTTTCATTTACGGACTAACCAGTATTAGTGAAATACTGGTACTACCCAGGTCGAACGAGCACGGTCGTTTATGACCGTATATGGACTCCGTAAACCTCAACATGGGTGGGTACTGGTCCAGTAATACTGTTCGACCAGTATACTGGTACTGGTGCATCCCTAATTGTCAATGATTCACATTAGTTTAGCAGAGAGATTAGTGGGTGAGTTGAGTTAGTATCCCAGTCAGAACGAGAAAATGGAAGGAAAAATGTCCGTTTATTCATTCGTTCTTTCTATCAGTGCTGCAACGAGTATTGATTGACTATGCGGTTGGTTCGAATGAAAATTCCTCTTGATGCAACACAACACTGCGTTGTATCGATAATAGATGTCGATTAGTTGCAGTGTTCAATATATGAGATGAGAAGTTGACTGCCGTTTTTTAATAGGTAAAAATGTTTGTCAAGACATCTGTTCCAGACCAAATTAAACTTAGACAGAATTTGTTCTTCCCAGGTGAATAAATCCTATGACAGGTCCTATCGGATCAGATGGGATCCTGTCACCCAACAGAATCCGATGGGATTCCGGGTTACGGATTGACTGTCGGTTCCGACAGAAAAAAAACATTTTCTTAATTAGGGGTGAATATGCATATTTTCTCATAAGAACACTAGGGTCATACGTTCATGTCGAATTCCGTTAATTTCCAACACTGGATCCTATGAAATTCCTACACCAATGATCCGACTGTAGGTCCTGATCCCGGAATCCTATAGGATTTCGTTGGTTTTATTGGAATCCATGGATATTTGGTATGTTTACGGTCTGACCCTTGTCGGAATCCGATAGGATCCTAGTCTCGGAATGACTCTCCTGGGTTAATTAGGCAGAAAACTATGAAATCATTTTCTTACATTTTAACATGAGTTCTGATTTTTGGTTACATTAAAAAAGTTTGGCATGCAGTTATCATTTTTTAATCGAACCGAACAGCCATTTTCACTCATTCATATATAGGGCGTATGATACATGAATGGCTCATCTTGTTACGTTAAAATTGCAAAATAACTTTCGATAGCGTTTCGATGAATAAAATAAATAACATTAAAAACTTTTTGACTATTAAATTCCGAGTGAAAGTAGTTATGATTATTCTATTACAGACAAAACATTAGCTAAAAACCTCTTCCAGTTATTTTGTGATATAGGAATATAACTGAAACAAAACTTCACATCATATAATATGTGTAAATTATATATATTATTTATCGGCCCCGTTAAATTTGAAGACAAATTGACATCAATACTAAAAAATACTATTATGAAGGCAACAGCTTAAAAATCGCTATTTTTGGTTGTTGGTCAAAGTTTTTTTCACGAGAAACTAGACTTTAATTGAGAATATTCGCAGACTCTACAACGTCCTATACTAAACAACACTTCGCATATAATCAAACACAATAATAATCAACACATGTATGACATGAGACTAGTTTAATACGAATTAAGCGGATCATCGTTTAAAATAATCCTCTTACTTTAGAAAAAAGTAATTGTAATAGGGATAAAGCTTGACAAATAAGATGAACTATAATTGCTTCAGACAATAGCTCATAAAATAAAATCATACTGTATTAAACACGGTGAATAAAATATTCTAATTTTTTAAAATATTACTAACAGAAAATAAACCTAACCATTCTTGTATTGTATACGTGCTTTTAGTCAAAGTTAAGAATAAGCACATGTAATCTTACATTTGTATATCAAGTTATATTTACAGGCCTCGTAGCAGTGCTACTTTCCTGATTTTCCTGATTTTGATCAAAAATCGGTGACCGTTCAATTCGTCGCAAATAAGGGAAAGAGTGCATTAATTGGATTAAGCGATTTGTTTAGTTTGTTTTTCAATTAAACATAAATGTGTATGTCATAGTGAAAATTAAAATTATGCTGGGAAATTTTTTTATTTTTTATCTAGAAGAATTTGAGATATTCCTGTTAGAAAGATTAAAACTTCGATTTTCCTAGGACAGTTTTAAATCTTCTTAAATCTTAATTTCTATTGCAACATAAACTTTTTAAAAAGATGATCAGACCTCTTCAGGAGCACTAGATTTTCTTTCTACAAACAAGTGATTCAGTTCCCTAAAAATTACTTAAAAATTCTTCTATCACAATTTCAATAGTCTGTTATTAGATGTAACTCAAATCCAGTCTTTTACAGTTTTTTGTTGAAATCTTGAGGTAAGAAACTCAAGAAATGAAGCGAAAATGTGCTCTTTTTTTATCTGTATGATTTGCTTAGTATTTTATGGAATAATTCTCCATGATTTGAAAAATTGTTAAATCATTGAATAAAGTACTTTTGAAAGTTTTCGAAATGGATTTTTGAGTTTTCGATGCTGCGATCATTAAAAGAATAGTTGCATTAAATCTTATAACTTGATTTGTTCTACATATCAGTTTTTCAGGCGATCCAATAAGGTTTAAAAGGATCTATTTTGTCGAGAGATAAGTTGTAAAAAATCTCAGACTAAAAAAACTATTTTTTGAAATACAAAATTACCTGGAAATCACATTTTAATTCAAAAACTTTAATTGAAGGTTTAGTTGAATTTTGTGAAATTTTATTTTGAGTTAAACTTTATTTTTAGCCAATATAAATTTAAAATAAATAGAGTGCAGACCAGCAGCTCTGCCCTTTTTTTTTGATAAATATAAATAAATAGTAGAACGAGTCTCATTATTGGCAGTGATAACATCTTTTGAGATCATTTATTGAAAGCAAAATTACTTAATCCAATTAATGTACTCGTTTCTATATATATATATATATTCGACGAATTGTACTAGTGCCTAATCAGAATACAAATACCGATAATCTTCAATAGGATTGTCAAAATGGAAATGTAGCCTTAGAATTTCTATGTAATTATTTAAAATTAGACAATATATACAAGCATCTTGATTGGCATGACTAGGTAAAATTAAAATACGAAATTCCACTTCTCAGTAGATTTCACTGTTTTCTGTTTATTAGAAAAGTAGCATGAACTCGACCTCATTCATCTTATTTTTGAATTCTTTGTATTATTGATTAATTAGAATAAAACTATAGACCTTAGACGTTTTAGATTTTCAAGCAATATTTTATCTGCTCTAACAAGATGAGTTCTATCAAATAATTGTCGGAAAAGAGATTGGCAAATTTGATCTAGTCTTTGAATTATTAATACCTTAAAACTCGTATGTCTGAGGCCATTCTCATCAAGAACAGGCTCTCAATATTAACGATCTTTGATTGATAGTGCAGGGTTTTAATAGAATTAAAATATGTGTGGTCGTAGTGAGTTACAACACAAACACTTTGATTGTAATCGGCAAAGAGGCATGATTCAATAAGAGTTCGGTTGTTCGTAACAATATAGAAAACAATTTGATAACTTCTTACAAAGAATAAAGGCACTGGAATGCAAGATCTTATTTGAAAAAAAATAGGGCTGACTACAGCAGAAGTAACGAATATATCAGACAAGAAGTTCATCATTTACTTTGGACTATTTACTGAATATTCAAAAACTTAGTATGTATAGTTATGTATGCAAAAACAATCGAAAACATGGATAACTCTAAAAAATATCATGAAATTAATCTACTCTCCAAATGAGTACACCTGATAATTTCACGAAAAAAAGTGTATTTCACTCGTACTTGCTGACAAAAATGTTCCAGTTAATAGATTGTAAGAGTAATTTCTCAATTCTATTGCTTATCATATATGTGATAGAACGTTGATGATACAGGTATAATTTATGCATTTCAGAATCCATATATTTATAATGAGTCTTTTGATCAAACAAAAACAAGGCTTGTTTTCTTTTTTAGTGAAACAAAAGAAAGAAGATTGTCTGCATTGTTTTATCTCATTTACATTGAAAAAAAATCTGGCTTTGTCTAGTAAAATGAATCATATTCGTAGTTTCATTCATCGGTCACGTTACACTTTGCTCTTCGTCAACACCCAAATTTATTTATTTGAACACAATGAATATCACTTACAAATACTTAGTACAAACACTTATTTGAGTATCTAGAGAAAATTTTCAAGTGTTCAAATATTTGCAATGCAAAGAACATCAATTAGAACACTTTACCATTGTCAAAAATCAAAAAAAGAAAATACTCGTAGCATCCTTTTACTAAAATAATGTTATGTATTGAAGAAAATCAAATCATGGCCGTTTATTTACTAACAAACTGATAGGTTTGTTCTTTGATTTATAAACATTAACGAATATACATATTTTTTTTATGATTTTATCTACAGACATGTCAAAAAGCTAGTTATTCTCTGGATCAATATACTAATGTATTTTATATTGTTTATAGACTTTTTTGTTTTCCCTGGTGAATAAATCTAATTCAGTGATGAACGTCAGAAAACATACTAACAAAATGAAGATAAATGAAGATGAGTTGTTAACTATGGACAGGCATGATCATTATCATCATGAACAGTACAATGTGAATATTCAGAATTGACAATAATGAGTTGAGAGAGAGAGAGAGAGAGAAAATAACACAGACAATTGAAAAGAGATGGTGGTTTTGTTTCAAATTTTTTTTATCGACAAGCTTTTGATCGAATCAGCATGGTACCACACGCAGAAAAGAAAATATTACACTTTATAATATCTATATTTGAATTGATGTCATGACAAGATATTTAACCTTTTCTTTTCAAATTAAAAAATTGCTTTTTTCTGTTTCATCTCCTATCGAATTGAAATATGTTATTGTTATTCAATTGATGCAATCGGTCATCGCCATTAATGACTCGCGAGAAGCGCTGACAACAGAAGTAGATAAGATGTGTACAGGCAAACGATCACAAGCAACAAATGATTGATTGGTGCTGAGTAATCTCGTCTATTTCTGCTTTTTTTCCACACTGTTCTCTCCTCTTCCCTGTTACACTTCCTGTTAAACACTCGAAAGTTTCAGTAGCTTTCGCAAAAACATAAAGCCGTTGTCAAACAAACATAACATCCAACAACATGTCTAATCCTTCGTATACTTTTCGCTTGTTATTGTTAATTCTATTCGGCGACGTATTCAACATTTGAGCTACCTGGAGGAGTAAATTCGTTTGAACATTATTTCAACGAAAGAAAGATATACAAGCCTATTATTATTATTTTTGTCGCTTAGTCTTCAGGTATGTTATGTTTTATCACAAGATTCAGCCAATTGTATTTTACTCTCGAACATAACAGGCAGCCGCAAGACGTTTGTGTTGGTTTCATTTCACCTTAAATGGCTTCTGTGTTGATAATGGTGAGTGAACTCTAAATATATTCATTTTGGCTTTGAGCCAAAATGAATACGTTGATCAGATACAACGTGTATAAGCCACCAACCATCATTTCTCTGTTTATTCAGTTGTCCGTTCTCTGCCAGTCGATCTTTTCTTACTCGTCTTTCTACGGTCAGTACGTAGGTTTGGATTAATAGAGAAAGAAGAAGAAAAAAAAATCTATCGATGTTGAACGATAGACGATTCTCATATTTCTATCATTGAACAAATCGTAGAGACAAGCGAATAAATATAGTTTGATTAGTATCGACCAAAAATAGCGTTCAGAAAAGAAAGAGAAGAAAAAAAAAGAAACAGGTCAATGTTCGGTCAAAAATCGAGAGAAAAAGAAATGTACATATCTGAACATGTCGCTTATATTAGACATTGGCCAACAACGGTCGGATGCGACTACATATACAAGCTTGCGCTCGTCTCTACGTCTCTTTTTTTTCCTCTTTCAACAACGACACGTAGCCAGAGAGAGTACATAGAAACAAAACAGTGTACAAAGGGTCAATCGCCGGGCCAAATCGTCCGTTGGTTCATTTGCATCGTTGTTCTTAACGTTTATTGTCATCTACTATCGCCGAAAACTCGTCATTCTTTGTCTTATTTTTTTGTTGGTCGTATTTCAGTGTCTACCAAAAACCGGCAAGAAAATAAATCTAATCAATTTTAATAATATATATGTATATATATATCTACCAACGCGCATATTGAAAAAAGAAAATACAAATTAAGTATTGGATTATTGTATCTGGTGAGCAGTTCTCTATCTCCTTTCCAAGTAGGCATGCTGTGATTTGTGTTGTTTATTGTTGATGTTGTTGATATTGCTGTTATCATTCATGCTGATAAAAGAGAAGAGCTCTCCGATTCATATGATTGTGTTATTTAGTCTATGTGGATTTTACAAGTTCATGACTAGATCTCACACTCATCCTAATTGAGAGCACCTTCACTTGATATGCAAACTATTTTCAAGATATATATATATATATGTATATGTATCTCTAACATATTACTAAGGCTAAGTGGAATCATGGTTGGGGTTGCGAAAGATAGATTCCTCACCGGGTTCTACACTTAGCTTTAGTGATTGTGTTATGAATTTGCTAATTATTTAGTAAATGAATCGATTCGATTCTTTTGTTTTTATTGGAACAATTGTTCTTTCGATGGAGGATTGTATAGCCGGTTAATTTGATTTGGAATATGAGATAAATCACCGGGTATAACACTCTTCCTTTGATATGCTCAATTAGCGTCGATTTCAATGAATTAAAACTAAAAACGAGCCGGATGGTTTTTACATATTGTAGGAAGATTGTATGGCCGGTTACTTGGATTTTTTAAACAGTCACCGGGTACACACTCTTCCTTTTTCTGGCTCATACTTGTCGTCGTTTTATTATTTATTAATAATATTATTCATTTTCTTGATTTATAATGATATGGAATAATTTATTTATGATAAAAACAAAACCCAGCTCTATGTTCTACGAACTATCGTTGAACAATAATATTCGCTTTTTATTGTATGCTTTTTTTTGTCTCGAATATTGTTTTTCAATAAATATAAAAACCTAAATGAAAGTTATGAAAATAGGAGATCTTTGTCATGTTGAACAGTTGGCACAGGCTGTTTTTTTTTGTTTTTCTTCATTTATGAGATATTCAATTTTGAATTTAACATTTATAAAATGCTTGTCATGGCTTGTGAATTTCAAGGATGCGCATGTATAACTATTAATTAATAAAGATAAGTGTGAAATACATCGTGTGATATTCGCCACTCAAACAGGCTGGCGTCGACTCGCATATATTTAGCTACTCATCGTATAATTTATTATTTAGAGCGAGAATGTGAATTTCATGATGAAATTTAACACTTTGATAATTGAATAAAAAACTTATCATTTACTTTTGAATAAACTTATAGACGGTCTTATTCTATACGAATTGTTGTAGCTTGACTAGATCAAGAAACCATTTAAATGGGACGTATTTCTATCGCGACTGTTGTCTATCTCTGTTATCTCTAATGTAATCAGCGCATTGATGATTAGAAAAACGCCGCCAGAACAATAATTGTTGTGGCAAAATTTCTACGTCAATTGGTTTTCAATCGAGCGTTGTAATGTAACCGTGCGTCAAGATTTGATTGTTGTTTTATTTATTAGAAAATAGCGACATGCCTACTGAAAAAAAAAATTGTCAATAAACAAAAAAGGGATGGGAAATTCTGATGTAACTTTTGTATTTAAGTTAAAGTTTCATCTAATAAGAAAATTTATCTTTTTAGTTGTATATTCCAAGTTGTATAACGTAACAAACTCAACAGTATCCATGTCTCGTAAAAAAGAAAAGAAAACATGAATAAGTAATCTATGCGTTGTATAATGGTTGATAGGGACAATTTTACAACATCATCTTGTATCATCGAGTTTTATTACAGGCGATTACATTTCTAATGAAAACGAAAGCTTATCAAATCTCTTCTGATATCCTTTGACAAAAGATACACTTTGGCTGTTACCTAATCATTTAATGAAAAAGAAAAACAATTTGTGAAATGGTTTCCTATATTTTTTGATTTAGCCTTTAGGCAACAACTTCGATAAATGTATTTAATGTATCTAATCGTAACACTACATCCAAAACGAACAGATAAGATTAAAAGAAAATGTCCTCATAAAAAGCAAATTTTCAAATGTAAAATCAATTTTTGCTTAAAACTATCACTATTTGATCAGTCATTATGAATCGTCGAAAATATTTCTTTCATTATGTTTTTCTGATCTTTACTTCTCGATTTATGGATATTATTGTTCTCAGAGTACAGTATTTCAACGCATACCGCAGCAAATCTCTACCATAATTTCGTATGATTAAAAGAATGAAAACAGCCTCAATCGTTCAATCTACAAAATTTCGGACTATTGTACCGTTAATATTATTTTCCACAAAGTAGTAGACATGAACTTGAACCGAGCATTTTTTTTTCTCAATAACCTTGAATTTGTTTTACAGTATGAGCAATACCATCTTATGCAATACTTAACATATGTCGATTATTCTCATCGGTAATAAAGGCATCTAGATAAAACCACTGCCAAAAGAACCTTTGTTTTGCATAGTTTGGGGTCTTATTTTTAGATAACAATGTTAAAAATACTTGCTATTTCCCAATTATTCTATTTAATATCATGTTCATCCGATATTATTCTTGAACCAATAAAAACAGGTGCGAATAATGTTGCACTTATATTTATACCCGGTGCTGAATTACCACCTGATCGTTATAATCCATTACTTAAACAAACTCAACTAACATCATTAGATTCGTTATGGATAGCTATTCCATCGTTTCCTCAAGATTTACCAGTTGAACAATTGCGCCCAAAAGTCGTCGATGAAATGCTTACAAAATTATATCGATCTGGCATGCCATTAAATGCAACGATTTTTCTCGGTGGCCATAGTTTGGGTGGTATAACATCGCAAACTTTAGCAATTAGCTATCAAAACAAAATATTTGGACAAATACTTATTGGCTCATTTCTTCAACGTAAATATGAAACAGCAAGTGCAATCTATCCCGTATCAACATTAACGTTATCTGGCGAACTTGATGGTTTAGCACGTGTGACACGTATTATTGAATCAGTTTACTTTTATTCAAATTATCCTCATTTTACATTAATTATTCCCGGTATGAATCATATGAATACAGCATCAGGTCAACCCTCGAGTCATATTATAAAAAATGATATAGAATCAGAAATTAATGAAACAATTGCACATGAAGAATTATCACTTCGAATCGTTGATTATATAAGTATGCGTTTAAATAATCAAACAACAACTCCTATGATTGAATATAATTTAAATCAAACAAAACTTTTCTCTCAACCTTATCTTGATGCGTTGAATCTTGAAGGTTTCTACCATTTTATACCACCATGTTATAATAAAACAAACGGCAATTGTCAAATCGGTAGTCAATGGAGTGCATACGGACAAAAAATTATGAGCGGTCTCAATGATACAGTTCAACTGAATATTTCTGATCAATTTCATATTGTTTATAAAATACCAGAACATTTTCCACGCCTAGATAATAATTGTTCGTCAACAAAATCATCGAATGATTGTATATTATATGTTCATACAGTAACACAAAATGTATATGATGTCGGCGATCAATTTGATTCAGGTGAAACGCATACATCAGCTGAAGAAATGCGTGTTAAAATGATATCAAGACAAGTACTTTTAACAGCTGCCGATGGGAAAGCTCATAATTTTAATCAGACAGATGCACAATCTTTATGCGGTTTAATAAATCAACATTCACTTGATTGGGCTTTGGAATATGCAGGGGCAAAAACAAAAGATAGATATCAAAGAATAGGAAAACAAATGATTATTGGAGATGATATTGGCCCACTTAATGCTGGTCCATTATGGATTTGGACACCATTGGTAAGAATATTTGATAGAAAAAAGAGAATTGTTCAGTAACTATTCGTTTTTTTCTTTTCTTTTTAAGAAATTTGATCTAGGTAAAGATGGTCAAGGAAAAACCATTGTAACTGTACGCTCGCCTACACTTCGATTTCCAAGTGATTATCCTCTGGTATCTGTAGCTGGCTTTCATTACTGTAAATTGTTAAGCCCAGCTCGAGCCCTCGAATGGATTTATATAGACAGTTTCAAACCTTGAAACATGCCTCGTTTTTGTTGTGCTTCATTATAATAAATATTGTAAGGATAATTCATTGCCTGAAACTATACAAAAAGACAGTTAGGCAACTGTTTATGTCTATTATTATCAGCTTTGTCTTATGCAAACATGTAATACCTACATAGTGTCATCTTACATACGAGTGAGAAATAATTAGGTTTAGATGCAAAACATGTCATCAAACACGTAAAGAAGTTTTATCTGACGATTCATATAATATCGTTTCCATGAATCAGGTTTGGTTCTTTCTTTCTTCTCCTTATAACCCTTCAGAAAGCGGCTAGCTAAGACGAATAAAGAATTCATTAGAGTAAAAAGCAAATCAGACGTTTCTTGTGTGTTGATGTACATTTTAAAAGTCATAATCAATGATTAAGAATAATCCTTTCCCATTTAGCCAATTAAAGTTTGAGATACTGAAGGTAAGATGACATAATTATGTGTTAAATACTAATATTTATCTATTTTAAAGGTTATATTGACATTTCAATTTTCTTATTCTTGGATATTTCATTTCCATTTATTGACAACAAATAATGCCACATGTTCATCGAGCTTGAATCTACAAAAAAATGGATTCTTTTCACGTCGCAGAATAATATATATTTCAAATAACATTTATTAGGCATAAAAATGATAGACATTCCATATGTCGCAAAGAGAGCAAAAAGAAAAGAAACTTAATGAGTTGAAAATGTACATTGCACTAGAAACCGTACCGTCAACTTGACGAGCAGCTGTTTCATCACACTTCTTCCTCGCAGCATTCTTTTTTTGCTATACATCTTCTCTCTATTGATCTGCCTTCTTTTTTTTTTCTTTTCTTTTTGCTTTATGATTGCCACGGAAGGAAATAAAAGTTCGTAGCGGTTCCCAAATTCATACAGGCATTAGCTATTATTAGTACTTTTTTTGTATCGCTCTAACGATAGAAAGAGAAGCAACAAAACAAACATTAAGAGTTGTATCGCGTCAAAGCCTCTGATACATACGAGTACAATTGATACAGGCTAGCGTCATCGCTTTCACTAAGTAGTAAGTGTCTTTCTATGACTTATCGTCGTCATTATCTACGTGAAGTCATACTAATCTTGACATGAGACAAACACTATAAATTTATCTTCGATGCAAATTTTAGTCTTCCCGTTTTTTTTTGCTAGTTTTCTTTTTTTAATATGTGTATCGTGCATGTTTTCTAGGGTATCAACAAGCGATTCTACCTCGTCTGAAACAATCTGAAAGGGAAAAAATAGCGAAGAAAAGTCAGAAACCATAAGTGTGGTAAGTCTCATTTGATTCTTTTGAATAATGTTATTAGACACAAGTATATATTAGATAGCATCTATAACCATTTTCATCAGTCTAAGCCTTTAGACGTAGCATATTGACAATTTAGTAGTCACATATTGATACACAAATGTAGTTCACTTAGTAAGAAAAGAGCAGTTAATGAATAGTTTATCTTAGGACGCAATATGAGTCTCAATCAGTATCTTTCAGTATCCTTTGGTCTTTATCAGCTGTAAAAATAAGAATAGTACTTGTATGCATTTATTTATGATTGTTTGCATCAATAAGACAGCGGAAATCTATTCTTGATTATACGATAATGACCTTTGACGAGTATTTCCTTGTTGTTATGATTATGAAAAACGATAATGAGAAATCGATCAAGAAATGATTGATATTAGTATTAAAAATTTTGAATGATTGGATTCTTTTTCTTCTTCAACTCTTGAGTATATTTAACACAAAAGAATAAGAGCAAGAGAAATATTTGCAAAGTCTACATGTTAAGTACCTGAAAACGCATAAGCATAATTTATTTCCATATTCCTATTGCATTATGCTAGTCTCATTACATATGCTATTTCTCGATCATTCGGCTATGGAGAATAGGTTGTCATTTAGTTTACATTCCTTCTTTCTCTTCTTTTTTCATTCAACGTTTCTTTTCTGGTCGATGATCACATGAGAACGATCCAATTGAATTAATGAATAAGAAATTAGTACGGCAAGGCAAGACATCAGATGTATGTTGAATTGATTATACTATTGATGTGTATCTTGTATTAAGTAAATATCAATCGACGACGTGAGGTTGGTAAGAAAAGGCGTTGGGATCTCAATAATTATCCTCGAATGGACGTGAATGCAAAGAGCAAGCGGGAAAGACAAGACAACACGAGAGAGCGAGAAAGATATAGAGAGAGAAAAAGCAGAGAAAAAGAGTATTAATAAATCTCATCGTAACAAAAATATTTCCCTTAATCACTCATATTCTAATCTCGGATGAGTTTTCATGCAGTCGTTTTTTCCTTCTCACCATTTTATTTCAAAATACGTGAGGTTTCTGTTAAGTGTCTGGCTTGTTCTTAATATTTCATTTGTTTTAAGAACTTGAGAGGCAGCAAGAGAGATAAAGTGACGAACAAAGTAAGTGGAATTTCCTGTTCGAGAATTAACAGTTATTCGTTCTTTTATCGTCAACAAATTCTCTGAGAGCATAATGCGAGACTCAATTTTCATTCCATTACAGTAGAAACACTCATCTTGTGGGAATGTTTCATTGAGAGCTTGAATCGTATTCTTGACGGTTATATTAAAAGCAATTAAGTGTGTTTGTCACTTAAATATCAAATAAATTGTGGTGTTTCGTGCGTATTTAACATCTATTAATTTTTCTTCTCTATCTATTTATTTTAGTGAAACATATCCTATAAATTTACTAGATTTCATGTTGTTTCAATGTAAATAGATGTTTCTATGTGTCAGAAAGAAGACTGCTGCTGCTGCTGCTGGTGGTACTGCTGAGAACAGCACGTTGAGGCAATATAATCTGTCATTTTTGGCGAAAAAAGAACTGCGATAAGATAAAAAGAGAAGAAACTCACTACCAGTGTAAATACTTTTTAATAGTGAAAATGCAGTGCCTTTCTCTCCTCTTCTTTTTTTTGCTTATTCTCATATACGTTTCTTTTCTTTCTTTTTTTCTCACTTCTCTTCTCATTTGCTCTCTCTCTCTCTCTCTCTCTATTGTTTTTTTTCTCATACTTAGCATATACACACTGTAGACAGCTGAAAATGAATACGAAAGCAGTGAATAAAACGAGAGGTCGAACTATATTACGAACACTAGCAGATATTATATAAACATAAACTTTGGCATTTTTTATTTCGAATATAGAAAAAAACCTAGGCAGAAAAGAGTTTTCTCTTTTTTAAATTAATTTACTGTTTGAAAAAGAAACCAAGAGGTAAACTTTACTATTTCTAGAACTGATCATTTATTGTTTTGTTCGATTAGTTTCAACATGGATGAAAAACATGATCAAACTTTAGCAATGCTTAATGATGAAAATCATCCACAACAAACAAGACCTAATGAAAATCGATCACCATTAGCAAAAGTAATTTAGTAAAAATAAAATCAAACAATAGAAAAATCGTTATTCTCGTTTTCTAAAACATATTTTTAGTGTTGCACGAGTTTTCTTGGTACACTTCATAATAATTTACTTCTGACATTAACCATCGCCGGTGTTTTCCTTGGTTTCTTAATGGGTTTTCTCATTCGTTTATCAGAACCAACCTCCGAAACGATTATGATGCTTTCGTTTCCCGGTGATATTCTAATGCGTATGCTGAAAATGCTAATTTTACCTCTAATTACATCCAGTCTTATTACTGGTACGTTTTGAAGACAAAAAAAAAGATAACCAATGCTATCCACTTTTATTTGATTCAAAATTGTTTTCTACTGACAATAGGTTTAGCCGTACTCGATCCGAAATCGAGTGGTAAATTAGGTTTATATGCATTAACATATTACTTTTGTACGACTGTACTTGCTGCTATACTGGGTATTATTTTGGTATCGGTTATTCGACCAGGTGAACGAGCAAATAGAGTTGAAGTTCGTGCAGAAGCATTCAGTAGCGACCCAGCAGCTGATCAAGTAACAACACTTGATGCTATATTTGATCTGTTTCGGTAGGATAGAAAACAAGCAAATGTTTTTTGTTGTTGTTGTTCTTCTTCGTTGCTTAAAATCGGTTTTTATTTTTTAGTAATATGTTTGCTGAAAATATAATTCAAGCAGGACTCGAACAAATTAAAACAACAAGAGGTTCGATGAAAAATTTAATATCGGCATACAGATGTTTGTCATTTTATTTTGTATCTTTTCTTTAGAAAATCTAGTTGTTTACAATAATGCTACAAATATGACTGTAACTAAAGTTAAATTCATTACACGTTATGTTGCTGGAACGAATTTTTTAGGTTGGAAGAGGATTTCCTTTTTTTTTCTTCTTCAATTAGAAACTTCATTAAACTTATAAATAGGTTTGATTACATTTTGTTGTGCATTCGGCATTACAATTGGAACAATGGGCAAACGAGGAGAACCAATGCTACATTTCTTTCTTATACTAAATGAAATTGTCATGAAATTGATTAAACTTGTCATGTGGTATGTAGTTGTTAATTAACAATTAAAAGCTACACATGATACTATTCTTTTTCTTTTCCTTTTTTGTTCTTAGGTATTCTCCATTCGGTATCATGTTTTTGGTTGCAGGAAAAATCTTAGAAATCGAAGATTTACTTCAATTGGCTCAAAGTTTAGGAATGTATGCATTCACAGTTTTGCTTGGTTTAGCTATACATGCATTGATTACGTTACCATTAATCTTTTATGGTGTGACACGTCAAAATCCATTTAAATTCTATGAAGGTATGCTTCAAGCTTGGTTGACTGGTATCGGTACTGGTTCAAGGTAAGAGATAGAGGTTGATGGAGTTTTTTTTAAATTTTTCTAATCTAAAATTCAATTAGTGCTGCATCGTTACCTGTTACATTTCGATGTTTGGAAGAAACATTAAAATTAGATAGACGTGTGACACGATTTGTCCTACCAATCGGAGCTACTGTTAATATGGGTAAGAAATTGGTTTTTTTTTATTAATTAAATAGATAGTGACCATATGAACGGATTGTTTTTTAGATGGTACTGCTTTATATGAAGCTGTCGCTCCAGTTTTTCTTGCCCAACTTATTGGAATAAAATTAGGCATTGGCCAATTGATTATTGTTAGGTAAGAAACGTGATATTTCTGTGTAGAACTGGAAACAAAAATAACATCGTGATATTTTTTTCTTCTTTGAACAGTTTAACGGCCACAGTAGCTTCGGTTGGAGCTGCATCAATTCCATCGGCAGGTCTTGTTACAATGCTTTTAGTTATGTCAGCTGTGAATATTCCTGCGAAAGAAATTACAATTATCTTTGCCATCGATTGGGCTTTGTAAGTTAAAATTCTACGTGATTGAGGTGATTTTTTCTTGTTACACTTATGTTGTGCTTTTCAGAGACCGAATTCGAACATCAGTTAATATATTAGGTGATGGTATTGGAGCTGGTGTTGTTAATTATCTTTGTCGCGCGGAATTAGGTCCACCTGATATTGAAGATACAGAAAATATCAATGCAAGTGTGAAAGCGCGAACAGCATCAGAAATAGGTTCCGACCGACGAGTGCGTAGTCGAGACGATTTCAATGAAACGTCGAAACTTTAATAGAAAAATGTTAATCAATATTTTACTGTCAATTTATTCGTTCTCTCAGGTGACAACAACTGCCTACGATAGAATCAAAGAAGAATTAATAATATTGTAGAACTCAACATACATAGTGTCTTTTCTTTTCTTTTTCATTACAGTTTATCTATCAATTATACCATAGCTTAGTTTGCATCGTTTTGTAAACAAACAGAACAATGTGTCTGTATATAGATTTATTATCTCCTCATACATGTCTTCTTTTAAGAACGGTGTTCCCATCTTTTCTTGTTTCACTGTTGGTTGATTATTGATGTTGTTTCTTCGTTTTCATTTCGCTTGTCATACACATTTTCAACAAAAAAAAAACAAGAAACTGTCTTTTCCTTCTATTCTCTTTATTTTTTTTTCTTTTAATCTTTCGTTTATGTTCCTTTGTTTATCAATATGATTGTGTCGTGATCCAAAAAACAAAATTTTACATTCACTATACTGCCTTAAAACAAATTTCGAAGGAGATGAAAAAATAATTGAAAGATAGAAATTTTTCTTCTTTCACCATGCATACGATAAAACCGCTTAGTAATTCAATTAGAATGTCTTCTGACAAGTTTAAGTGCACGGAGAGAAAATGAAAGATAATTTCCGTTTTTCACTTAAAACTACGACATTCATTATTTTTTCTTCATTGTAGCTGCTAATCGAGGGCAACATTTTCATTAACATTTTATTTCCCATATTTTAAACTGAAAGCTATTCTGTTTGATGTTAGTATCACCAAGTCAGTTCACACGAATGGCCTGTTAATTCAGTTCAATAGAATTTGACATTTCCACTTATTCGCTGTGAATAAAATTTGAGTATTATCTATACAAGCGTGAAAGTTTTTCTTTTTGTTTTGGCTGATATATTTGTATGTAAGCTGTTGAAAGATATGGACTCAAAAATATGTTAAAACATAAAAAAAATTAGAAAAATCTTCTTTTGGCTATACGATCTGAGTTTTATCGTATAGCCATAAGAAAGGTGATAAAATTTCATTTTTTATTTATATATAGTAGACAATTATACTCTTCAAGGTCTACACCTTTAGCTCAATCGGATTAAGGTATTATGCTAATACGGTAGTGTAACGTCATGCCCTTTTGTTTAGCAATTCTATGTGTTCAACATATTAGGATTCTTCGAAAGAAAAAAGTTAATAAATGCAAAGCAATTTTTCGCTAAGAGTTTTATCTTTTAAGCTTATTTACTTGATTTATAATCAATAATCATCTAATTTTTAATCAAAATAACATTGAATTTGTTTATCTTTCTCTTACAAAATTGTACCAATAGAAAAAAAAATCTCAAACAAGTAAGGAAAACCCACTAGAATCTTAATTAAATTTCTTCATCGTCACTCAGCTCGATTATCTAAAATTTAAAAAAAAACAATAAAAATTTTTTGCAGGAATTTTTACGGGAAACAGTTTTTACCTCACTAAGATCAGTTGCTAATTGCATTGCACGTAGACCAGTTAGATTTTCCAAATAATCCAAATCATTAAACACTTTCAATAGAAATGTAAAACCTTCGTCTGTAAAAGCTTTACGTACCTAAAAATATTTTCATAATAAAAATAAAACAAAAATAAAATCTATATTTACGGTAGGCGAACAAGCAACACATTGTGAAAATGCTTCACCAGTTGGTAATACAGTAGAATATCGACTGAGAAAGCCACGTATCGTGTGTGGAACAATACCAAGACATGACACTGCATCTGGCACGGATTCGTCAACATCAGAATGAATTGATGCGGGACATTGGCCACTAGAAAATCAAAAAAATATTCTTTTTTTTAAGCAATACAAATCAACTATCTGATAAAGTGAAGCAATCTAATTAAATGTCAATGCTATAACGGATGATCTACAATGATTAACAGATGTTTTTCTGTTCTTGGTCTTATCTATAAATAAAATTTAGCAGAAAATTCAATGTGAAACTCTCAATAAGTTACAACAAGAGTTTCGTTTCATCTATTTAGTAGTTGTTATTAATATGAATCGAATTCGACACTACGAACACGACACTATTCCTTATTTTATCAATAAAAAAAGCATGGTTCCTAACTTGATCTACTTATTGTTGCCAGCGATCCGGTATGACATGACTGAGATAACGATTCTTTTGCCATTTATTTGTAGTTATTCTCGAGACCATAAAATTGGTTCTACATCATGCAAATGATTCCTGATACATACTTATGTGGTATGTCGTTTACGTGGATAAAATAATCGATCAGGAATAGTTTGCCTTGAAATATGATGGAGCGATTTCAATGCTCATACTTCCCCTAGTTTAAAAGCAATTGGATACGTGAAACAATTTTTTGATGAAACTAATTATGCGATTATCTTTTTTTCCAAATACTTTGCCCATTGACTTTTACTTCATGTCTTTGTTTGTCCTTACGTAGGCGTAAGTCATTTTAAAGAAGTTTTCTTTTGCCTATCAATGGAATTAAAAAGTAAATAGATCATTTACTAAAAAAATAATTGTGTTTGCATTGCCCCGAAATTGATAGGATTGAATTTTATCCGCTTCTTTAATGCAAAGAAAGCAAACAGAAAATAACGGCATTGATACTCGTTTTACATTTTGTTTTTGTATAAAATATGAAAAGATAAAAGTTCGCTTTCATCTACTCTAACTCACTGATTTCTTATCTTACTTTAACTGGTTTTTATTTCACTATAGGCTAATCTATAAAAAAAAAAAAAAGTTCGCTTTCCTAAACATTCGAAAACAGATGTAGAAACTGAACTATTCTCTCGCATTAATTTAAATCTTATAATTAACTAAAACAATTCTTACCGAAGAGGATGTTGCATTATCGATACAAGTAATTCTACAGATAATGCACTAGCCATCATTGAAATACCTGGTCTAGTTACAGTACATTGCTGATCAAGTGTACGATCAATAGAACTCTAAACATAGGAAAATAATTTTAATCAAACACAATCTTATCGCATCTACGTACATCTCCAGGTGCAACAATATCGTTACAAAAATAGCAACCTAGTTTATCACCACGTAAGAAATTTTTATATCTTGTCGGTGGTGTATCTGATTCTTTTGCTGGAACGCCATGACGAATAATAACATACGAATCAAAACCAACTGCACAGCATAGAACAAGCTAAAGCAAAAAATAGTAAACAATCCCAATCATCTAAATAGAATGAAAAAAAAAAGTTTCAAACAAACTTTTTGTTCAACAGCACCAATGACAGTTGGTAGCCAACGTGATTCTCTTGAATCCGTTAGTAGAAAAAGAACATCATGTTGACGGATTAAGTCATGCAATAAATTGACATCTTCTTTGACTTTTTCAATTGTTGATTCTATTTAAAAATCAACCAAAAAATCTTAAACTTCGATCTATAACATATTTATTTACCGCCAACAGCATGTCCAGGCATTGGAATTGTTAAATCATATCCGATTGATTTCTGACGGAATAGAATAAACGACGTTCATTAGCAAAACAAAAATTCTTTTTTTCTCTCTCTGTTCTTACGATGCCTGGATAAATTGCTTTTAAAGCGTCAGCTGCTGCCTGTGCTTTAGGCCTATTTTCACATGAATCTTGAAATGTAAATAATGTTTGTCGAACAGGATTTGAATACGATATGCGACTATTATCGACAAATGTTACATGTTTAACACCCCAAGCCTAATTATAAAAAGAATAGATTTCAAAGAAATGCTTTTTCGCCTACCATTAGACATCGGGCAACATTACAACCCAGGGTGCCAGCACCTAATAGAAGGCAATGCATTTTTTCTAATGATTCCAAATCAATTTCAGGCGCTAAACGCCATTTCATCAATTTGAGATTCAGGCCAACAGCTGTTTCAGCTAAATGTATTGGATTCATTGATGTACTTAAATTAACTTGGCGAGAACCAAGACGTTGTCGTTCATTTTTTTCCCAACCAGCTGATGGCGGAACAGCATCTATTGTACATAATCAAGAGTAAATTATTATTCTAGTTATTCAACCTTCGACTATGCTGTTTTTATTATTCAAAATGAGAAATGAACAGCCGAGCTATCTGTTTCGTTAGTTTATTTCGCGATTTCAAAGGAATTTTCATATATGCATTAAGAAGTGTGAGAAAGTCTCATGGTTCAACGTGTTTCATGGCAAAGAAATATTATTCGACAGATTTATTAACCTCTCTTGTATTTTTTAAAGGTTCTTTTTGGCAACAATATCAAGATATTTCATTCTAGTCATATTGAATAATAATTTGCTAATCACTATAAATAAGTTTGCATTAAACCAGCGATACCAAATTTTCGATCGAGTGAAAAGGCAAAACAACTTAATATCTCTTCGATTTTAAAATGTTGGATAGTATCATTACTTTTTTGTTTCGCCAATATAAAATTACTTTAGGAAATTTATAGGGTAAGAAATGGCAGGTCTTTACCTCAACATAGAAATTCCATTAAAGCAAAAATTTACAAGCAACTTTCAAGTAAGACGATTGACAAAAATGCTCAGAACGTTCACACAGTAATATTATCTAGTTTTCTCCATAATCGTTGTCGTTAATACGAGTACGGACATCAATTTGATCTCGACTCAACAAGTCAAACTCTAGTACTCAATTATGAGCTTATCGTGATAAGATTAACTTCATGAGTGCTCGAGAAATGCCTGGAGTATATTAACAGTAAAACCAACATAACCTACAGAGAGCATCTCTCAAACTCCAGTTGTCAATTAATCGTTTATTCGAGAAGTCTGTTGATAATAACGACGGAATAAATTAACTTACCGCCGATATTACTAATTGATTCTGGTTTTAATTGAAGATATAAAGAATGATTAACGTACTGTTGGTCATCGCGAAATCTTTCTCTCCAACAAATAACATTCAGTTGTTCGACAGCACGCCTAGATTAAATTAGACACATGAGTAATTCAATTAAAACTAGTCTTTTTTTCTCTCTTACAAATGATAATAAAGTAGTGTTAGTAAATTTCTTACAGGCCATCCTGGATGTACAGGATCCGTACTTGGATCATTAACAATAAAAATATATTCAGACTAAATATTAAAAAGAAAATATTTTTAAATTTAATTTTTTTCTCTAGAAGATTATACTGCTGATTGCGGTTTTTCATTCAAATTTTCAACAGCTTGTTTTAAATTAATAACCGCAAACGATGAATTTTGTTCACGATGAAGACAGCAAGCATGCAATTTGTTAGCTTCTAGAGTTTTACTGATTGCACCAATCTGAGAAAAAAAATATACAAAGATTTTGGATTGAAAATGAATATTTTTACTTCATCAGATGAAAATTGTTCGCCTATTGGTTTTACAGGACTCGATAAGTTAAATGCTGTAGGAACAAGAAATGTCGGAAATGCAAACCAATAATGATAAATATATTTTTTTAAATCCTAAAACGAAAAGAATATTTTTCTGATAAAATTCAAAATTATTATTTACCGCAAAAATTAATAGATAAAATCGATTGAGCTTTTGCGGATTTTCAAGTGTACCACCTTGTACAAAATCATTCCACAACTTTGAAAAAATATTTTTTTAATAAATCGAAAATAAATGTCTCTCACGAATTCTTACAAGGCTACTTTCAGTTTTTAATGCACTATCAATGTCAAATGTTTTAAATTCTTCAATTGTATTAACCAGTTTTAAAGTACCATTTACAGAATAGAGTTGTTGCTGATTTGAAATTTTATTATTTCTAAATAATAATTTATAATTTTCATTGTGTGAATCATGTAGAACACACTGAGATTAAGATTAAATTTCGGTATCTAATGAGATAATAATGAAAAGTTCTATTCGGAATATGATTAATTACAAGTAAAAATATCATTTAGGTTCATAGGTTTCTTGAAAAACAAGAAGAACTCTTATAAACGTGATATTCTCATTAATCAGTAGGCTAAAAAGAACTGCATTTAGTTATCGAGGCGTTTTGCACATCAAAACAACACTTGAGAATCTTCTTTTCGTTCGATTTATATGTTTATAGTCATGCTTCAATTGGATCCTGATTTTTTAATATTCTTCCATTAATATCAGATGTTGTGATTTTGTTTATGTGCCGTTCTGTACATGTTAAAGAACAAGAATGGTCTAGACGATACGTGATGTCTAACAACAGACTATGTTTAATGGAACCATAGGTTACATTTCATTGGATCGTATGAATTGCTATATCTATTTTACATTGTTTTAACCTCTAGTTGAGAAAGAATCTTCACTAACAAAGCAACTCAGTTCATCAAATTTTAAAATATTACTGAATACTTTCAATGACTTTATTTGCCATCTATTTGTATGAACTCGATACTAAGCGTAAATTGATATTCGCTTAGTTTTTATTTCTTTTTAAACTTACTCATCAAAACATTGATGATCGACATTGAATAATGCTGGCATGTTATCATTTGCATCTACGAAAATAAACAAAACAAAGACATCAAGATCATGTCTTGATCAGTCTCATATTTCACTTTTTACCATTAGCATAATAGCCAAAAATCGATTGATTCGATGAATCAAGTCGATAGACCTCAAGTTTTCGGCGAGTTAACTCATGCCAAAATCCTGTATCAAATGCACTTGAGTATGGTACAAATTTTAATGTTGTCATATCTAAAAATGAATGTCAAGTGTACTAAATTCGATCATTTATATTTATATATATATATATATATATTCAATCATAAAAAGGCAATACAAATAAAACAAGTGAAACAAACATTAAAAAAAAGACCGGTGTTCATTCATGCGTAGTACATGTGCATAGGAAATGGTCATTTGTCATTAATTATCCAACTTTAATATTTCCTTGAGCGTATCGGATTCAACAGCCGATAATATACCATCAAAATCACAACAATATTCTTCATTATTAAATATTTGAGGTAAATGTAATGTTTTATTTATTGGTGATAATGCACGTTGTAAAAATTCTTTTTCGGCGACATTTTTCGGATCGCTAATATCAATATCAACATAATCTATTTTGTTGACATCTAAGATATGTTTTACTTTTCGTTGATTTCCAACCGTCAATTGATTACCAGCTATATTTGTCATATAAACTTTGATTGTCATTCTATTTCCTGATGAAAAAATTTGACCTAAAAATAACTTAATGCTATTTTAATATAATCACATGCGATTAAAGAATGCTTTCTAGGTAAAGATAAGATATTTGAAAAACAATTCTTGGAATATTTTCATTTAAAAATAAAAGTCAAGGGTACTCGTGAGGAATCCGTGTACGTATAAGTGCAGAATTAAACTAACGGCATACAATCATGAAAATTATACACGTGTAACGATATCAAAGAAAAAACAGAAGTACTCATGTAAAACTCAACTCAAATTGATTTAAGCAAAACAAATATTAACGTCATTAGTATATAGTGAAAATAGATATTCATACGAAAAAAGATATGAAAAAATTGTCGAGGAATCATTTGTATATAATGCAAATGTTTTTTGACATTTTATTCACACTCATGAAATTAGCCTAATAAATAATGACATCAGTTTTCTGTCGAGAAATATTTTGAATTTTTATAGACACTCATGTCAAAATGAATATGTCGGCTACGTATTAATTAAATGTCATATATTGTAAAATTGATCGGTAGAGGCAAATATGCTGTCATAAATTAATTTTTCAATATTACTGTCTTTCGGCAAAAATAAGATTTTCCACGGATACTTTTTATAATAATTAGTGTAACTATGACGTTGGATTTGTGAATATCAATCATATATCTATTTATGTAGCGTAGTAAATATTTTTTTCTCTTTTCTTTTCGCGATAAAACAATTGAAGAAAGCCATTACACCAATCATATTTCTTTATTTTTTGCATAGCGACATTGATATTGACATCAATAAGTTTTTCAACAAAATATAATTAAATCAAGAAAATATAGCGCAAATACAAAAACAAGTTTTTCTTTGCGTACAATTATTTTATTGACTGTATTTCGAAATAAACATGTTGATTAAAGTATGAGTCATGACGAAGTGCAAACATCCATAGAGAGAGCAAGCAAGCAAGCAAGAAAGAAACAAACAAAATGCTCGCGTTTCGTGCATCATATTCTATTCTTTCGACTTGTTTATGCTTCTATTTAAGTACTTTGATTTTTCTTTATCACAAGTAAAACTAGATTGGCCCGTTAATTGATAAACACATCTGCAATAAATAACGATGTATTTTTTTTGTTTCGTATATTTAAGATTTCATTTAGGCATAAGGTGCGCGTGTGTGTGAGAGTGTGTTTGCCCGTCTTTTCTAGTCATGCGTTTCTACTGCCAGTGTCTCAATGTTAGTATTGATGTATTAGAAATAAATGATGATCATCAGACGATAACACGTAAGAATTCTTTTGATTTTTTACTTAAAACCGATTTTTGTATACGTTTCAAATAGAATATGTACCCGTTGAGTTAGTACAAGTTGTTAATATGCAACAAGAATGGTTTCTATGTGATGTACCATCCAATCAAACGGTGTGTATTACATGGCAAAGTCTTCTTCAATCAATACCTGTGCGTGACATGAAATTGAACCGGTGCTTAGGATGTCATTTATATACCCACGTTACGAATATTGCTACATGCCGGATTTTGATTAATAAAGCTCTTTTGGTAATATTAAACCAAGATTTTTACATTGATAGAAAATAATTGTATGATTGCATGTATTTCCAGGATGAGACAACCGCTAAAAATATATATCATGATCCAAGCTTTCCAAAAATAGCCAGAATCTTGTTGCCGAACACGGTGAACAGCATAAATATACCACGTTTATCGAATTCACAAGGTAACTAAACTAAAACTAGATTTCAATGTTGAGTAAAAATTATATTATTCTCTTATTTTATTTTTTTCAAGATGACAATATTCAACACGATACGGAAGCAGCTCAACAAGCATGTCGTCAATCAATAGCAGATCTAGAACGCGAAACCGAAGAAAAGATTCGGTAATAATTTTCATCGATACTGATTGAAGAATATTATTTTTTTTCTTCTTCGATTAAATAGGATCTACCAACGAGAACAAGACGAATTATTAGAAAAAAAGACAGAAGCATTAAACTCGGAACTAGAAAGATTTCTAAGGTAATGCTTCATAATAGAATCACTAGCAACTATGGAATGTTCTTTTCGGAATCAAGAGATTTAGCTTACCGATATAAAATTTGCCTGATTGAATATAACATTGCACGTTTGGATTTCGAGCAGTGACGATGTAACCTGATATTCGTTGATTATATTTATTACTCAAATAGAAGATCTTATCCGTACGGCTAAAAATAGTTTTCTGCATAAAGCTTATGAATCTTTTATTTGATCTGCAACTGACATGTTCTTTATCTAAATTGAATTTTTTGTTCATCTTCATTGAAATCTAATCTTCTCGAATAACTTGAGTATCAGCTTATGAAAAAAAGTTATTTTGTATTGTTCGAGATTTGCTCCTCAATATCTCAAATCACTGTATTTTTGTCACTATAGTTTAATGCGGTCGGTATCTCGACATGCAACAAATACAAAAGGTTCGCCAACATTACAATCATCAAGTTCATATATTAATGAAAATAGGTACTTTGACATTGAAAAATACATCTCGTATCAATGAATATGTTTGATTTCTTTTTTAAATAGTACGGAATCTGGATTTGGCTCAGATGTTTTTGATGTAAATTCAACAGAATTTGGCCGACATTCATCAGCTATTGATCGTGTAAGATTTTATTGCATGTTTTACAATGTATTTCTTATTCTACTATTCGTTTATTTAGCCATTATCTGAACGAAATACGAATGTAGATGATGAAATAAACGATGACCCGATGCTTGATAATCCAGGTAAATGGGCTTAAATTTTTTACTGACATATCATTCTATGTATTGTATACATTTATATCTAGGTTGGTTTGCCGACAGTAATAGTGCATCAAATTTTGCAACGTCATTACCACAAAATATTTCTTTGCCAGTTACATCTTCATTTTTCATACCTCATCAAGTAATTATTACAATAATCAAGGATGTCCCAAGATATTACCACCTCCCAATCTTGAAAGAATTTTTCTCTTCATTCATCAGTATCACGGCGAACAAAGATGAATTCTAGTAAAAAGTTTTCAACCGATTTCCGAATTCAACGTTTTGCCCTAGAAAACCTTGAGACATCCTTGATAATAATTATCTATCTACATATATATCTAACAAAATTCATTTTCAAGGAGGACAATGATAGTGATGATATTGAACGTATTGGTAAATCCTTTCGCGATTTAAGCCGATCAATGTGTACAGATGGTACCGAACTATTTGGTGAACTTCCATCGCCTAGACTTAATGCTCGGCCAACGTGAACAAACTATTCATCGAAATCTTTCATATTGTCATCTCATCTAAAAGTATATATTTATACAGACATATATAAATATATGTATGTGTGTGTGTGCGTTTATTGTCTTTCTCATTCATACACGTACTTCACTATTGTTCTATGTCTTATTATTCTTTTCGGTTTTCGTTTTTGTTGTATAGTGTGTATGGTGAAACTATCACACACTATTTCAATGCTGTGCCTCTTTTATACTTATTGCATATCGGTCATGCTTTAAGTATTTTCTTCGTTTGCTTTTTGTTTATTTCATTTGAATTGTATATGTTGAAGAGGAGAAGAAAAAGAAAAAGCAAGCATGTTGTGAGCATATATTGGCCATTTCTACTTCTATGTGTGTTTGATCTCTGCTTTGGAATGACGTCTTTTGTTTTCTCCGTTTTTTTTTTGTCTTGTATTTTCTTTTGTTTTCATCGTAGATTAATCAAAATGGCAGCGTCCTGAAGACCTAATTTTGTGTCTGATAGTATACATATTTATTCTAGCTACTTCTCATTCGTTTGTTTTCCGTTAGTAAAATGAAAGTATTGTCACTATTAAAACGAGTTACCGATGTTTATTGTTTGACAAAGTTACGATTTATTTTTCGCTGCAGTTTTGTTTTTTGTGTTTTCGAAATTCATCATCCGTGTAGAAGAAATGGTCATACCATTCGTAGAATAATCTTAGATGTTTAAGAAAAATTGAATGAAAAATTCTTTCGGTATATATGAGCGGTATGATTATATCTAAAGTACTCATTATGTACGCTTGATTTTCCGTTTTCTTTTTTTTTCTGTTGCTTGTGTTCTCAAACATCATTGACGCGTACATATATATTGTTCCTTTTTGTGTCTCCGAAAAAGAAGGAAGTAACGAACGAGAAAGTATTGAATTAATCTTAATGTATATACATGGCCTTTTCCACGTCAAACATAATATAAACAATTGTCCATCGCCAAGAGATACATTATGGGAATGGCGGCGAATGAGATGACAGTGATTGTTGTTATTGAAAATTGCATTCTATAATTAATAATTATATGTAGATTGCTCTATATGCTTTGTCATTTTCAACTTAATGAAAATCTGAACAATGATACAAATATTTAAAAAAAATATTCTAAAAAATTTGATTTCTCTGAATAGATTTATTTATTGAGAAAGTTTCTTATTCCGTTTATTTCTATGTCAAATAAGTAATTCGAACTTTATCTAACAATTAAATAGAACTCAAGTAGTTCAGATAAGAATCTTCTAACAATATAAATTTATATGCTGAGAACTTTTGCAAGAACTAAAGAGAACGCGATGTTGTCATTAATAATATTGACTAATTTGCTGTTGTTGTTGTTGATATTAATCTTTGGCATTAGTACAAGAAATAAATCTTATCAGAAAACAAGCAAATGCATTTAGACCATTTTCAAGTACTTTTTATTATTTGAATTCTACTTCAGATTATGAGTATTGTTTATGTGATAGAACATTTTTCTTATCATATATTTACATCAAATATGTTCTTAACAGTTTGCAAACTCACAAGAACCATCAAGTTATCAGGTAGAGAAAAAGTTATTCACAACAAAACATTTTACTTGACATAGTTTGGTAAGAACATACAATAAACAACAATAACAACTAACGATGAGTTTGAGAAAACAATGATTTTATCTATAGTCATAATGTATACCTAAAAATAAGAGGCACATAATTGAAATAACCAATTTAATCATTGGCAAAAAACAAGCATGACCACTGTTGGAATGTGTTGATTTATTAAAATTTGATTCGCATATAGGTTTTAGCAAGATCAAAGTCGTAAAATAACGATTGCATGGAAACCTGACCGTGTGTTAGAATTTCAATTTTTAGCACAATTTCAAGGTCTTCAATAATAATTTTCGCCTCTAAATTTTTTTTACAGTTTCGATATTTCTAATTATTATTATACTCAACAGTGAGTTAACATAACCTTTCGAAAAGAACTCAGTACGAAGATTTAAAGGCCTGGCGGCTCTTCAATAAAAATCAGTTCACAGAAATCATGTTATCAACCTATGAAATTTTGCATACGCAAATCACGTTCGATTGTAAAATTTTGAATTAATTGTATTGTATTCTGGCGCAAATTTATTCAAACAAAATAAAAATGAGTCGAGATCAACTAGAAAACAAAACTGAACTTAGTACTATTTCAACAAAAATGAATTCAAGAGAAATGCCTTTTGCCTATTCATTGAATGTTGAAACACCCAGTCAACTTGTTGATATCATGAGAGATCAAGGTAAACTGTTCATACGCTGTTTATCAATATAAATTATAACCAATAGGAGTCTATTTACCAATGAACATTGGTGTCAAACAAATGGCAGAAATACGTTTTGTCATATTAACACGTCGTTTACGTCAAATACCATTTGATATAATAAAAATCGATGACTGTTGGTTTATTGATAAAGTTTTTCATCGGGAATTGAACAACTATTTGAAACAAGGAGATCGAATTCTTGTAAGTTAACGTTTCAGGGATTCATTCAGCCATACATTTTCTAATAAACATTTTAAGATTATTAATAAAACAATGATTTCTCATCAACTCGAAGAAATAGATATTTTCAAATTAATTCTACACTCATCGATTCCATTTGTTTTATGGGTTACTTGGGATATAGGTAAAAACTCGAATCCTATTGAACATGTTAATGTCATAGATACTGTTGTGTTAGATACATTTTTGAATTATCAAAAACTATTTCGACAGCACGAAAATGAAAAAGCATATATTGATGCAAAAGCCTATTTACTTCAAACAAATCATTATAGTGATATTAGTTTGTATGAAACATTAATCGTAGTTAAGTTTATATCAACAATTTTTTTATTTAGATACGATCATCTTGCATGTGTTATTACTCATGCTATTCAAAGTCAACAAGATAATATGAGTACGATAAGAGTTATTGTTTGATTTATTGTTTGGCATTGCAATCTATTATAGATGATCTCTTGGAAAACCTAAATCAAACTGTACAATATCAAATATTAGAATCAAATTTACGTCCAGTTAAAGATAATACTAAATTAACAATGTTGAAAATACATGCACAATTACTTGAAGTTTATAATAAGTAAAATGTTATTCGAGATTTTTAGGCGAATAAATATTTTAGGGAAAAGAACGAGATTTAATTAAATCGAAAGATTACATAATCACAGCTGTTCCGAATCTAATGGAGATGGCTTATTTTTGTTCAACCGCTGGTTATGGTATTCATACGACAGAGATGATATTGTGTGAACTTTGTTTTCTTTCATTTCTGATTGTTCTTTGTTTTGATTTCGTTTTGAAGAATTGGGTCAGCTATGAAACGTTTAAATAGTGAAATTAATTGTATAGAAATGAAATTTTGGGGGAAAATATTTGGACTTCATTGTGATTATTATATTATTCAAGTAAGATAGTTAGAGAAATGAGACGAACGAAATCATATAAGTAAACATTTAGAAAAGGTTCAACATGAAAAAGAGATGAAATTTGATGAAATTGATATTATTAATCGATCGAAACATTCTAATTATCGAATAGAAGCAAAGACCAATCAAGATCAAGTAAATATATTTATCTGACTCAACCACATGTGGATGTATAAATGACATGAGATAGTTGTTCTTCAAGAATAATCGATCTTATTTAGAACAGAACTATTATGATTGTTTAAATGATTGACTTAACTGATCAATAAACCTATCCTCCATATCGATTAGATCTTCACTGACTATTACATTATATATCTTGATAAGCTCAGAAATATTAACATTAGTTATTAGTAAGAAACTCGAAGACATGAAAGCTTTTTGTGTACTCAAAAAGTGAGTACACTCTAGAATCGGTCAGTGTGTCCGTCCGTAGGCACGATAACTTTCGAAAGAAGAGTCAGATCGTGATGAAATTTTTCACACAGTTCAATCTCGTGAATATTTCAGTCGAGTTCGAAGATGAGAAGGATTCCTCAAGAAATGGCTGAGTTGTCGAAAAAATTGTCATATTTGACCAGACCATCCCTGAAAAGGGAGGCAGGGATTTTTTTTCAAAAAACAAAATTTTCTCAGAATTATTCATCACATATATAAATCGACTCAGTTTTTAACGCTGATTCCGAATATGATATTACTCTTGAACTAAATCGTAGCTTTCTAACGAAACATCGCCTGAAAAACGTCTCAAAATGCACAAAAACTGCACCCAGAAATAAAATTGCCTAGTTTCTCATGATAATTTTGGTGTTCAGACATTCTAGAATGATTCATATGTCCCATGCACCTTTTGCAGTACACATAACTCTCGGATGAAATCCGAAGTTTCCACATTTATTTTTCTTTTCTTCTTAAGAATGTACAATTGGAAGTTCCAAGTGAACCACATGGAATAGGCACTAATCAATATACTTATTTTGTAACGAATTCTCCAGGACTTGCATGGACAAAGCTATCTGATGTTAAACCGTCTATGATAGATCATGCAAGAAAAATTCGATGTTTATTTACTGGATGTCTTTCAACAAAAGTCGAGGATTTTCCACCCTATCCTGGATTAGAACGAGATTATTTACGAGCACAAATTGCACGTATCACAGCTACAACACATATTTCACCAGCCGGATTTTATATCTTGACTGATAATAATGACGAAGAAGAAGCCGAAGAAATGACGTTTAATAACGAACGAAAAGGTAAAAACATGATTGAATAATTAACGTAAACAAAATAATTGCAAAAAAACAATAGATCCTAATATAATACTCAACCCTGAATTCAACAATGATCCAACAAATCCAATTACAGTTGAACAATTAGTTGATAAAGATTTACAAGAATGGGTACATTCACTACCTGAAATTCTATCACAAGGACGTACTCGGTTTTGGCGTCCACCTTCTACATTAGCAACACATTTTAGCAAAGAAGGAGGAGAAGAAGAAGAAGAAGGAGGAGAAGAAGAAGAAGAAGAAGAAGGGAACGATGACAATGAAGAAACATTAGATAGAAATAGTGTTGAAATACCTGCACCACTTTTACAACCAATTGGCGACGATAAAAACTTGCATACGAGTCAAATTTCATGGTCAATCGGTTTAACAATGTCGATCATGCATGAATATAGTTTGTGTTATGTACGATCAAATGTGTGGCCAGGAGCTTTTACGCTTGGGCATGCTGGGTATGTGTATTCATCAGAGCTCAAAATATAATATATAGCAGAATTTTATCTGTTTATTTTTTAGAAACTTTTTCAATTTGTATGTAGGTTGGGGACAGAAATATGAACAATTTAGTCCATCTCAAACTTCCCTGCCAAAAGTTGAATTCGCCAAAGAATTCATAGAAAAAAATGACCCAACTGTGGAAGTTGAAAATGCCATCGAGCAAGCACAGCGTGAAACTGCTTCAGAATCGATGTCGGACGAGTATATGAGTGCAGACGACGATAGTGGCGAAGAAATGTTGACTGGTGAAGATGATTAGATAGTCACTTGTTATTATTGATTGAAGAAATAAAAATCAATTTTAACATTACTATTGCTTTATTATTAAAATAATTGAATGTCACAGATTGTTGTAATAATTTTCCGCACCTTTTCAAAGTGTCGCGAGTTTCATTTGAGAAAGTCTGTCATAAATTGTCATACCTAAAAGAATGTTGCTATATTTAATAATTAGATTTTTCTGGACAGATGGAAACAGTTTTCGTTGTATATTTACTGTTGATGTACGGAGAGAGAAAAAGGTTTTGAAATAGAATTCAATACTGTGCATTTGAATGATAGTAGGCAAGCAAACAACGATACTATGAAATAAATGATTGTTATCAAATCTTTAGACGACTTACGAGAGGTTGTAGAATATTGCTAGCACGTCTACATTTATGAGATTACTTCGAGTGATACATCGATAAAAGAATGTAAGAAATCATAAGAATTATCTTTTAAAATTCAATGATCTATCGATTGATATTGAGTACGATACAATGTCAGAGTAGCAGAGATACTTACGCATTTTCGAATTCATTTCCACAAAAAACTCTATACTAGTGTGTCGCCTTGTTTCGAAAGATCGATTTTGATCGACCATTTTATTATGGAGTGTAATTCTCGTACTCATCCTCAAGTTTGGCCAAGTACGCTGGCGAATTTCTCTATAAGAATCCGAAATATTCGTAGATTATTTTTCATATAATTTATTTAGAATAAATGATACGACGTACAGAAAATCTGTCGTTCTCGAAATCATCGCGTCCCTAAATATGGACTTTGTATGATCAAGCAAGAAACTAGACAAAAGATCTAACATTGTGAACTAAATCAAATCTTTTTTTTTGTATCTACTTGTAATGATTGTTTTGGATGAATTTTGTATAAAATATAGAATCCTTTCGTATTCTGGATTTCGAGTTTTTGGGAAATGATTTTCATGATAAAAGAAACTAAATTCTAACAGAGTTTGATACAAAATTCAACAGACTATCGCATACTTTTTTCTTGTATAAATTTTGAATTATACTCATATTGCCGATATGAATATAAAGATTCGTTTATTTAGAACCGCGGAAACCTTAACTCGCTGTATATCGAGAAATCTTTATTGTCATAAATCCATGAAAATATTTTGAATTTAGGATATAGAAAAAAGTTCATTTAATAGCAGAGTCTACCTTGATTAGGAACAGTTTTTGCCTTGGTCTTTTTGTTCGGTACGGTGCACGAAATCCAAAGAAGAATAAATTCAATCACTAGTAAACTACCGATAATTTCTCATTGGTTTCTCTGTTCACGAATCTAAAACTTTTAGAAGCAAAGAAAATTCTCAAAGTATTTGAAAAGAGCTATTCTTATTAGGGATGTGCGTTAGTTAAAATAGTGATGCAGACAATTGTAACTGTCTAAATCTATCTTGGAAAAAACCGACTAAATAAAAATGGCTGGAAAGCGTTTCACTGTGATTTGTTTCTCAGCAAAAGAAAACCAAAACTTTTTTCGGCTCGTTTTACACCAAATTTATTACACAAAACCAGTTTTCCAGACAAAATTGGTGCTTTCATTGTTCAAATGATATTAAAATATGAATTATATTAATTCTTCGTATCAATCAATTACAAGAGGAAGTACAACTGGGGAAAAAAGTAAGTATTGTTATAAATACAGTCTCATGGTAGTCACATCTATAAGTTTTGTTAAAAATATGCCTTCTAATATCATTTTTAAAACTGATTTACAAATGTTAGTTCAGATGACACGCAGTTGCAATTACCTAAATTGTCTAAACATTCAAAGAACCACTATTTCATGGCTCATAAACACGTATCTGACTCCTTTGTTGTCTGTTTTTATTAGATAAAGTTAAAAGAACCAAAAGCACACACACACACACACACACAACATTATGGTATTGGAACTACCAGAATATCGAAGTCATTAATCAGTATCATGGTGTTGGGGCCAGAAAAAGTGCTGCACAAAATACGCATGGAGGTGGAAATCCACCCATTGTTGCTAAGCATGTTGGTAGACAAGCACCTAATGCTCCGGGCCCTAAAACTGGAACTGCTAAAGCACTTGCACAACATCCTGCACAGCACGTAGCACCAGCAGCTGGACCGGCATCAATTTGTTCTTGAAATTGGCAAAGTAATAGAACAGAAAGAACAATAACTATGAATGATTTCATTCTTGTTGCCTATAAAGTGCGAAATGAATAATTTTGTATCGGATAAGAGACGAAAATAAGTTTATTTACCTTTTTATATTTGGATTGATTAGTGTGAATAGAATACAAAGACTTGAATATGTCTGTTATGGCAAATATCTGCCCATTATATAGAAAAAAGTGAGCTGACGCAATTTTCCGACTATATTCTAGATGAGTGGGTGCTATGTCGTGTATTACAACTGTGCTTTAATATCTTTTCATTGTATGTACATTTTTCCTTTCTTTCCTGTACACGTAGATATATTCCGACGCTTTTCTTCCTATTGGTATATTCATCGTACGCTATTCTTCTTCTACAGAACACGTTATTCTTTAGTTATCGTTGATTATGAAATTTTTCAAGTTCCGAAAATATCATCTATATATTGATCTTTTCTTCATACTCATACACCCAACGATGTCACATCGTGAATGCAAAATCTCTCATAGTTTAGCCATAGGATAGTTGTGACAAATATTCGTACACGCTATATACTTGATCAAGGTATTTTACATTATCTTGACAACTAGAATGATTACCGTTATCCAACAATTTCGTATAATAATAAAAATAAAAATATGGGTCCAACAAAGTTGATCGAAGCAAACAATAAAAATTTGAAAAATATCAAAATAAATAGCTTATGTTATTCAGTCATATTAGATTATTTCAGATTGTAATTGAAATTTGAAGATACAGAGTTCACTACTGTTTTGTTTTCTATGAGAACAATTGTTGAACTTTTAAATCAGAAGTTTTGACCAATCAAAAACCGAAGGATAATGAAAGTATTTTTGATGCTTGCAGATTAGTCAAGAACGTTCATGTATCGACTATCGTTTTAATGGTAGCCTAAACATGTTTCTTGAATACATACTTCAAAATACAATTCCAGCAGGTCCATTTGAAACATAATATGGAAATTTAAAAAAAAAAGAAGTATTTATAAGAATGTTATGACTCAGGTCTCAAACACTTTCAACGACTTTTTCTGAAGTAGTTCAATCGTTATGTGCATTTACGTATCAGTTATATCAAGTAACATTGGACAAATAATTATTCAACATTGAAGTCTATAGCTAGATATTTCATGATAATGATGAATCTGAACGATAGATATAATAGTATTCATTCAAATATCTATCGAAAGGTGATCATGCAATACTATCAAAAGTAATGGAATACGCTAGAATAAAATCCTATGGTTTATATCTCCATTTTCTCACATCATCTTGATTGATACATGATTATAAAAGCAGAACATCAGAGCAAACAAAAGAAAATAACACATTCAGACTTGATACCGCTATCCATATCCTGTTGTTATCCAAAAAAATAATAATAAGAAACACATACACAGACAAATACTCGCGGTTTTATTCACCGGCAGAAGAAAATAACGAAGGAAAAAAATGCAATTACTCTTCATAGTTTCTCGTTCACCGTCGGAAATTATCTCTCTTATAAATCTATCCATCGTGACAAATAATAGGAGATTGTAGAAGGTATTCCGTTTAGAAAAAAAAGACGATGTTATAACAAAGTAGAAACGAAAAAGAAAGGACAGAAAAAAAGGAACATGCATTGAGCGATCGTTCTCATCATTTAATTAATAATAAAGTTAACTGTTTTAAAATTGAAATGGTCCTTGTGCAGGTTGTTGATTAGTATTCACACCAGATGCATTGGCCTGTCCATTTGTTGTTGATGTTACTTGCGTATTACTTGTACCAAATTCAAATGGTCCAGATTCTCCTTGTTGTGGAAGATTTTCTTCTTCATCAACACCAAAATATGTTTCTATAATGTGAAAAGCTTTTTGATAGATTTCAATATTTTCATGACTTTGTAAGTATTCAATTTTATCTAGACCAAAACATTCTTCGATCATAATGGCATATGGATTAGGTCCATTTGTTCGTTTAGCTTCAGCTGCACCTAATTTAAGAATATTTTCCAAACCATTAAATGCTACTTGAATGATCTTTGTATCTGTAACACTTAATAATTCACATAATGGTGGAATAGCTCCTTGATCAATGACATATCTTTAAAAATAAATAACATCAATAAAACGATTGATTCTAAAACATGTATTTGTTATATTTACTTGATTTGTTGTGGTGTACCACCTGATGTTGCATTCGTTACAGCCCAAGCAGCTTCTTTTCGTGTTTTATGATCGCCATGTTTAAGGATATTAATTAACGATGGAAATATATTCGCATCAATAACCGCCTAGAAATATTTCAAATGGTGTTTTGTTTAATAGGAAAGTGTCTTTTACTTGAATTTGACTTTGAATACCAGCCGTTATATTTGATAATGTCCAGCAGGCTTCTTTTTTAATTGATTCTTTTGGACTTTGTAGCAATGTTAACAAATGTGGAAGTACGCCAGCATCAAGAACAAGCTAAATACAAGTGGCATTGCTCGAAAAGAGCTTCATTTTTGATTAATGCAGAATTTACCTGTGTTTGTTGATCGTCACCTGTAACAATATTTCCCACAGCACGTAAAGCTGACGATTGAACATTTAATACTGGATGTCTATAAAAAAAAAAAAGATCACAAAGTTATTCTTTTTTCAAAAATATATTATTTTATATATTTACGCTAATAATTCGACAAGTCTTGTTGTCACACCCGCTTGAATAACAGCTTGAATTTTTTCGTTAGGTCCATCAGATAAATATGAAATAGCCCAACATGTATCAGCTAATACATCGGAGTCAAGATTATAAAGTAAACGACTAAGTACAGGTAATGCTGGAGCTACCTAAATTAGAATTTGTTATTTTCTATTTACGAAAAGAAATATTGTCGATTTCTTACTTTATTGAAATCGACAGCTGGATTTTTTCCTCGACATAAATTCGATAAACACCAAACAGCGTTTCGTACCATAGTTAAACGTGTATTACGTGAAAAAATACTAAATAAAAAGAGAAATTTCTTATCAATATTTATTATACAATAAAAAAAATAGTTTACTTTAATAATGGTTGAAGAACACCTGTATCAAGAACATAATCACGACAATCAGGACTATCTCCAGCAATGTTTCCTAATGCCCAAACTGCCTAAAATGATAATTAATGAAATGTAAAAGAAAATACAGTTGACATTAAATGCAATTTTTTACTTGTTCTTGAACATCTTCATTCGCACTGCTTAACAATTGAACAAAAACTGGTACGGCACCAGCATCAATAACATATTTTGTTTGACTTGAGTTTCCTGATGCAATATTCGTAAGTGCCCATGCAGCTTCAAACTTAATTTCAAATAATTCATAGAGAGATATTTTCTTTGCTTCTGAAGTCTTACTTGAATTTGAAAGTGTTGATATTTTAATAATTCAACGAAACGAGGGACAATTCCGGCTGTGATAACCTCGTCGATAGGTGGATTAGGTTCTAGAGTAACTAGAAAATCAACATCCATAAATTCTGATAAAAAAAAGTATTAACCTTTGGAAAGTAATTTTCGAAATCGAATCGTTGCTTCAAGCATTTGTTGTGGATCATCACCGAATAAGGCCGCAACCATTTGACTAGTTATGACCTAAACAATCATCATACATTTTCATTCAAAGTTAAAATCATTTCCTGATATTTTTTTTCGTTGTATTTAAAAATAGGTTAATATTTATGATCCGAGTAAAAATTGTTCACAAAAATCCGATAACATTTTTTATACGTTTGGTTTAAGCGAGATATTTTACTTTTCTAACCAATTTACATAAGCCTGATAATTCCTCTTACTTGTCACGAACTGCAGTCAAACAAGAAAGATCAACAGAAAAAATATTCGAATTCTGCCAACTGTGTTTGACGACAAGTAATTAAGTTTGTTGAACGTTCATGACAATACATATGAGCCCTGATCACCCTTAGATTCGAGAACAACTCTTCGCCGTTTTCATTGCAATGAGTACCTTCCGCATAAATATATGTAAAAATGTCAACTTTCATTTTCTTTCTTAATCATATCCATAATTTGAAATAAGTCGATTTATTTTTTGTAGAATTTCGAAATATTAAAATAGACTTTTTCAAATGACTGCTGTCGTTTTATTGCCTACGCTCAATTGAGATTGTTCTTTACCGGTTCTGTAGGTCCTGCGGGTTGCGTACCAGAACCAGCGACGCCAAATGGAGTTGCTGTTTCAGGTTCATTTGTACTTGCTAAATTTCTTCGTTTGAAGTGCTAAAATTAGAAGAAATCTTATGAAAATTTCATAAAAAAAGAGAAGAATATTTAAACCTGTTCTTCTCGTTTTTGTTTGCGTAAAGTAATATTTAAATCTTCACGTCTTTTACGCAGTTCTTCACTATCAAGTCCTCGATGTTTGTAATTTTTTTGACGTGCATCGTTTGACATTTTGTTGATTTTATTTTGTTGAGAAGTAAATATAAAATATGTATGTGTTATATCTAAAGTAAAAATAAACAATAATAATGATTATTAATATAATCGTAAACAAAACTATCTTTCTGCCTAGATTTCACAGTTAAAATAAAAACTTGAGTAATTTTATCATAATGTTCTGTTTGGCAGGTAATGAATCATATGAAGCAATAGAAGTTGAACTATATTGTTTATCTCGACATTGACTAACTAACTCTTATTCATTCATGATTCAATAGTCAACTTTAGTTTTCTAGCAATGAAAACAATGTTGTAAAGAGACGCGCCTAAGTGATAATAAAAAAAAAATGAAGAAAATGTAAGTGATCTCTACGTAGACATTACAGGATACTAGACAGTAGAGACGAAAAATATGTATGAAAATAATGGTGTTAAACAAAGTAACGACCGTTGCGTATATGATCTTTTCGGGCGGCCTTTGAGCTAACTTTTTTTTCTTTCTTTTAAATTCGGTTGGTCAAAACCATCATTGGAGAGGTTTCAAGGAAAATTAATGAATCGATTATTGAGCAACCTTTCATGATCTTCTACGAAGACGATGGGATTTTTAAAAAATCTAATTTATAGAAGAATTTCTCTGAAAAATATCCCTATAGAAACAATATCATAGTTTCCATATTTTTCCAGTTCTGTTATTTTTCACGATAAGCCATTTATCTTCAATAATCCATGCTAAAGATGTCACTCTTGATCATTCAGCTAGTTGTATGTAGTTATGTAGATTATTTTGTTTTAATTGATTAAACGCGAACTTTCAACTCTTTTTATTGTTATTATTATTTTCTCTAGAATCATAAGATTTCATTGCGATTAAGAAAACAAAAATATAGATAAATAAGAAAGATTAAAAAATTTAATTTTGACATGTTTTTGGTGCAAAATTTAAAATTCTAACTAAAGAATCATCACCAACAGTTACAATATGAGTACGATCAACATATATACAATTTATTTTCACAATATCAGCATTCTTTGTACTGTATGTATGTTGACTTGCAAGACTAAAGGATAAAAAAGAAATGAAGTTATTATTTTAACATTTTTATTTAACATTATTACTTATTTAAATTCCAAAATTTGACTGCACCATCTTGACCAGCTGAAACAAGTGATGGTTGTTTATCTTCATCACTTAATAAGATTAATTGAACACTTTCAATTCTTCAATTAAAAACAAAATAAATAATCATAATCATAATAACAAAACACGAATTACCGTCCTCGATGCTCATGAGTTTCCATTATTTTTTGAACAGTACATGGTCGTGATTCTTCCATATTAATTCGGTAGATCATTATATAGACGCCAAATGCATAAGCTATATAACCATGTTGCAGTGATACACTCATTATATAATCATCTGTTGTTCCATATAAAATTTTAACACATTGAGCTGTCGTTAATGACCATAAACGAACTGTCTGCAAAGATAAATTTCACTATTGAACATATATGTTTGTTATAAAACAGTTAAAATACTTTATCAGCTGAAGCTGTTGCACATAGATTTAATTCTTGATTGAGATCAACACCGAATACACTTGATGTATGACCGCTTAAAGTTGCATGAAGTTCACATTTAGGTAAGCGCCATAAACGTGCCTATAAAACAATAGGTTATTAATCATATGAAAAAAGGAGCTCTTGTTTTCAATCGAACTAACAGTTCGATCTTGAGAACCAGATAAACAATAAACATTTGAACATGCTAATGACCATACAGGACCATTATGTGATAATATAGTTCGTAGACAAATACCCGTATGAATATTCCAAATCTAAATATTCGGAAGAATTATTGTTGTTTCGTTTTTCTCTTATTCAAGCAATGATCTATACTTTGATTGTTGCATCATAGGCTCCACTAATAAGAAGTGTTGTAGAAAGAAATTTTAATGACCAAACACCTTTTGCATGGCCAACTAACTTTTGAAATAATTTTCCATCGTTTAATAACCATATAATAACAGTTTTATCAAGACTTCCTGTTGCTAAATGTGTATCATTTCCACAAATACATAAAACCCTATATGAAAAAAAAGAGAGAGAGAGAGTGAGAAATAGATAGAGAATCATTTATTATTCATGATCTTTTCAAAACATATTCAAAAGCATCAATGACATTATCAATCTCATTCATATCATAAACAATTCGGAGGGAGGGAGAAAAGCACGTAAAACAAAATCGATTCAATGTATTTCATCATATTGAGTCTTCTTATTTTCAAGACTCAATTAATCAAAACAGAAAATGCAATGATGCCAGCTAATGATCTTGATTTAGTTTTTGATCATATATGGAATGTACGTGATGACATGCTTAAGATCTATTTTAATATATCAAATTCAACATTTAAATCATATCGTTATTATTTCTATGATCTTCGTCGATTTGCTTTGCCGGATTCTATTAAATATTTTCCACGGCAACGTTTAATTGATACACAAAATTCACTGAATATTTTTGGTGTACACGAAGATGATTATGTTTCATGTGTATCATTTGTCGATGAATATGAAAATATTTTTAGGCCGCGTTATGGATGTTATGAATTTACAATAGGTGAAAAAACGATCGGTTCACATCATGGTAGCAAGTCTGGCCATTTATCGCCATTATTATTAGCTGTTGCTTTTGTTCTACATGTATTTATAGCGATTGTTCATCATATCAAAGCAAAACACTATGCGCGAAATCTATTACAACGTTTCATTGATGTCAATCCGAAAGCATCAAGAAAAGTATTTAATATAAAAAGTTCATTGAAAAAGCTCGATCATCCACGCGTTTCAGTATCCGTACAGAGACGATTATCTCGTGTTTCAGTTGATGTAGGTGTCGATGAGAGATATAGTATTGCAACGCAAAGTTCAACTGATGATACACCAATTTATGTTTTACCTCATCATAATCGAAAAGTTAGTTTAGGCCTCATGAAAACTATACCTGAGAGCATCGCGTAGTGAATCATTTTCTAAGCAGCAAAACAAAAACCGTTACCTTTCTTTATGTCCTGCACATTTGATAAGTTGAGCTGTTCCTGCTAGCCAATTACGTTTTGTAGCTAAATTTTGTTTATGAACTTTTTCCCAATCAACTTGTATGGTTTTATCCACTAGATACAAATAAATTCAAAAATAATCTATTGCGTTTTCCGTTATTTTCTTTATACTTTCTGCTGTTTTAGTTTCATCTTTTGGTTTCCAAAGATCGGGCTCACGATCAACAATTGATTTCCAATTTTTACATACCTAAAACAGAAAACAAAAACATATTTACAAATAAAACCAAACGTGTTTTCTTACTTCACGACTTCGTGATAATTCTTGAAGAGTTAAAGTCTTTAATATTTCAAATACAACTGATTGAGGTAATAGACTAATAAAATCACGATAACGACGTTGCTATATGATTAATTAAAAATGAACTCGAGCTTGAAAAATAAAGTTTTTCTTTTTCCTTTACCGTGATTACACATGAAACAAAGTATTGTTGTCTTTCGTCAAATTTAACAATAAGTCGACGAAGAAAATCATTTTGCTCGGCTTCTATTAAAAACCAACAAATTTGACTTTGATTTGAAAAGAAAAAGAAAACACTCGAAACTAACCTGACCAAGAATTTGTAAACCAATGTAATAATTGTTCAAAGCTCGTTCTACTCGGTACCTTTAATTAAACAGGAATTTTTTTCGTACATAGATACATTCATAAACGGAAAAAAAGAGAGAAGATCTATTCACAGTTGAATGAGAACCAAGCGAATGTTCAGTCCATCGTATAGTGACAGATCTTGATGTTAGTTGAGTGCAACTTTTTTGTCTTTTTGCATTTTCACCATAAAAATCAAAGCTTCTACAAGTATTTAAAAAATTAGAAGAAAAACTTCAATCGTTGTTTACCGAGACGGTGATGGACTTTTATCATTTTTTTTCGTAACAATTGATTGTTTTATAGGTGGACAATGAACAGTTGATAATGATTTACTTTCTGTATATCTAGGAACATAGAAGAAAAAAACTTATCATCTTCAATCGGTATATGTATATTTATTCAAGCGTAACCAACAGATCATTTTCTTCCATTCAATTATTTCATGGTCATACGAATTGATTCTCAATAATCATTGAAATAATTGATACAATCAATCAAGTTACATCAGTAGTATAAAAAAAAAGAAACGGCGAACAAACAGTGTGAAATTTGTATGTACATTCAAAGTAATTATTTTAACGATATTCTATTGATTGAAAAGATTTTAGCCTTGGTAATTTCAAATGAACAGCAGTATCATAATAATGACGATGATGGTCATCGTTTTCATATTCTCCAAAAGAAAACAAGCGTCGTTGTATAGAGAAACACACAAATATTAATGCGATGACAACATCAACAAGACATGTTCATGTTATCGGTGGACCAAATTCAGCATTTGCTCGTCTTTTTCCTGATAAATATCAACAGCAACAAGAAATAATTAGAAAGCAACGTTCAAAATCAATCGAAAGTGAACGTTTAAAAAATTCCGATCGAATTACACCTGAATATAGATCAAATAATAATCATAGAGAAATACGGAGAAAATCTTGTCGAATTCGATTTTGTCCAAATGAAGATGATCGCTTAAAAACTCGTACTAGATCTGAACCCTATCTTAATCAAATTCATTTATCATCAGATTATTCAAATCGTAATGTAAATTATGACGAACAACATCGTGAAACAAACTATCGTAATAATTCAGATAATATCATCTATAATCAAAGAGTAGGTATTCGATATTTAAGACCACCTACACCACCTTCGCCTGGACCTCTCGTTTTTCGTGAGATACAATCAACGCCAACCGATGAACTACCACCACTTCTTCTTTCAACAACACCGTAAGCTTGTATTTTCTTCCCAAAAACAAATTCATTATTTATTCAATTTTATAGACCAATACCACCTCGTACTCCATCACCGATTGTTGTTCGTGAAAGACCACCAACGCCACCTGAATATCAACCAACTGAAATCATTACAAAAAAGCTACCACGTGGCCCGACGCCACTACGTCGTGTAATTCTCCGACACACATCACCTTTGCCTGCTAAGCCACGTCCAGTAATCATTGAGAAATGGTTACCATATAAAGACGCTAAAGAACGCCGTGTTCTCTATCAACGAATGCAACAAACTCGACCTGCTCAACATAATCTTATTTTTCGCTGTGAACCACCTCAAGTCAAAATTAAACAAAAAATTGAACATATAGGTTGTTTCCGTGTCGATCCGAAAGTCTACACAGCTCAATATGGTTCAACACTACGACGTACAGATAGTATTCGAAGAGTCTTAGAGAATATTGGATGTAATGCTAATTTACTAACGTCAAATGGATATCAAAATTGTTATTTGCCAACGAATAATTCATCCTACAACGATAATCTACGAACAAGAACATCTCATGTTTCTAATGAACGTTTAAATAAATTACTTGGTTCACCTATTCTAACCAGAGCAAAAACTACCAGAGAAAATTATTATGATGTACCAAAGTCAAATGATGATGATCCAAATTATACAAAACTTTCATCTGCGACTTGCTAAAAATGAAACTTACTGTCCGAATGATGATTGCGATTTTCTTCGAATGCCATCATCATCACGAAACTCTTGAAGATCATTGATGGTGCTGAGATAGAAACTTTCTTCTCTATCGAAACATCGTTGATGATATTCCTTTTTTGTTTATAAATATAAATTAAACAAATGAGAAAAAAAGAAGAAACAGTTTTGCACTTCATACTTTAATTGATCGACTTTCAGGCGTACTTATTCGTTTGAAATGGTAATTCGGATAACGAGATTTGACAGCATAGAAATAATCACGATGTAATGAAGGTTGTAAAACTGTCCCTAACATATCGAGTTGAGCAGGAGTACATGATGGTAATAATCGTTCGATTAGTCGGCATCGCTGAAGCACAAGAAGCGTCAGTGAAAAAATAAAAATTAATAAGTCATTAATCTCATTATTATTAGCATTGACTATTTAGAACCGTTTTTTTCTTCTGAGTACATATGTTAAAATTTCACATACCTGCCCATGATTCCATTGTTCAGCTATCATGACTGCTGCAATGACTTGTTCTTTATTCCAAGCAATTTTATTCGATGAGTATCGATCATTGGTAATTAGAACTGGATTTATCATCATCATCATCATCGTCGTCGTCGTATTGTAGTTATTAATCAAAAATTTTCTTTCCACTCTTTGGCTTTTACCAGCATGAATAGAGATTGTTATTATTGATGTGTATTTTTTCGTTTCTTCTTTTTTTCAATTTTGATATTTCGATTGTTTTTAACTTCTTTTTTCTTTTTCTTTTCTTTTTTCTATTCAATTTTCAATGGGATCATTAACATCGAATACTTGTAACAAAAATTAGTTTTTCTTTCTTCATTTCTTTTTCTACAACGGATTCACAGTTGCTTCATTATTTTATAGTGACAAACAAAAAAATATTTATTTTAACCAATAAAGTCTTGAAGAATTCATTATTCAATGATCTGTCATTAATCAAAATCTTAATTGAAAAGATAATGTAATCAGTATGTTAGTTACCGTCGTCAAGAATAATCACATTAAATTTTTATACAAAAATACATCACAACCGTTGCCTTGAAATGCGTTCAGTTTACCGACAAGTCAACTGAAGAAATATGCTCAGCGATTTTTATTCTAATGGGACAGATGGTGAGCATAATCCTTGGGGAATGAGCATATAAAAAATACAATGGAATCGTTTTTTGTTGATTGTATTCTATCTATTTGGAAACACCTTTCTCTATTATAAGTTTACTTGTAAATCCAATACGGAAATCGTTACTACGAAGTCTAGCATAGGAAGGAGAAAGATCAGTTCGAATCATTGCCTTGTAGGTTAATATTATTTTTCATATCGTATTTCATTAGAAAACAAACAGTAATGAGCACGTTTGGGTAAGATATAATTGCAAGTCAATTTATTCAATAAATCACGTGCATTTCAATATCTTGCGTTAATACAAATTTTCTTTTCAGTTAGAAAAAGAATAAGAAATATTACACCAAAGCAATATTAAAAATTTGACATCAAATAAAGAATAAAAATAACGAATAGATTTTTATTGTAGAACAAAAAAGTTTTTTTCTTGAAATAAAAACTTGTATTTTGCATAAATTATTAGTTACTCATCAATACCTTCATAATACAATTAATTTTGCATTGCGATTATATAATAAAAATTTTAACCAAAGCGAATATGTATATATTATATATAATCACCGGAACTTGACTGTTATTGATTAGATTTCCGTTTTATTGAATTATACATCATAGAATTCGTGATGAGTTCTTCCGTCATAACGATAAACAGGTAAATATGAACGTGTCGTTGACAAGATATCATTATAATCGATGTCACTTCTTGGTGTTTGATAATCATGTTTGATTTTATTATTTTCATCATGTGCTACATGTCGTTTTTCAATATAAAGTACAATAATAATTGTCAATAAAATAAATGTTACACCAACAAAACAGCCACATAAAGAATAAAGTATAAAACTTTCAGAATGTTCTATATGAAAATAGAAAAAATATAAATTAAAAAAAAAAGACGAACAAATATCTTACGACGAATAAATTCTGATGTTTGAAGCCAATCAATGACAGCCATCGATCGGATTATCTCTTGAATATCTAGCACCTGTAGAATCTTTTATAGATAAGAGTTCTTCATACACATATGTAATTCATTCTATAAATGAATGAACATCTTCTTTCTCTGTTATATAGAGGAGAAAAAAAGATTACATAAGAATAACTGATTGATTGATTGAAAAATAAGCAATGAGGTTTAGGGACAAGGCTTTCTTTTTCCTTAACGCCCGTATACACACACACACACACACACACACACACCTCGAATCGATCAAATAAAGACGAGAATATTTGGACAGATGGTTATATAGAGGAACGGAACAATTCCAAATGGCCAATTTTTCCAAGATGATATCAATGAAACTTCACACAAGAGACTAACGGATGGAAATTCGATTTCTATGGATCTCACTGGAATACATCATACTCATCTCGTTCACATCCATAAGATTAATCTACTTAACAAGTTATCTATTAAAAATGTATGCTCTGTCCTTCTCGCTTTCTCTCTTTCCTACGAATAATGGCAACACGATGAATGTATGTATAAGTGTGCATTCATGCCTGTAAACAATGTCTCATCATTTGTTTGATTAATGATTGTAGAGCTTGTAACAGTCTAGTTGTTAACCTCGATGATCTTAGTTATTCTTTTTTTATATTCTTCTATACGACCCCCTACAGATACATAGATCATAGAGCGTTATCATCATCATCATCATCATCATCATCATCATCGTCATGAAATTTTGTCTTATATACATTTCCTATCGTGTATGTTTTGGTTAGACAATATTAAATAGACAGTTGCTTTGATGTTATTTTCTAACTATTGTTATTACTGTTGGAGACACATATGGAGATGAGAAAAACAAGAAAGGCTTTATTGGATTCTTTACAATGAACATAAAAAGAAAATTTCTTATGAGAATATTGCAGAGAAAGAAAATCTGATGTGGAATTTTTATTTGAATTGGCACATTGACGACAGAAAATTAGGATGTTGAGCTACACGCCATAGAGCGAGAGAAAGAGAAAATTGTTTGATTGATTAGAAAAACATGCGATCCGTTATTAGATAAGAGAACATGATATGAGTTGTTGTATCTTTATTATAGAGTACAACATCGGTAGAGTGGCCGACTTTCGAATGTTTTCCAATTGTGAACTTTACATACGTTAATTCTTTGAGAAAAACCTCAGTTTTCTTTCAAATCATTTATCTTTTTTCGGCACTTAACAACTATCAATACGTAGGAAAACATGCCATGACGAGCACCAGCTGTATTCTTTAAATGCATTAGCCATTGTAATAAAATTTCAACTTTCTAATATGCCCATCAGTTACGAACATGGACAAGTTTTAAAACAAAACTCGCATAATCAGCTGATAGCAATACTCCTGTAAATCATAATCGAACATACGACACGATGGAACGTATGTTTACACACATTGCATTTGTATCTTTTAGAAACAATTATCTACTCCGATGTCTTCTCATCAAGTGTGCTTATAAATAAATTTATTCAATAAATAAACATGTTACAAATATCGTGTACTCGATCACTAGAAAGCTCAAACTTAGAAGCTTTGACTTGATATATACGTGTCATGCAAGTTCTGTATTTCAACGTGAGAAAACGATAGGGAAATTGCCATCGACAATCCGTCATCAATGATTTTGAGACAAACTTTATCTGGATGAACGAATTTTTAATGTAACTGTCATTCATACGATACATTGATAGATGATTGTAGCGTGCAGCCTAGGTTATGACAACAGTAACTATGACAAGGTTCTATGAAGAAATACGAAAATTTGCTTGTACAAATAACCAAAATTCAAAATACTGAATGATATAACTAAGGAAAGAAATCGATAATTAAAGTCAAGAAGGAAACTATTCCTATTGTATCAACACTTGTGTAATGTTTGTAATTTTATTATCCAATAAAAAGGCAAAACATGTCATTTCTAACAACAGAAAAACACTTTTCATGATGAAATTTTCCTATAATCTCTGCAAAGATCAATTTGACTGCATTCGCATACGTATATTTCTTTACTAAAAGTGATCATAAAAAAAACGAAAACTACGAAATTCTTCAAAGTCTTAGACTACAATGTTTTATTTTTGACATTCATATATCAAACAAAGAAATGATCTATATTAAGAAAATAAAAATTTCCTATTTAGTACGTTCAAGTTTGGGTGCCAATCGCCAATCAAACCATCCCCAACCTTTTTCTTTCGTCATTTTAGACACTGTTTTATGGCGCGCAAATTTTGGACATTCAATATACATTCTTCCATAACGCCAAATAACATAGCAATCTTGACATCGGCGACGTAACATATCTTTTGTTCTGTAGGATCGAACAAACATCATTGGCAACGATGTTGATTTCAAAACGGTTCTTTGAAGAATTGTTGATATTAACATACTTGAATATCTGCAAACAAAAAAGGCTTCATATTCTTTTTTTTCTCGAAAAGAAAAACAGATAATTATTTTTCGGGATAGTGCTAATATAATTTTATTGTTTTAAATGAAAATGAAAAAGTTGAAGCCTATATACAGGATAGAAGAAAAAGAAAAGGAACACAGGAGGCGTTCATTTATTTTTTATTTTCACTACCAGTACCCGTTGGTTTTTGAGAAGCTTCAGCTTCTTGACGTTTTTTAGTGTCATCATGAACTGTATTACGAAACTAAATTAATGAACAAAATTTATCAAAGATAATATTCCTTTTTAAATTTAGTTTTAGCAGCTTACTTTTGGGAATGTTTCCCATGGTGTATTTAAATCAAATTTACGATAGTCTTGCGATAATTCAATAGGTTCAATAACAACACGTTTTTGTTCTTCATCATAACGAACCTCTGTATAACCAGGAAGCGGAAAATCTTTACGCATTGGATGACCTTCAAAACCATAATCAGTTAAAATACGACGAAGATCTGGATGATTGGTGAAGTAAACTCCATACATATCCCAAACCTACACATCAGTTCATTATTATGGAATTTAATCTTTATTTTTTTGTTCGAACCTCTCTTTCCAACCAATTGGCTGCATCATAAATATCAGTTATACTTGCTATGGGTGTTAATTCATCGGTATATGTTTTGATGCGAACACGGGAATTATAACGAAGTGAGAGTAAATTGTAGACAATCTAAAATAGAAAATGCATAATAGATTTTTAAATAATAAATCGAACTAAATGTTAATTTTATCTCAAAAAATTCAGTTCGGTTAATAAAAATCAAATGTTTCTCTTATATGTCGATAAAATTTAGATGAGATCTATAACAAACAGAAGAGCGTTTGAAACGGATTATTCTATGATCGGGCTCAAAAATGAACAATCAATCATATGCAATGGATCAAATTTTATCGAATGCGAACATAAAGAAAATTTGTTAAAAAAATTTCGATTTCTATTCAACGCTACTGTTTCGAAAAAACCTGCTGCCAACATAAACATCTTTAATTCACTATACCTCAAATCGATAAACTCTTGTGGGCACATCAATTGCAGTAATATCCACTAATGAACTAAACTGAGCATTGGTATGATCTTTTAGAAAAGCCATAACAGGAAATACTCCATCTGGATGAATCAATACTTCGAGTTCATTTGTTGATGTTATTTGTACATGTTGCACAAAACGTGGTAGACATTCCGAAACATATTGACCAAAATCAACTAAAGCTTTACGTTGTTCGACATTGACACGGATAAGATTCGCTACATATAGATAATCGAAAATGAAGATTTTCTGTCATGTTGTTTTATAATAAAAAAAAAAAAGAGAATCGTACGTGCAGGGACATTTGGTGTTGGTTGTGGTGGTGTCGTAGCTTGAGTGCGATGGAGAAATACTAAACTTGCAGGTATGTTTCGATGTCCAACTGCAGAAACCAAACCTAAATTATACAAAATACATTTTATCAGCTGAAATTTTTGCGTTTTAACTGTTTTTAACCTTTGCTCGTTGCTAAAATAGGCCGAGCAAATTGCCGAATTAATGAACTAGCCATCTGAAATAGCATATATCAATAATGTAGAACTTTACTTTTATTTTTTTTTTGTTTCATAAGAAATATCTGACATATTCATTCTTTTTTTGTCTAATAAATTTTACAAGAACTAGAGATTAACAAGATAGTCTTGAGGATAATGTTGAAAAAGTAGAACAGCTTGATTGTACATATCCATATCTAAATAAGTATTTGTTTAAAATTAAAAATCTATTGTCTTTTTTCTCATTTACCAAAATTGGCCGTTTGTTCAGGTTCAAATGCTATGACTGAATCACAAATAATTTGATTTCGATTATCAACATTTCCAAGTACTTCAATAATACTACCAGCATCGACAGCGACCTTAATTTAAAAAGAAATGAGAAACTGATTATGAAATAAATAAATAAATTTTTTTTTTTTGTTTTGACTACATACACGTTCTGTTGAACGAACAACAATATGCTGTTTATCACTGGTTTCCAAATCGATTACATTGCCAGTTGGATGAACCTTAATATATCATTTATTTTTGAAAAAGTTTTTAGTTTTCATTATAAATATTGAATTTTACCTTACTAACAGTACCAATAATACTAACTGGCTTTCCACTAAATTGTTGAAGCATAGATCCATTAATACGATAGTGATGCGACATATCTGAAGTCAACAAAAATAATAATAATAATCAGAACTTATCGATTAATCAGCTGTCAGGTATTTTATTATAAGAAGAACTATCGTAAATAGGCCATTGATGTTTTAGAACAAAATTAACATCATTTTCTTTTATAGAAGTTGAAGACGATGTTCCTATTCGTCTTTGTGTTGCAGACGATGATTTGGAAACTAGTTCTTGAGCAAATAATGATGCTAAATTAACAAGTAGTTTTTCAGTATCAGGTTGAAGCAGTGGTTGTTGAGGGTTCGATGATGAATATTGGCCTGATTGGAGAAGAATTCGATTGAAAAAAGCTGATGGAATAAGATCTTCGGTATCGTTTGTTGTCATCTTTGTTCGAAGAATCGATGAATGAATAAATAAAGTGAACAATTAATTTTGTTTATAATAATAGTTTGTCGCTATTAGCTAGACAGATTTCGTCAGAAAGGCACAAGATCTTTTTTGATTGGTTAAAAAAAAGCCAATCCAATGATGATACAGAAAGAAAGAAAAAAAACGGTTATCCTTTATTCACGGATATCAATAGGGCAGTCTTTTTCGTTTGCGCTGACTTATGAACAAAATATGTTTCTTTTTTTTCATGATCCAAACGTAAATACAATCGATATTCAGTCTTTAGAAACATGATGTGTCTAGATGATGATGTATTGCGTTAGTTTTTATCGTAATTTAATTGATATTTAACGTCTAATCTCGGATGCTTTCAAATCTTCACTTATTTTTTCATCGCTTACAAAATGTTTGCTATAGAATAGAAAGTTCGTTCTCTATAATAAGATTCAAACTCATTCATTACACGCATCGACTAATGACATACAACAAATTATTTAACATATTATAAAAAGAAACATTAATTATATATAAATAAATTCATTGATTACTTCTTTTAGATATTTAATAAAAAGTCAAACATGTCATTATTACAACAACTAACAAAAAAGTGAGTTAACTATTCTCTTTTATCTGTCTATTCAATCATTCATGCATATGTAAGACATTCCATATTTCATTTTGACGTAATGCATCATTCTTACGAGCTCCGCCTTTTTCTTCTTTTTCTCGTTTTCTTCGATTTATTTCTTCGTCTATTCTTTTTTTTATTATGCCAGACCGGAAAGACACGCCTTTGTTTGAGGCAATGGTGTACTTAATTATTTTTCTTTCTCTTGCTTCATTTCCTCGATCCCTTGAGCCATCTTTCTCTCTCGTCAATATTCAATGTTGCAATTGAACGATCGATATAAGATCCACATGCAATAAAGTCTATGAGACATTTTTTATAAGATCCATATATGATCTGCAGTAAGTAATTACCTACTAATTCATGATAGAACGTGACTTACAGGAAGTATTAAAAACTGAATATGATCCGCTACGACAATCTAATCAAGGATTCTCTTTTTTTCTTGATAGAGTAAATTGAGGATAGCACGCGTCAGTTATGATGCTAAAAAGGAAATACGATTGTTCAAGTGGTGAAATGCCTATAGATGAATAAAAGAAAGTAGAAAAAAAAATCCTGAATACGTCGATTTTCCACTTGTGTTAAAAAAATCTATCGAGGTAGTTTTGCGTTTCACAATGACGAATAACAAAAATCCAAAGAAAAGAACATTCTATGATGAGTAAGTTTTATGTTCGATTTTTCGTATGTGCTATTTCATACTGCTATATCGATTGTCTTTTGCTACAACACTGATTATGAATCAACACTTCAACTTTAGTTCAAGTGTCACCCCTTGTATTTATGAAAATAATTTCTCATAGAATACGAATAGGCCGTTTATGCAATCAGCTCAGCTCTTCTCCAAAAAAAAAAGGAAGAATTCTATCCTTCTGTTGAGTCCAACAAATTTCTCGAGTAATCTTGAAGAATTCATAAGATACTACCGATGAAACTCATCAATCTAATGTTATCGTGTATCTCTTTTCTTACACTATTGTTCCTATCTCTGATAATTTGTATAAGTCACAATAGTAGATGCACCCATCCATAACCTTCTCCGTCCTCGGACACCCTTGTATCAATGATAATGTATCTATTTATCAATAGAAAACAAATGATTAGAGTCCTAAAATCAGATTATTTATTCTCTATATTGATTCCATCTTGCAATCAAATCATACCATTTCAATTTTGCTCCATGTGTTAATCGCCTATCACATAGGTAAATGTATGAAATTCGTAGAAATCTGATTGTCTCTTGTTAATAGAAAAGATATCGAAAGCTGATTAAAATTCAAGAGTCGATTGACATGTATAAATAAATGCGTATGTTTATCATTTAACAAGTAGCAAAGCGTGTCATATTGATCTTTTAAGATATCACATATTTAACTCTTGACATATCCCATTAAAACTAATCATGATTAGCATTTCGATTTTTATTTTACTCGTTTTTCTTTTTCTTTCGAAATATATTCCATCGACAGAAAATAGTTGTATTCTCTTATGAGAACTTTATCCTAGTTGATTATCGTCTGTCAATAGAACGTCTTTGATCTTTTTTTCGAATGAAAGAAAGCTGTTGCTGCTTGAGATTCGTATTTTTTCAAAAAGTGTTCCGACCGTTTTTTTTTTCGTTCTATCATTGATCATTTTCCTAACGTATAACATCAGAGGAAAGTGATTTCGCACATATAAGTCAATTACTACTGTCCATTAGTTTTATATTGAATAGAGAAAAAAAATAAACAATTTTATAATGTTGTAAGTCGACTGTTTCGTCGTCCGCGTACACTGACTAATCAATACACATCTTTATACAAAAAAACATGAATAATTTTATTAGATTCAATATGACATCATCGAAAATCAACGATACAGAGTTACGCAAACAATTCCTGCAATATCTCAATCAACCGGAATTATGCGAACAATTTTATATCTATATGAAATCAGAACATTTAGCATATGTATTAGAATTTTATCTAGCATGTGATGGTCTAAGAAATCTACTTGATGATACATCAAAACAAGGTCCTATTATTGAACTTATTTATAAACATTATTTATGCAATGGTAAAAATTTATCATCGTCGTCTAAAGCAAAATTTTCTCTACCTGATGATTTAATATCATCAATAAAGCAACGTTTAATTAAACATGAATTTCATTTAAAATTCTATGATCAAGCACAAGAATATGTTCTTAAATATATGTTACAAATGTGTTACCCTAAATTTCTTATTGAACAACAGCAACAACAAGAAAATGAATTAAAACGTCAAGCAATGATAACACCAAAATTTAGTCCCATGCATAAACGACCCATGACATCAAGGAAAAAAGAGGCATTCGAACAATTAAAACGAAATCTTAAGTAAGAGACAATTTCGAATAAATACTTGAGTTTACATACCGGAATGTGTACTGTTAAAGACAGTTGATATATCGAGAAAACAAATGATATCTTTATTTGATCTTTTTTTCATCTCAAGTAGTAAAGATGAACGTTACAAAGAAGAAAAGAATGAGCATATCGATTGTTTTATTTTGTTGTTCTTTTAGTACTTCTGTTCCTATCAAAATGCCGTCTAATGTTCGTCAACAACAACCTGTTGACCCCTGGTAAGTGCAGAGAAATTTTAAATTAGGTGTCATCATCTCCATTCCACGCAGTCACGTGGCGATAAGTTTAAGAAAAACAAAAAAGACTAAGAGATTTGCGATCAAACAAATATATGAATTTCGTCACGCTTTCGCTTCGCCGGCTGATTGTAGAGTAAGAGAACAACCTGTAGATTAGCCTCAATGGGTGGATGAATGGTTAAGCGTCGACCGTTGGTTCGTTTCTTTTCTCTTGTCTTCTGCCGTTACCGCCGCCACCACGGCTTGTCTGAACTTCAAAGTATGCGGCTTACTTTGATCGTTCTAACCTCTAACGTTGGCGGTGTCTCTGATCTTGTCAACATGAATCACATTCAATTAGATTACACTATTGTGCCGACGCCGACGCCGCGCGCTTGTTAGAAAGCAGACTATCAAAAAGAAAATCGAGAGAGAGAGAGAGAGAGACAGGGAGAAAAGAATAAAAAGAAAGGGAGAAAGAAGGAGAGACACAAACATATCTGATATTTTGAGCTTAACTGTTGAGTTGCTTTTACAATGACACTATTACTAATGCGAAATCCTTATTCATTGTAAGTTTAAAATAAATATTTTCGTTAATTTACAATTGTTTCCTTTTAGTTCATTAGAAGTATCAACACTAATAGCTGATCATGATGCTGGACTAAATATCTCTAAACTACCAGTAAGTTAATCCTTATCAATAGGAAGAAGAAAAAAACATAAAATTACTTTTCTCTATTTTTGCAGCGAACAGCCAAATTAACTAAACAACAAAAGGATCAATATAGTCTTGCTCAACGTGATCCTGCAGCTTTTTTTGAAGAAATTAAAAAACGTCTCTTAGCTTATCAAGCAGAAAATTCAAGTGCCGCAAAACTTCGTGGTCTTTCACAATCATTCAATGTACAAAATAAAGTTTCATTTTCATTTAATGATTTTCGAACAGCTGATGATGATTCATTAGCTGTTCTTGATTCTCAAATAGCTAAAACAATTGATGATGCCGATAATAGTCTATTTGAGACGCCAACAAAAAATAATTATCGATATCGACCGTCGTCCATAGCAAAAGATTATTCAATATTAAGAAATAGTTTTACACGATCAGATTCAGGTGTTGGAACAGATACATCGGAAAAGTATGTTGACTGAACTGTCACACACAACATGACATCAAAAATATATACATATGTTTTTTTTGCTAAATAGAAATTATGAAATCTTTCGTTATCAACAAGGGAAGAATTTAACTTCAATCGATGTTATTTGGTATCCATCACTTGATAGTAATAATGCTCTCCTATCTACAATACCAAGAATTCGTGATCATATTACATTTAAAGAATTTCGATTATTGTTTAAAAAACAACCGATCTATAGGTACGAAGAAATTTGATTCGTATTGTATTATTTATTTATTGTTTTTCGGATTTCTTATAGATATTTCTTTAAAACAACTTGTACACCTGATATTAATAAAGAGCAGTATGTATTTCGTGAATTAACTATGGACGATGAATTAGTGCCTTTGTATGATGGTAAAATTTTCGTACAATTAGATCGGCTTTCTTAACAATTTTGTTTTTGTTTTGTTTTTCGTCAGATTAATTAATATTATTACTATTTTTTTTTCTCTTCCAATATACTGAAGAATCGGTGTTTTTCTTCTTATTGTTGTTGTTTGTTTATTAATAATTGTCGATCCTTCTTTTTTTTTGTTTTCGTCTTTGGAAGAACGATAACGAGTTTGATTATGTATATTAAGAGATAAATTTTATATATCAGTGATGATACTCCATGCAATTATGTATATTTTTTACTATTTGGGGATTTATGATATTATAAAATCGATTAATCATATGAGAATATAGATAGTTATGAAGAAAAAGTGCTGAGATCCCTAGAGGGATCTTTTCTGTAATCGTTATAAACTATCTATCGCTTTGTTTCATTCTGAAGGACCATTCGTTGCATAGTTTTTACATATGTAATACTTGAATAATCAACAAAAAAACTGATGAATAGTTTGATTAAATAACCAGAAATAGGAAGTGGCCTAGTAGTTACGTGAAAGGTAAGCGATTCAAAAGTTCTTTAAGCGTAAAATTAAGTAGATTATGTCGTTGTCTCAGCATGAAATAAAGAATTTTGCTTACGGTGATGTTACTTAATATAATCGATGACTTAGACGATCCAATGCAGAAATAAGTCTACACCGGATATTTTCCTGGTTGTGACAATTTAATTTGACACCAAAATGCATGAGAATGTTTGAAAATGAATGCGAGATGAAATCTATTTAAAATAACTTTTGGGCAATGCTTTTCTTTTTCATACAAGACAACGATTTATCAAAGCTAAGTTGTAGCCGATACGCTGATATTTCATCAAACGAGAAAATATGAATGGTTGGATTGAGTTGTACTCTGATGATCTCAATGAAATATTTCTCTTTGAACTTCGGATGGCATCTAAATAGACAAGGCAACATCGTCGCTTGTTTCCTATTACGTAACTTGTGCACTTCATACATCCGCCAATCAACTTAACCCCACATGTTTCTAGGACATGATCGTTTTTTCCTATACAAATCTCTCCAAACGATAGTGCAAGAATTCTATCCCATTAGTATTATTGTCAAAGCAAACATGCTTTATTTATCATCTTCACATAGAATTTCTTATAATAAACAGCGTCTATCGCTTTCGTCACCGATATCGCTATCTTAAGCCGATGATCATATCTTTTCTTCAAAGTAAGTATCAAAATTTTGTTCTAATTACGATCATTTATTCTACCTTAAATTGTATCATTCACAAGAATCTACAAACCGATTCTGTTTGTTTGTTTTTTGTCGTGAGTTATTTTCAATCATTTGATGGAAAAAAATATTTAAACACACGCAACAACAACAAAAAAATTAGCAGAAAAAAATAAGACAACAATGACAGAAAAGAAAAAGTAAACAGATCATATCTAACGTAGACAGAAAAAAAATAGAACAAACGTAAGACAAGAAAAATTAGAATAATAAAAGAGAAGACAAAATACTCTCAATTTAGTTTAGGTTTTTTGTGAGGTAGAAAAAAAATTCTATTGTTTTTTTTAATTAATTGAATCGTACTTCTTATTGCACGACTTTTACGACAGGGCAATTGAAGACAAAAAAAAAATAAACTAAGATGCAAGCTAATATCAGCTTGAGAAATCATCTGATAAGAAAATATGTTCATACATCGAACAATCTCATTTTGCTTTGCAATGAAAATATCTCTTGATGAAGAGAAAATAATAAAGAATGTAAAAAGAGAAAAAAAAATAAAACCTAAGATAACATAAACACAGTCATTCATCTACATGTACGACGACGACTAGAAATTAAATTTAAATTGAGATCATACGTACAAACACACAGAAATATATATGTATATATATTTAAAATCCATTTGCGCCTATAATGCAATCAATTGGTTGAGAAATCGATTGTTGAATTGGATGAAAGACTGGTTGCGAAGATTTCGAATGACGTGTCACTGCTTTATGAGATGACATACTACCAATATGAATTTTTTGCCAGCAACGTTGGCAAAAATAATCGAAACAAGCAAAATTTCGACAGAACAAATCACCAGCAGCTGTTTTACATAATGAACAAAATCGATATTGTAAATGTGGTTCGATTTGAAGACGTTTAAGAAAACGTGGCGTTCGAACATCAACTGGAAGAGAAAATTTAGAAAAACGAACAAGAATTAATTTCAAATTACCGAAAGCTGTCGATACAGCATGAAGAAAACTTGAACTATTATCAAATGTTACACGACCACTGCCAATTCTAAATGAAAGTAAAAATGTTTTTCCTATTTTTTTTTCTCGTTAAAAATCACTTACGGATATTTATATTTATCAATATCAACGCCGGCATAGACAGCTCCGCCAAATAAATCTTCCATTAAACGCCATAAATATCTAGCTGTCATGGTACCATGAAGATTGCCAACAAATATTGTCTTTTTCGAATCAAGTTGTTGTGGTGGTCTAGAAATAGAAACCCTTTGAAATTCCTATTTTAAAGAAGAAAGTTTTTTTTCTCTCTGTTTATGCGTTCACACACTTATTCCTCTTGAAAAATTTTCGAACGAAATTATTTACCGTAAAGCATAATTATTATCTCCAATATTCCATGGTATAACTTCAACGGTTTTTCTTGAACCAGTTGCTGTTTCAAAATGTATAAAATAATCAGCACATGCACTATTATTTGTGTGACGTGAACAACTATCCAATAATGCACAAACAGATTTTGCATTATGAAAAACAATATGAAAAAATCCATTTTCTCGATGTTGCTCTTTATGACCGCCATGCAATTTTGGCCATTGTATTTCAAAGACGCCGAAGCGATCAAAATTAGCATGTATATCAGTTTCAGTTGCAAAACGTGGTACACCACCAATAAAAACTTTTTGAGAAAGTAATGGTATTTGTTGCATGCCATTATTATTATGAATATTATTATGATTTGTATTTGATTGTTCAGTTGAAAAATCACCAATCCAATGACGAATATTTTCTGTTGAATCATCTTGTACAGGCGATATCATAGGTAAAATTGATTGTTGATTTTGTTGTAAAAATGGTGGTGAAATTTGTGATATTGGTGCCATTGAAACTAACCATGGTGGTCGTGCATTTTCATCATTTATATTAGCTTGATGATTTGTACTAAATGGTAATGGTTCATTGAAATTATTCATATTATTATTATTATTATTATTATTATTATTGAACGTAAATGGTAAAATCGACGAATTATGTTGTGTATTAAGATCGTTGATAACAAGTTGTTGAAATGGTAATACACATGATAATGATGATGCTGATGACGACGACGATGATGATTGTTCAAGTGCTAATATATTCGAAGTATTGCGAAGAATATAATCTTGAAATGGTTTTGTTTCTTGATCGAAGATATTTTCATCTACGAAATTCAAAATTGATGTGTTTTTTTTTTAATGATTTTTTCTAAACTAGTAACTCACTCGAAATGTTTCCATTTAATGTTGTTGGCCATGTTGAAAGAAAATCTTTAGTACTATTCTTTGTTGGAAACGAAAAGTCGTTGCGTGGACAACAATTAATATCCATTGATATACACACTTACAAAATACAGATATGTTTAACTAGATGGTAATGAAGAAAATGGTGTGTTTGTTTCTATGATTTTGCAACGAATGACGGAATATCGTCGTATTTCTTATTTTCAGTTCGTTTTCGTCGGATCGAATAAAAGCAACAACTAGTAAAATATATATATATAGATCTATAGTCCGATTTGTCTAGTGAAAGAATGTTTTGTCTAATACGATAACTTTGTGTTGCACGAGAACGAACTAGATCTAGGAAAAAGAAACGCACGAAAGAGAAAGAAAACGAGGGAGAAAATAATGACCGAGGTCAATTCATTGATCGTAAACATAGTCATTCATGTTAGCAATTACAATTGAACTGGCGTTCATCACAGATAGATAGCTAGCTATATATTAAAGTTCAAATAGAACGCACGATAGTTTATTGAATTCAACATAGACAAAGCAGTGACGAGAGAACGAAAAAAGGAAAACACATATTATAAGGGAAATAAATTCAAACATGAATCTTGAAATGTGTGGAGAAACAAGGGCGATAGAATCCAATTGAGATTTTTATCTTGCTTTGCGATGCACAAGTTTTTTGTTTATTCAGAACATTGAATTTCCACGCTACGTAGAATATCAACAAAACAAGTTCTATCAAATAGTTATTACAAAGAGAAAGAGAATAGAAACTTTATTAAATGTATATAAAGTGAACGATTTATGATGAAAGATTCTAACTAGCTATTTGTTTTGTTGTTTAAATTCGATTAATGTCGACATCTATATTTCGAATGTTAGGCGTAAAAGTGTCCATATCTAACTTTCAACATATTTATCTGGCATTCTGTTCACTCACTAATATCGTTCCGGATTCACGAATCTTCGCTATGTATGAAGAAAATATCAGGCCGAAAGAAAAATAATGGCGTTGTTCATTGTTTATTTGGCATGACAACACTATTGTGTGCTTTATTGTATTCATCGACGGCAATGAGGACAATAGATAACATGTTACAGGAGAAAATAAAATTTTCCTAGAAAAGTCAGGAAACCTTAAAAGTTAAAAAACGGACGTTTTAATTTCTTCTGCAACATATTTATAGAAAGAAAAAGAGAACGATTCAGCAAAATAGACACACAGGTTACCCGTAAATATACAAATCTGACAAGATGTTAGTTATTATCTTCAATAAAATGAATGTAGTAAATGTATTTTATTCATTTGTGGGTATGAGTCAACGATTTAACTGAATCGTACTGCATCATATCTATATTTTCAGTCTCAATTTGATGAACGCGTCATTGTTGAATTGTAACTTTACAATATATAATCAAGTGTTCTTGATCGAATCTTTGAAAAAATGTTACTTTGAATTGTTCATAAAATAAACAAGTTAACTCTGAAACAACTTACATTGGCGCGCGTATACCTCGCATCATGAATTATTCTCAATCTCATTCTCTATCACGTGTTAATTTTGAACACAAAAGTATATTCTTACCACATTTAACCGATATGTTTATCAACTCGGGTTTGATTTATCCAACAACCTCGTTGTTTTTTACGCATGAATTAATATTATCTTTGGGTAAATATCTAATCGATTTGACTTTTAGTCAACGGTTTCCTGGTAGAAGATTCCTAATTCCGACATTACATATGACGTTATCTAGTTGTGTATCTCCAGCTCTCACCAAATTGAATATTGAAGTAAACAAGTATAGATCATAGAGAATAAGTATATGTTCGATTATTATATTTATCCAAAATGTAAACTTAAATTATCATGATTTTCTTTTCTTTGTAGAAAAAAATACCAAAATTGAAATATGTTATCGAGATCACTATGCAAATTTCCTTTCTTCACTATGAAATAGTATTCTCAGAAATGCTAGTCGATTAATTTACTAAAACTTTTATCTTTACCAATTAAGAGGGTGTGGGTGTGCCTTTGAAATTTTGATCATGATGAAAATTATAGATATGTGACCGGGTGGTGAATAGGAAAATACAAAGAAATCTCGTGCATTATTTTGTTCGTAACTACTTTTGTACATTTACGATTCTATGAAATAATTGTAAAAATATAATTAGAAGATATTATTTGAATTATTGATTGCCTTAAAAGAAAACTGAATAGCTATATATTTTAGTTAAAACATTTTCCCAACCAAACAATTGATGTAGCACTATTTTATTCATCCTCTTCGAAATGCTGTTTCATATGAATGTTTTATAAAGATTATTGTTAAATCATCAAACAATGATTTGCGTACAAATAACTGAAACATTGGAAGAAATTTGAAGCTGTAGAATAATAATTTGAATTCATTGTAGTTTTACTGATGAACCAATTTGGTCACGACGCAAACTGGTTGATTTGGCCTATTTTCTACTTCATTGCGATAAATCAAAGATAAATAAATGCATAACAAAGAATTTAGTTTGAAACAAAATAAAATATTCTACCTTCGATTCGATTATCTTATTAAGCAAAGTGGAAAGAAACCACATGACTGAAATTATTTTTTAATGTCAATCAGTCACGCTGGTATCTTGCCAGATCGCTACAACCTTCATTGTTGTCAAGAGAATGTATTCTTACCGATCACTGGATTTCAACTGATGAAAGGCTGCTTTTTGTTATTGTTAACCACAACAGAGAAAGAATGAAAATGAAAGAACTTTTCTTCTGCATGCGATTGATTATAAATACTCTATATTGTGTCTGACCCAAATGACACCGGAATGTGCTTTAGCGATGATGATCCGTTTCGAACTGTTTCGTTTGACTGATGGGGTGAGCAGTAACGTGACACATTTGAATCGAATCTATTCGAATACTCACATTTATATATATATATATATACGTGGATATACTTCGACGATAATGTGAAGTTCCGCTAATATTCGAAATAAACGAACGAATAATGAGACGATGACGATGCCATATTCTTACGCTTACTCATATTTCAATATTCGTTCCATTAATCGTGTATGCGGACGAGTAAAATGAGAGATTTTTTCTTAGTGTGTACTCTCTCTGTCGTGTATAACGAGCGAAAGAAAGAACGAAAATCTCTTTCTCGATTTTTTTCTCCTGTATACTAAAATGGAGATTTGAACATTTTTTAAGTAAATGAAGTTTTTCGTATATTAATCTCTTTATTTCATCAAGCAATGTACAATAGAGAATATCGATTTTATTAGTGGAAATATGTTTTCATTATTGAAACATTCAATTCGCTCGGTTCAAGAGTTTTAGATATTTTAGTATTAGCTGTTGATAACTGAAAATAAAATGAAATGTGAATTATATCATTAATACAATAGAAAATTGTACTTCGCTTCTATTTGATATTGGACTGAGTTCTGATGGTGAATCTTGCTAAATAAGAAAGAAATCCTTTGAATTTTTAAACCATTAAAAAATTTCGAACGACAATGAGATTTGTATAGGTACATCAGGTGGAGTAGTAATTAAGATTTAAACTCATATTTCTAGTTATATTAAATGTAGGTCTTGTCTTACAAGACAAAACGATAGCATTAGATCGTTTGGTTTTTGTATGTTTCTAAATGATCTTTGGCTGATGGCAGAAATTATCCAACAGGTGAATCAGTTTGTAGGCGAAGCACACAGGTTCTAACAATCATGAAAAGAGTTTGTATTCGCTACTTATCTCGACGTTAGATTAATATTTTAAATAAATGTTGTAATTCCTTCCAGAAAAATGACTTTTGACAATAGAACCTTTACGAAATTATTTTATTGTGAAAATGTGGAGTCTTAAGATACAGAATATTTACCAGGGAAGAAATATCGAAAATAAGTTTTCTTGATGAATTCGAAAAAACGACAAATTAAATCGACGGTGAATGATTTTAAAAAAATACTCATTTCTACTTTTAGTACTATAATTATTTGGGATTAAATTTGAGTGAGCAAAAAAGTTTCATATCAAACATCCCTTAAAAAGCTCTTGGAACACAATATTTTTTAAATATTTTTACTGGAATTCGAAACAAAACGTTTTCACGAAAACTACATTAATGAGAAAGTAGGCCGTGCAAAACTCTATGGATTTCCCTAATTTAGAAAATTTCTCAGTAATTCTTTAACAGGAAATAACGCGCATTCTGTGCCTTAGTTTTGATGTAAAGCACTAATTTGCATGAGAAAGACAGGACATGAAGAAAAATTCATTATTCAGAGCTCTAAGCATGTTGATAAAATGTAGGGAAATTCGTTCTGCATCTGAACGTCATTGATTAAGTCTAATGATCAAGATTTTGGAAACTAATAAAAAAGTTGTGAAATTCAAATCGAAAAGTGAGTCAAAAACTAATCTATTATATCCCATTTGAAAGAGTGATAAAAGTACTTCTAGTTACTGTAATTATATAATTTGAAACCCATGCTGTGATAACGGAAAGTAGCTTTCGTATGAGAGGTACGTTTGAATAGAACAGTAAGTTACAAGAACTTTTTTTGAGTGATGTTTGATATGAAACGTTTTTGCTCACTCAAATTTAATCCCAAATAATTTTGTTTTGCATGTGTATTTTGAAGTTGAGACATTGCTCTTTCAACTGGAAAAAGAATAATCTTCCTACGATGTTCTTGAGCGGAGAGCCATGCCGTAGATTTGAGGTATGTTCAGATTTCAGAAAATCACAAATTTCTGTCACACTATTAAAAGACACCGAAGCGTGTCCCCATAAATTTCCTTGAAACTTCCGAAATTGCCATTACGTGCAAAAGAAAATTATCAGAAAATACCATAATTTCAAATATCACACAACAAAACATCCTGGGAATTCCATTAATCAGCTTCATATGCATATTTAGCTAGGAAATTTCCTTTTTTGGAAATCTGCCCACTGCTGGTAGATTTCGGCAATTACTTCCGCATCGTAGGTTATATTTGATAGGTCCTAAATAGTATTCCATAGGTTTGACTATATTCTTTTCCTTTGACCACTATCAACATAACAAAATACTAACAAAAAATATAGCTTACATTTGAAATTGGACTACGATTTGATTCAATATTACTGAGTAAACCACTACTAATACTTATTCCTATTGTATATTCAAGTTTAATTGCATTCGATGCTAATGATGCACGTGGTGGAAAATAATCCAGCAAAAGTTCTCTTTGCTGAAATCCCATCATCTTATAAAAATTAATTCCATCAATATTCGTTGATTCAACATACGCATAGATTTGCATGATATTTTCTAATTCTTTACATGTTTCAATCATTTGTAATAAAAGATTTTTACCAGTGTTAATCGCATGCAAACTCTGATTATTTTCTACGAGCATTAAAATTTTTAATTTGCGTTTTTGATTTGAATCAAATATAGATGTTGCTAAAATAGCACCATAAATTTTTACTTTACAACAGTATTTTGTACGATATACAGTTTTCGATATATCCGATGCATTATATGCACGTTGAAATGTTTCACGATTGAAAGCTAATGGAAATGCTTTATGGAAAAATTTAAATAAACGTTTAAAACCAACATCTTCTTTTGAACCATATTGAAAATGAATTAATCGTGATGACTTAATATTTTTAGTGGATAAATGACGTGTATTTAGACGAATAGACATCGTCAGCAATGAACCAAATCTGCATGTTGATATCAATAATATTTGAAGTGAATCGATTTTCATTTATGCGCTAAAATATTTTGTTTTTTACAGCTATATCAATTATGTTATGTACTATTAATCATAGTAAAATAACTACATAGTCGAATAAATATCAATAGAAAGACTACAGTTACAGAGGATCGTTCGCGGCTTTCAAATCGCTTTTCTCTTGAGACGATTGTAATACGTGATGAAAAATGATCTCATATGTGATTGATTTTCGAAGCTAGAACAACAATATTCTTGCTGAAATATTTACACTTATAACTCGATAAGCGACAATGAGAAAAAATTCTCTAGATAATGATGAAACTAAGGGTTCAGTTGATAAGTACATTAGAAATTCACAGTATTGACTTGTGCGCCAACGTCAATATCTTCTCTGTGCATAAAAACACGCGAATATTAAAAAACAAGACTCTTGATTCACAGTAGGATTCCGATGGTTTCATTCATCTTCTTGTTCATGCTTGGAAATATACCACTTACCATTAAGTATGGCACAAAGACGTTAGTTTCACATGTGAAATGGACTTTTCATTCAACATTTAGAATCTCAATACATCTGATTTAATGAATAATCCATTGATGAGAATAAATTTATTAATCCGAATTGGCGGAAAGGCAGAAAAGAAAAAAGCCGAAAAGGAAAATGCCGAAATGAAAAAGTATAATTAATAAAAGTGTCGAAGAAAAAAAAGCTGGTGGAGGAAAAGTAAACAGTAGAATGAAAAAGATGTCTATAGATAACGAAATTTGTTTTTTGAGTTGCTATTGGTTGCTCGTGGGATAAGTTAAATTCATTGTCCTTCTCATCTATAATCTATACTTGTTCATTGTTAGCGTATACCATATATATAAATCAGTCTGTCGAAAACAACTAACAAATAAATTTCTTTTCGATCGTTGGTAATGGGCAGTGAAATATCATTCTTAACGGCTAATAAAGGTAAACCATTACTAGTGTTTAACCAATATATGTTCAAATGCAATAAAACGTCACTCTCTGTATTTTCCCCTTCTATGTTTGCCTTTTCGACGTTTTCCCTTTCTGCCTTTTCCACCAAACCCTATTAATCAACACTTCAAACTTAGTGTGTTTCGACACACTAGTGTGAATAACTCGGAGAAAAAATAATTAACACGGACATATTAAAACAAAAATGACAGTGATACATGAAACTGCCCATGAAAAACGAAACAAAAACATAGTCACATATTATTATTGAATGTCTTTCATTGCGATATTTTTAGTTTCTTTTTTTATAAGATCGATGATAGTACTGCTGTCGTGTTTTTGAAAACAAAGAGAAGAATTCCCCGCATGATACAGTACTACTATTACACAAAATTAAGCTCTGTAGCGCTTAGATAGGTATGCATGAGAAAAACTCTTTCTTTTTACATGTAGAATATCTTATTTTGTGCTTGTTTCCATGTATGAAGGATATAAGAATTTTTGGAAGGTTATACTTATAGCGACATACGTTGACAAGAAAATAAGTTATTTCTTAAGAAAAATTTTCGATTCTTTTTTTTCTGAAGAAAACATTCCAAGAATAAAGATTTATTATTTATTTTTGAAGGTTTATCATCAACCATCGATGGTGTTCAACTTAAGTGACACTCAATGAATACCTATTAGGTAAATATATTCATAAATTTTTGTAAAAAAATAATTCTATGCAACAATTGACGCGAAAAGTAGCTAGATATTTACTGAAAAGAATTCGTAATAGATTTTCAGCCAATATCCTTGAGTTTAATGGGACCTTCTTCTTCTATTTTGTTTTTGTCAACAATCAATTTTCCTCAGTCTGCATTTAATAAGTCAACATTTTTCTCTAACTGATGTGTTTCATATAGCTATTATCATAGCTATGAATATTCTCATTAGAGTGCATAGCGCGCAATGCGCAATTAGTTATAGTTCTACTGTTCTGCTCTCTACATTTGTCGAAATGATGAATACGTAGTAGGACAATTAATATATTTTTTAGACTTTGCAAGTAACTGTGAGAGAAGCTAAACGACGAAGAAATTTTCTATGGTTGCTCTATAAGGTTTTCATTAGGGGTGTTACTTTATCTTTATTGATCTTTTTATTAAAGAGTAAAGATAAATAAAACCTTTATATTTATAAAATAAAGATAAAAGTAATCTTTATATTTATAATATAAGGAATAAATAATTTATGAAATCTTTATTCTTTAAACAATAAAGATAAATAAAATCTTTATATTTATGAAATAAAGATAAAATTAATCTTTATTTGTAAAAATAAAGTTAAAAGAAAGATAAAAGAAAGAATTTCTGCAGTAACTGGTAAATAAACCCCTCCCTATAATAGGAGACCCGCTATATTAGAAGACCCCTTTTAATTAGTTAATAAACTAGTATAATTAATATTTTAATTAGTAAATTTCCTTGAAAATAAGCATAATTTCGGGGTTTTTTGATTGTAACTGTTGTACGAACAAGGTGTACATCACTATTGCACTTTGAAAACCTCAAAATCTCTTCATACAAGCTCAAAACTAAAAGGATTTCTTGGAAAACGTTTTTAATTAAAAATTACAAAAATTAATGGACATAATATAAGACCCCTTTGGAAACTTTTTACGCTTGGACGAAGACCCGGGGTCTTTTATTACGCGGAGGGGTTTAGATGAATAATTTGTATAACAACAGAAAACATTGATTGCAGTTCTTGCTTATCATCAGTGACATTGCAGTATGAAATAATACTATCAAGTGATGGTGAGGCATAAATCATTTATGGAAAAAATCTAGTGTTCAAAATTTTTTAGCCTTGAGCTTCTTAATTTTCTTCGAGCTATCGGGAGAAGACCAAGTTTTGGGTGTTTAAGGAGAAATTTTTTTCCTTATTCTTTATTTTATCATTATTAAATAAAGATAAAGATTGTCGTTATCTTTACTTTATAAATATAAATATTTTATTTATCTTTAAAAAGTAAAGTAAATATAAAGTAACACCCCTAGTTTTCATTAGAAAGTACATATTCCTTTCCAAGCATCTTTTATGCTATATAAAATGAGATATTATTCTATTTCATGATGCTTAGAGTGGGAAAAAGCTTACGCTAAAAAAGGATTTTTTTCAGCATATATGTCAAACTTGAAAATTGAAAATTGAAAATTTTCAACTTTTAAGTCAATAACATTTTGAAGAATCGTGACTCACACATATATTGCTATGAGTTGAAAGATGAAATTTTCTATTTTCAACTGAATTCAAGTTTGACACTACTGTTTTTCAGTTGACTCTCTATACAGCAAACTTGCCCAGAGACCCGATAGAAATGTTGCAAACCATGAAAAGCATTTGAGTTGAGTCTCTTGCTTTTCTTTTTCTTTGCTTTATCTCATTCTTATAGTATGACTATTACCTTCAGATGAACTACGGCGTACATGCTCTCGATTATTATTCAAACGTAGAACTAGTACGCGAGTACGTTTTCATTCGAGATGACCGTTCACTGCAGTTGCTTTCTACTGATTGCAATATATTGTGACTGACATCTTTCATCATTCACAAGTATTAACAATAGTTGGTTATTCATCGATCGAAAATGTATGCTGATGGCTGTTCGCTCTCTTTCTCGTTGAAAATTGCAGCAGCTTTATCAGGTGTTGATTTTAATCCTCCGCTCCCATTATTCTAGCAGCATTTTATACCTGTGAATAGTTTGATTATATATACTGTGACGTGTATTCAATGCAATCATAATAGCAACGAGAATACATAGTTTGCATAGTAACATTATACAGTGCGTGCTTTTTGTATGACAAACTTACTGTCTCATAATTTCCCAGAATATGCAGACCATTTTTCTTATGCTCATCAGATAGTTTGCATAAGAAAACAGGCAGTATAACATCTGTATTACTTTTGTAGCGATCTTACGAAATTTAAACATACGTTAACGCAAAAATTTGTTCTTTATATTTCAATGTCATCCTAGACAACCAGGTAATAGTTACAATTTATATAGAAGTTCGAAGTAGAACATAGTTTGAGTACACCGATTATATTTTCAAATGACATACATTTTTCAACTATCAATCAAGAGTATTCTTCCTATGACTGTTAGTAAATTGACCTTGCATTAAGCAAAAAATCCTTGTTTATGTATCATGTTATAAATATTTTGCACATTAAAATGAAACCAAAAACAATAATATTAACATACTGGTTTACTCTGATAAGCATAAAAATTGATACGCAATTAACAGTTTGTTAAAAGAAAGTGAAAAAAAAAATATTTCAAGTATTTATTAATTGCATCGCTCATTTCTATTTTTATCACACAATTTCATCTTTATTTTCTTCTCAGTGATTACCAAGGGAAAACATCAAGAAATATTATATCGTCACCTGTATATAATGTCGTCCATACGTTTTTAATTCATAATAGAAAAATACGCATTCAATCTTCAAAATATAAACATATACATTGCTTTCTGTCATATTACCTATAAAACAAAACGCGTATAGGCACTCGATTATTTTATATTATTCGATTGACCCAGGCCTTATCTATGAAGACTTATGGTGTCTGTATAATAACAATCTTATTCGTATGTGTTTCTGCCAATCAATGGAATTATGGTCATCTTGGTCCCGATGTCTGGAGTGAATATTATCCATTATGTGCTGGTAAATCGCAATCGCCAATAAATATTTTAACAGCGTGCACTCTTTATAGAGATATTAAACCATTTGAATTTATTTCAACACATGCTACAAAAAATTATTTTACAGTAAAAAATAATGGACATACTATTATTAGTATCATGAGTACTGCCTATGAACAATTATCGGTTCAATTAAGAGGTGGAGGCTTAAATGGAACATTTGACTTTGTAAATTTTCATTTACATTGGGGAGAAAATTATAAATCAGGCAGTGAACATCAAGTGTAACTATACAGAGAAAATCATTCTGCTTTATATATTTTTTAATTTGCTTTTTGAAAACGTTTTTCTTAGAAATGGTATTAAATATGCTGGCGAAATACATTTTGTATATAAAAATTATTTAACATCTCAAATGGCTGTACTTGCTTTATTTATGCAAAGTTATGTAGATCATACAAAAATTATTTCCGATAATAATGATCAAACACGTGACGAATGGCAACGATATTTTGATATGACACGCTTATTACGATCTGAAAATGATTCAGTTCTATTAGATTTAAATGTCACGTCACTTATGGGTGAAAATTTACAAGACTTTTGGAGATATGAAGGTTCATTGACTACACCACCATGTACAGAAGGTATTATTTGGACAATATTTACTCAACCGATTATTTTTATCGAGGAACAATTAAAACTTCTACGAGATAATGTTTTCTTTGAGGATTATCGTGGCCCTCAACCATTGTATAATAGAATAGTGTATCGAAATTTTCTTCATGAAACACTATCCACAATACCTGATTATAATCGATGTGTATCCGGTTTTCAGAATGAAACCACCGTGGGAAAACATTTCATGTTTCACTTAATATATTATTCAAAATATCTATTTTTCTTGGTTTTCATGATTTTAAATTTAATTTTCATGCTTATTTTATTTGTTTTCTTGAAAAAGCGTTATCTCATATGGAGAAAAAAATTTGAATAAATAAATTAGCGTAGAATAGATTGAAAAGTTCAAAGAAATGTTTCAATCTAAGAAATACTTTTACTGTTCTTGGCTAAGAAACAAAATATTTCGGATTGATAGAATCATTTTGCGCAAGTTTGCACTCGACAAGGTCTACTGAAAATAGCGTATGAGGAAATGCACTCATATGTTCTAATAGAAAATATTTGCTAAAAGCAAGACGGAGAAGTTCGAATTAGTTTTATTCTTATCGTACAGAGTGGCTGTTTTTTCGTTTGTCACATATCATCAGATCTAGGGGTGATGTTATTTTTAACTCATCTTGGATTTTTTATGACGCTCTCAGTGATGTAATTGCCTTTACCTTTTGAACAACTGTGTACAATTGAGTTCATGCGATGGAGAAAAATCTGAGCTTTGAAATCGAACAAAATAGATCAATGGCAATTACTATTGAAAACAATATGTCCACATTAAAACTATAATATAACTCATTGTCATGAATATTATTTTTACTGAAATGATATTTATCCTAAAATAAATTATCAAGATAAAAAAAAACAATGATTATGTGCAACTTCACAGATGTCAATAATGAAATACAGGCCTACCTTAGCTTGAGGCAACTTCAATTTCTGTCACTTTTATTTAATGTCTCTTTTCTCAAATAAAAAATACACTATTTGGATGTTTCTGGCCTCCCCAAAATTTTCACATATTCGTGCCTATATAAATATTATATCTTTTTTTTAATTATGAATATAGTGATGCATCAAGTACTTCGTTTCATATCATTCTTTTTCTTGGTGACTTATGCTACACATGAGCATGATTGGGATTATGGTGAAAATGGACCTGATGTCTGGCATGAAAGATATCCTAACTGTGCTGGTCAATTACAATCACCCATCGATATTTTAACAGCTTGTACAACATATAAAAATTTTACACCATTCACATTTGGAGCTGGCTATAACGAAGAACATAATTTTACGATTCGAAATAATGGACATACAATTGTTGGTACATTCAATAATGAAACTTATCTATCAACTTTGAGACTTAGAGGAGGTGATATCAAAGGTACATTTGAATTTGTAAATTTTCACCTTCATTGGGGAGAAAATCATAGATCAGGTAGTGAACATGAAGTGTAAGTATTTAAATTATGTAATTTTTCAATGATCTCTCTCAATACATGTTTATTTTTGTGTTTGAAAAGAAATGGCATAAAGTATCCAGGTGAAATTCATTTTGTCTATGCCAATCCGAGTACAAATCAAACGGCGGTTCTTGGCATATTCATGCAAAGTATATTTCTTCAAAACGAAACAGAAAAAAGTTCTGTTCATTTATTGGACGAAGAATCACGAAGAGAATGGAAACGATTTTTTGATTTAGCACAAACATTAACGGACGAGGATAACTCAACAGTAGTTAATTTGAGTTTGTCATTACTGATGGGCGACAATTTACAAGATTTTTGGCGATATGAAGGCTCATTCACTACTCCTCCATGTACAGAAGGCGTTATTTGGACAATATTTAAAGAACCGATCTTTTTTGTTGAAAGTGAATTCAGTAGCTTTCGACGAAAGATTTATTTCGAAGATTATCGTCGTCCACAACCATTGTATACTCGAGATATTTATCGAAATTTTTTTAATGAAACATTATCGTCAATACCAGATTATCAGTGTTGTCCAAAAAAAGATGTAAATTCATCAACAAATAGCTTGATATTTTCATTCAATAAACTTAACTATTCGAAATATTTTATTTATTTTTTTGTTTTGATCTGTTTGTTGCCTATACTTTAGTTGACTTTTCGTTATATCGACCTGTCAAGTTTTTTTTTAGCCACTTTTTGTATCTATGCTCATATGACATAGCAATCATTGTTGACTTTGCTCTAAGATTTCCAAAATTAAAAATCGATCCTTTTGTCTCATCATTCGATTCTTTTAATATTCTACGATTACCATGAATTGCAAAAAGGCAGTTGCTTAAACCCGAAATATTTCAACAATATAGCGTGCGTTTCAACGTTGGATATAAGTTGATTATGGGTCTATGAACTGGAATAAATTAATCTATATCTATATTTAAAGTTAATTTACATATATTTTAAGGTTTTTCTCGCATAACTCGATCACCGCAATACAAATTAAATTAGTGCAAAATTTCATAATATGATCAGTACCAAACAACGCTAACGCGCTTGTCCTCTATTATAAGTATGATATATTCCCTATTTTGTTTTTGTGTAGTACTTTATATTTTTTCGTTATCTTCCTAAGGGTCAGTGTTTTTTTCGCAATAATCATGTTCTCTTTGCTGTACTTTTCTATTACTCAATATCTGATTTGTGGAAGATCAATAACTATTCTCTAACAGTTGACCTTTCTTCTTAAATAGAAACACCTCTATTAATCCAATTGGTTATAACTATCGTAAAATATTCTTATAGCATCCTAAATTTAATTGCAAGGCAGAAATGAAAATACTTTCTATGTTAAATATCTTATACGCAAAAAATATGTTCAGGATATGCATCTATCGATAATAAAATTTTTGTATATTTACTTTTTCTGCTTATACATTTACTTATCATATATCTAACTGCATGCAACTCTATTCCCTGAGAAATTGACACAGACCTCGATGATTCGCTATATAAAAAGGTGATAATTTAGACATCGACACACAAAAACATGAATATTGTAAGCAATGATAACTATAGATAAAATATTTGTAGTTGCCAAATAAAATAAGACTAACGTATGATGTACATCATTCCTTTTTGAAAATATGCGATAGATAATCTTTGTCAAAGTAAAATAGTAAAATGCACACTATCATCGACGTACCGTATGTATATTTCTCTTTCCTGTAGGAAATTACATTCATATCTGTTTTTTGCTTTGCTTAAACAATGAATTTGAATAATGATTTATTTATTTTCAAATAGTATCTTAGAAACTTTTTAAAAAATAGTGTCTAAATTGTGATGTTACATCAAAGTTGAACTGTCACGATTATCGATCTAACAATCAAAAGAACAATAAACCAAGCATAAAAAATATGATCAGTTGCTTTTTATGTCTAAATTAGACATTGCGCAATAAAACATTCGGAATCAAACCAAATTTCAACAGTATCCTTTACATATGACACAACATTAGCAGTTAACACGTTTTCAATTTTGTGCTTAAATACTTCAAGGCGAAAACGTCATTCATTATCAAACTGATTGGACGAGTACAAATGCTATTAGTCAAATATCTTCGTCAAAGAACAAAAACTAAATTATTCATCCACGAACAGAATACAGTTAACTACAAGAACAATCAACATGCATTTTCATTTGACACTAGTAATTTTTCTATTGTTTCAGTCAATTAATACATCTTTTTCAACCGAAGTTGAATGGAATTATGGTGAATATGGACCAGATGTTTGGAATGAATTTAATGGAACTTGCGGAGAAATTTATCAATCACCTATAAATATTAAAACAGCGTGTACTGTCTATCAATCATTTCCGCCTTTCCAGTTTTCACCCAACTATAATCAAACGCAAGATTTCCTAGTTACAAATAATGGACATGGTATTAGTGCCACACAGGCTAATGCAAGTGCATATCCTATGACACACACTGGTGGTGGTTTAGATGGAACATTTCAATTTACTAATTTTCATATTCATTGGGGTGAAAACTACAACGTGGGTAGTGAACATCAAATGTGAGCAGATTTTCTTTGAATAAACTTCCCGCTTTGCTTCCTCTTCTTCCAATCTTTTCAGAAATAGTATAAAGTATGCTGGTGAAATTCATTTTGTTCATATGAACTACGAAACAAATAAATATGGTATAGTCGGAGTACTCATTGATAGCAATAGATCATCACAATCGAGTAGCTCGCAGTTAGGTCGCCGAATAATAAAGAGACAAACTTCTAATACTGGTGGCGTCACACAAGTAACTACATGGGAAAGTTACGCTTCAATAGTTAGCCAATTAAATTATACAAATGCTTCGGCTACAATCAGATTTTAATTATCAACTTTGATGACTACGGATTTCAACATATTTTATCGCTATACAGGTTCCAAAACAACACCTCCATGTATAGAAGGCTCTTCTTGGACTGTATTCAAAACACCTATTTATTTTAATAATGAAGCATTAGAATCTTTTCGTCCTGTACAACCATTGGATGGGCGAATGGTATATCGAAGCTTTCCCAATGATACTGTATCATCTATATCTGACTATTATTGTTGTACACAAAATGCTGGTAGAAGTTTTTCTGGTGTATTTTTAATTTCATTGATCGGTAAACAATTATTCTTATTTTCATGGCTTTTCACATTTTACGTTTTGTTACGAGACTAAACTATTTTTTGCATTTGATGCAAAGGAATAAACATTTGCTCTTATCGGTCGAACTGCGTCATACAACGTTTTTTAAAATTTTTTGTTAGCATGAAGTACTAAAATTGTAGAAGAGAAATGTTGATAACGGATCACCGAGAGAGCTAAACCCAATGAAGAAGAGATAAATTCTATGAGATACGATACGAACTGTTTTAAACTATCTATCGAACTCTTATTAAGTCAGAAAGTATATCGGACCATTCTTTTTATTTGATTGCTAAAGATAGGCATCTCTCTGAATTGGTCACGTGACTGACTATTGACATTGTGCAAAATAACGAGATAAGTATGAAACATTCAAATTGTGTTATTGACTTGTAGCAAACAATGTGATCAATATTTTTCAGTCTGGCATTAATTATGATAGCTGGATTGCCCATATTTAAATAGCTAAATTCAGTTTTACATTGCAATTAGAAGTTCCATAACAATCGATAACGGGAGAGCTAACTCAACTAGAACAAAAATTTAGAATTAATCAATCAGGAACTCACCGAGTAACTACCTTAGCTATCTCTTTTAAGATTATACTTAATGTCATGCAAAGAAACACTTTAGCAAAATACGCAATTACTTAATATTTATCTTTTAAAAATTGTATTATATGTATTTACTGAATACACATGAGTCATTTATATTTATTTGAAAAATAGAAAAATAAATTATCATTCAATGCCATTGATAATTGCTGTAATAGTATCAAAATATTTAGAAGTGCGCAATTGAAATAGGCTATTTAAGACTAAAGTCTTTTAATAAATACTAAAATATTCACAAATAAAAAAATATGTCCTTCAAGTACCTACTCGGGCTAAAATATAAACAAATAACAGAAGAGAACCCCCAAAAAAGCAATTACAAGAAACAAGGAACTTAATAATTGTTAATGTTTCTATTGACAAAATCAATAGACTTATTTGCTAGAACACTTTCAATATTAAAGAAAAAAACAACACATATTTTTCAATCTTACACAAATCATAGTGAAATCAAGTAGTTCTATATATGTACGTTCAGCTATTTACTGAATTATACTTGATTACTTTTCCTCTATCAATGTTTGCGATTTGGAATTATGGTGAATTTGGTCCGGATGTTTGGGACGATGAATATCCATCTTGTGCAGGTCGTTCTCAATCTCCTGTTAATATAAGAACGGCATGTACAATTTATCAATCATTTGAACCATTTCATTTTGCACAAGATTATAATGTATCACATAATTTTACACTAATAAATAATGGTCATTCTATACTTGCGAGGTACTCCCCTGAAAATAATGAAACACTATTTCAAGTAACTGGTGGTGGTTTAAATGGAACATTTGAATTTTTAAATTTTCATCTTCATTGGGGTCAAAACTATAAATCTGGTAGTGAACATCAAATGTATGTCATCATTTCGCAAAATTTTCCATTAGTTTTTGTTTTCTTATAGAAATAGTAAAAAATACGCCGGCGAAATACATATTGTTTATGTCAATCGTAGAACACGTCAGTTAGCTGTCATCGCAATATTTATGCAAAGTGATCGAAGTATTGATTTGAATGAAACAAAAAATACTTATAAAATTCAAAATACGACATTGAATGAATGGGAAAGATACTTTTCAACAGCTAGAACATTACAATATTCAAATATTTCCATTGTATTAAGTTTAAATCTAGCAAAATTAATGGGCAATAATTTCAATGAATTTTGGAGATATCAAGGTTCGTTAACAACACCTCCATGTACTGAAAATATTATTTGGACTGTATTTAAAGCTCCAATTATATTTACTGAAAATGAACTGAATAGTTTTCGTAAGAATATTTTTATTGAAGATTATCGTGGTCCACAACCACTGTACAATAGAACTGTATATCAAAATTTCGTAAATGAAACAAAATTATCAGTATCGGATTATAATTGTTGTTTGAAAGATTTAAAGAATTATACAAATAATTTTTCTATAAGACAAGTAAATACAAATAACTTTTTATTCATCTTAGCTTATGTACTGGAAACTTTTTCATTCTAAGATCTCTTCTTATAAGAAGAGAGTTTGGATGTATCATAAATGATTGTGAAAACTGTTTTCTTACTTTTTAGACTACGATGAATATATCTTGAGGGTGTGGGTGTGGGTGTACACGCGTTGTCCGCCTTTCCTAGCAGCCACACTTGGTGTAGTTTTGACGTGTTTGCGTTTGTCGTGAATCGCTTTAAAAGCGTTTGATACATAGTTAGATATTGAAGAGAAGAAAACCGGGGCGGAAATGCAGTTATCTGGAATTTTCAATATGTAGTGCCTAAATCGATTTTCGTGGAAGTTTCAGTCCGAAAGCTCTCCCACACCAAATTCAGAGTAGCATCGAAGGAATGTGAAAAATAATTTTAGATTCGTAGTATTTTTTAGCTAGGGGATAGGATCAGCCGAATATTTGTTAAAAAGCGATTTTCCCCTTGATTGTTGGCATAATTTATAAAAATGAAAATCTGAATATATTTAAGGGGCTGCCAGTTTGACGATCTTTATCTTTTGCTTTGGAATGGTTTTTAAGTGGGCGCGATCTTTTTCATTTATTTTCAAATTGTGAATAGTTATTCAGATGTCGATTTATATTCGAACTCGAACTAGGCATCTCATGAAATATGTTTAAAAATTCAATCGATATCCTTCTTTTACGAATAAGCTGATAAATGCAACAGAGTTCTCATGGTTATGAGTTTATTATGACTATTGCAGATGCATATACACGACTGATATTCTATAGAAAATCAAAACATGACAATTATAATCCATCATTTCATTGTCGGTCAGAGTTTTCTTTTTCAATATATTTTTTTCGTCATGAACAAATGATTAGAACAAAATTAATTAAAGAAATAAGCGACCAATGTGGAATGTTGGCGATTGATAAATAAGATGGATATTTGGTAGTCTTTTATGCACATGCAATTTTATGAAAAATCATGACATTGAAGTCTGAATTGACTATTTTTTCTCTGTTTTGCTCGAGTTCACGGTTGAATATTTTTTGTTGTCATGAATGAATGTTGAGGATATGTTATATTGTAGATACAAATGTCTGATGGATAATGAGTATTCATATGTAAATGATGATATAATGTCTAAAATGGAAATTTTGAAACGAAAACATATTATTTTCAGCTCATCGGTACTGCTTTCAAATATATCATTGTCAATAAGAACTCGTTATCCGAGAAAGATTAAGGAGAGAAATGAAAATGATCAGCTACTGTTGAAGATATAAACGTTTGATTGAGATGTAGTTTGAAAATGTAGATGTTGTACTATTGAAGATCGAGACCGAAGTTGTTCTTGATTGTTTGGCTTACTCTTTGTTTTTTCTGATATTGTATAGTTAGGAGTATGAGTTTATGGATATTGAATGTATGAAAAAAATGAGAACACTGTACGAATTTGTTGTACTATTTATGTATGTTTTATGTTTGGAAGTGTTGGATATATTTTGCAGATTTTAGCTCGTCAGAATTTTGATTAAAAAATTGCACACCGTATGGAGAGAAAGTGTTCAGATTGATTCGGAAGAGTAGTTTTTTTCTGATTTTTAGATTACAGTAAGTCGAGTATTCTTGACTTAGCAGAGCTGATGGCTGAAGCTGTTGGTAAAGACGAATCGAATGTAGAACGAGATGAAATTGTCGCAGACGATGAATTTGATGGTACTAGCACAACAGTAACAATTCCTGGAAATAAAATGAAAATGAAACATGTACATGAGAAAGTTGTTTTCAATGACGGAACAGCTGTTGGTGTTTTAAGCAATCTGATGGATCGTACACGCACGATGCATTTGCATGAAGCCGACGTCACCAATTGATATGATGTTGTATCGGGTTGATCCGTTTCATTCGACGTTAATGACGTTGCATGAAAAGCCTGATAACTTTTTGAGAATCCTCAAAAAGGAAACAATTTATATAACTGGTTCGAAGCGCAATATTTTCGTGTGTATTTCCAATATTTGACTTTTGAAAGTTTTTTTTCTAAAAGCGTTTATATTAGGGGGCATCGCCTGGTGATTTCATAGCTGCTGAATTAGCCAGTCAAGCAGCATCCATGGTAGCTGATGCTTTACTTGAATGCTTCATCCTGTGGTCGACAGATGATGAGTTCAGTAGAATATACAGCGCAAAGAGTATTAGATGATTTTATTTAAGTAAATTAAGATGTAAAATATGGTTTTACAATTTTAGGAAGTCAAGAAGGTGTGCTGGGCAACGTTTCAGCTCGATTAAATAAAGGCGCACTTGCTTGTTATCGAATTACTGGACTGCGTGCTTTAATTGAGGCAGCATTTGATATGATAGCTCAATACGCAGCAGAATACGTTACTTTCGGCACAGGTGTAGCGGATGAAGGATTTGTTCATCGTCCCTTCAAAATTGCTGGAAAAAATATGGTTTGTGCATACGGAAAGAGCAGCGTTTGATGATTGATACAGACATTTGCAAGCGAGCTCATGATGTAACAGTCCAGAATGTAGCACAATATATGGCTTTAATAAAACTAAATGCTGAAGATAGAAAAAAATTGGTTCACTCGAACGAACCGATCGATGAAAACAACAGGGCGATATATTGCAGGTGAAAAAAATATTGAAGTAACTGATTCGAAGAATAGTAGACAAAAAAACAAGATTAGCCAACATTATAAATCTTTATTTCTCAAACTTTGCAACATCAATGGCTTTTTTAAATCATTTTTTCTTAATTTCAGACTCAAGCCGATTTTGTTTTCTACTAGAATTTCAATCATATTTTTACCTGTTTTCTTCGACTTAGAAGTCAACAAGATCACATTCTCTCACATTCTTTTATGTGACAACTTGAGAATATTCGTTTCAACATTCGTTTTAAATATCTTTTCATTTTAATAAAGAAATAAACTCCAATAAGACAATGCAAAAGCTATTATTGACAGGTTATATAACAATAAAAGGTCTTGTATTTGTATCACTCACGATAGTATTGAAAACTGTACGGCGGACATGGTGTCGTTACTCTATATATTCAGACATTCCTTTGCTTTGCCTGTACAGCTACAGATAATTGATTGATTTAAATGTATACTGATCATGTTTATTTTTGCATGTGCTTTTTAACATGAATAATTACAACTTTATATTCGAAAAACCTAAACCGAAAGAATACTTTATAATAAAATTACATACTTATGTCAAGAAAATTATGTCGTCTTACGAATGGTCATATGGCAAACTACAAGAATAGTATTACTCTAACTCTTGATCATTACAATAAGACAGGTACATTAGATTTTAAGGAACTTGATAACATGTGCGTACATATTCTCCCACTTACGCTAGAGATATTTGTGAAGCTTCATCTTTTAAAGAAATATATATTACAACGAAACGATTCTGTTGGCTATAACGTACCACAATGCTGATAATAAACATTTTTATTTCAAAAAATAGATCACAGTTAGAAAATTCTTGCTTCTTAATTGTAATTTCATTTCGATTTTTTTCTGAAGTGTATGCACAGACCGATAGCATATTGTCACTTGTAACAATGTACCACCCAATGCCTATTTTCAATCATCGTTCTTTATTACTTCCATCTCTGTTTCAACATATTAATTCTATGTAAATCAATCTCCTTTAATTCATATTTTATTTAAATAGCAAATTAATAATAATCAGTGAATTTTCGCACGAGGAAAATAGTCTTTCATACATCTAGAAAACTGTAATTTTCTAGACAAATATACGTAATTCATTTTGGCACAATCACCTCGTAGTGTATTTCTTCGAAACTTGTGTGTCACGTTTTTCAATGCTTCATATTGCATAGAAACAAGAACATCAAATGGTAGACATGTTTTGGTATCTAATAAGAATCGTTCAAGATAATCTCTGTAAGTATGAATAAGATCAAGTTCTTTAAGATAAGGATGTTTAATGATTGAGCAATTCGAAGAAAAAATTCATGTTCAAAAGGATGTTCGTCGAACAATGATACTTTACGAATAGCTAGATGAAGTATTTTTAAATTCAACATTCTATGTAAAAGTAGTAAAATTAATTCATCATAAACACATGTTTCTATATCACTTCTAGAAAAAAACAAAAGTCAATATTATTAATTCAATTAAATTAGATATTATTTGAAATGAAAGAAATATTAGCAGAAAATGTATGAAGTTGATTGGACATGTAATTTTAGCAGATTTGTAGAGATAATAGTTAAAGGTGAAGTGAAAAATGATAATCGTTGAAACGTTTCATGTAAACAATGAAATCATTAAAAACTGAGTAAAAAAAATATTTTATTAGATTTTATTTTTCAATAATGTTGTAGTTTACATATGTGATTTTCCTCTTCCGTCTTACTTAATTGATTATATAGCATGATAAATGTTATATTATATCAGTCATTAATCCTTATAATCTATTTGTTTTAAAGTTTATATTGACGACAATATCGATACATTTTACTTTTATTTCGTTTTATATAAATACTTATGTTTCGTGGAAAATGATCTATTTAGTGACAACTTTTTTATCTTTATACTAATAACTACAAATCAAATACAAAATTATTTGAAACTTAAAAGTCTGTAATCATGAATTTTCTTGGCTTATAGCCTTAAGGTGTCTATAATTGAAAGAATCAAAGTAACATATCCTACCAGTGAAAAGACCCAATGATTCGAGGTCAAGCCATTTGATTTCTTCATGAATTTTAGATAAAATATGTGAACAAAATCGATCAAGTATAGGATCAGGTAATGAATATACAAAAATCATGCGATGTAGATATCAATAGGGCCAAATTATTTGTAAATTTAATCTACTATGGACATCTACCAAAGAATAAAGTACTTCCATGTTAGCGAATTTTAAAAAAATAATCATAAAAGCTTCATCGGGTAAATCACTCAATTGATTTCATATTTTAAGAGTGGTGCTGGATTGTTAGCAAAATCGGCTCTATATGAAAACTAATAGCAAACGTGCCTCATTGTAGATATTTTCAAAGATAATTCGTTACACTTTTTCAAGACACTATTTTACTCTTATTAACTGATGAGGGGATGTGACCGAACTCTTTAAAAGTTTTTGACCTCATCTTTTGGCTATAAGTAGATTTCAGTGATATAAAAGAAAATTTTATTCTATCGGCTGGTGTTGATCGTACAATGATCATTTGAGATGCAAATTCTGATCATTGTAAACAACATTTACATCATGTTCAACAGATCAAAAAATTCATGTTTGTCGACTAGGTGAATTACGAGCTATTAAAGCATTCCACGGACATCAAAATGAAGTTAATGCTATTAAATGGGATCCACAAGGACGTTTACTTGCATAATGTTCTGATGATATGACATTAAAGGTAAATAGCAATGAAAGTAATCATACTCGATTGTATTTGTTATTTTTATTTAGATCTGGAGTATGTCAAAAGACATGCCTGTTCATAATTTACAAGCACATAATAAAGAAATTTATTCAATTAAATGGAGTCCAACTGGTCCAGGAACAATGAATCTAAATGCAACATTACTTTTACCAAGGTATTATTATTTAACGAAAAATTCTTTTTTTTTATATCTTTAAATTTTACGTACCTAGTGCATCATTTGATTCGACTGTACGTTTATGGGATGTTGAAAGTGGTGTTTGCCAAAATATATTTGTAAAATATTCAGAACCTGTTTATTCGGTTGCTTTCAGTCCAGATGGTCGTTTATTAGCAACTGGTTCATTTGATAAAGCGAGTTATATTTGGGATATTGCAGTAAATAATTTCAAATCATATTTGATATTTATGATGTTATGATGGCTGTTTATTTTTCAGCGAGGAGAAATTGTTCATGGTTATCGAGGTCCTCGTGTTGGTGCAGGTGCTTCCGACGGAACAGTAAGTTTTAATGGATCGATAAAAGAGAATTCTTTCTTTAGGTCAATGTGTTGTCGTTTTGTTTTTCTTTAATTGTACAAAAAACAAAATATTCGTATTGTTGTTATTTGTTGTTTTGATCATCATCCTCCCTCCTATCAACGACGATCTCATAGAATTTTATTCATCTTCTTGCACATGTGTATTTTGTTTATTTCTTTTCTTTCTCGAAGAAATTCAAAGCAGTAATATGTATGCGATGATGATGAACTCGTGTTTCATTACAAATATTTCATACGAGCATACGTAGATGACGACAACCAAACACAGAAAAATAAAAATCTGATATGAACTCTGTAATAATCAATATAAAAAGGTCGCTTATTCCTCTTGGTTCGATCAATGTTCTAGCACGTAAAAACAACTAAGCTTTCTGTTTAACACGTCAGAGATATCAGATTTAATCATAAGAGAGTTTTTGTTTGTCAATTTTAATTCTCATATATAAAATGTCTAAAATCATG